TTTTCTTTTCTTTTTTTTTTTTTTCAAATTATCAAAGGGCAGATAACAGATATTGACTGATATGAGGACTGGATCTCTTGCAGAAGTAAGTTATAGACACGACGCCAGAGAGCCGACGCAACTAGTTGAATACGTATGAGAACACCTTCTTAATGATCTCATACTCTACATAGGACGGCGGAATAAACTTCTCTATCATCCTGTCCCACGAAGGTCGCCAAGGCACTTGGAACATGGCACGGTAAAATTCCCAATAATCAGGCCAGTATCCTGCCTGTCCCCAGTCCACGATCACAACAGTCCCATCAGAACGGACCAACATGTTGCCACAATGAAGGTCACCATGTGTGAAAACAATAGAATGATTCATCTTCTTAAGCTCTCTGACTGTCTGGTAGAGCACATATTCATTGGTGAAGAAGACAGAGTCCAAATCTGAAGACTCCTCGGGTAAATTGGGCGGAATCCGATCACGCAAAACTTGGACTATCCCCTCTGTGAAAAGAGCCTCGGACGCGTAGGGACCATATGAGCCAGCGCCATAGTTATCCCAGACTGCGTCGAAGATACCGTCTCGGCATGGAGATGAGTCAACACCCCCAATGAACTCGCCTTTTATGGATCGCATTTGTGAGACGTAGTTGCGAAGCTGGCGAAGTACGTTTTGCTGTTCTGGCTCTGAGACACGATCCCAGTATTTGTTGAAAGACTCCGCTTCCACATATTCCATGACTATGTAGCATACTCCATGGAGAACATAAGCACTGAGCAATCTGGGGATTGGAATGTTGGTTCGAGTGGATACCAAATGCATTGCTTCAGCCTCCGCAAGCCGAACGCCGTGTCCATATTTGACTAGCGTTTCTGAATCAGCCCAGGCGAGACACGCGCCCCCCTTATCGGGACAAAGCTCGTGTGCATTCTTCAGATCTGAAGGGTCCAAGATTATTGTTGGCGGTCCAATAGTTTCAGACCAAGTCAATTCTGGTTCGGGGTTCTCCGCATTAGACACGCTGTCATTTTCCTGTACACCAAAGACTGTGTCTTCTTTGGTCTTGTCGTTTGTCCGCTTGATCTCAAGGGGATCCCGTGCGGTGGGCGGTTCATCACGTTCACCACATATGTTCCTCATGATATCACGGTTGCAGAGTGGCATACCCGTTCCCCCAAATTCCGGTGGTACGTCCGGCCCCAGGTAGTTTACCAGGTCTCCAGCACTTTGCAGTATTGTGGTCTTTTTGAGCAGGCTTTCGGAAATTTCTAGAGAGTCGAGATAGTCGTCAAAAGGCTGTATAAGATAAGCACGGTCAAGAAAGCCAGGATAATACTTTTGCAACTCGGTCACGACGCCTGAAAGCATGTCACGAACTCTATCACGCAATGAAATACCTATCCTGCGGCCAGGTGGTACAGAATAAAGTTTGAATTGCACGACACAGGCAGCTTGCAGGCTGCTTTCACCATAAAGCTCACAATTTGCGTCTATAAGTGCAGATGCAACATTCTCGAGGGCCGCAGTACCCAGATCTGCAAGCCCGTATTTCTGCATGAACCCTTCGTATGTTGCTGGAAGATCTCTAATGGTCTTCTCATCGATGACTACCCACATGATCAGTCTGTCCTCCGTACGCGTTATGTGCTGGAGCCCCGATTTTGTGAGGATTTCCCTTGACCCCGTCAGTGCTGATCGAGGCTGAACAATGCGTCTCCATTTGAGGGCACTCTGGAGGGAGGCACTCGCCCTGGCAAGGCTGATAGAGGGTATGATTGAATGCTGTTCGAGGAACTGTTGATTTGTGAGCGGCTGAGATTGTATTTCCAGAAGCATACCTTACCTTCTTAATAACTATCTCCTTGCGTTTATCGTCGTCACCATCGAGTTGTATGCCCCAAATCTCCGAGTGATGCGCATCTGAGATCAATGACGGCAGCTTCTCAAGAAGCTTAGCAACGTCTCCGTGTGCTGATAGTTCCAAACTTTCAGCCATGGCTTCGTTGTAACCCCCTTTTCATCGAACCTGGATAGTGTATGGCTATAGTAAGAACTTGAAAGCAGTCTTCGATGGCACAGCTGTGTCAATACGCCTTGGACGGTACATGAAGTCACTATCCAACCTTACTGAAATATATATAGAGGCTGGGAAAGTGAGGGGCTATCTTGAGAGAGGCTTTTAGCTCCTTTGGCTAGGTTAGCTGCCCAGCAACCAGAGGTCTCCGCTCTCCTCCTGCCACTTGTTGGGTGGCAGCAACCGATGGCCCATACTGATGCTTCCAGCTCCCACGCCTCCGGGCACCAATGGATACAAGTGTAGAACGCCACGGATCAATATTGGGCATTAGAATCAAGTATAATGGAGGTTTATTCCGATAGTTCAGAAGTAACATGTATGTCGAATGCCTTTTCCCACCATTTGTTGGACATGGATCCGTTAGAGAAAGACAAGACGGCTTAGGAAATGTAAAATCCAAGACAGGGTCCATCCAACGTCATTCCTATGAAGAGAATACAATTTCCATATAAGAATCAAGAAGCCCATGTTACATACTTGACCGGGTCTAAAGCTGCCTTCGCAATTTACCTCCATATCATAAGTATGCTACACAAAGGCAGGTATATGAAAGAGAAATGAAACAGGCAAAAAAAGTATATAGAAGGGGATAAACAAACACCAACAAAGATTAACAAAGGGAAAAAAGGTACTTACCACAAGATAAAGCACGGACTGCTACCAACTGTCAGGATTCTATCCTGGTGCGCTTCAGGAGAGAATCCTCCGGATCTATTCCACTGGATTATCCGGTAAAAGACTAGAATTCTGAGTCACTAGACTGAGAATGCACATCACTTTTACTCTTGCTAGGTCAATGTGAGATCATGTCGTCACATCAACTAGACAGAAAGAGATAAAGGCTTTGGAAATAGTGAATTGCGCGTTTGGATCCACCAACAGCAATCCAGTCCCAAATCCCTACATAATGTTTGTTATATTAGACTTGTAGATTTCATCCCAAAAGGGAAATTTATCAGCCCGTGGGAACACGGCTATTATCAGCAAGCCCTCTTTGTAAATATCTCTCAGTTCAATTCCATATGTGGCACCGAGCAACTATCGTCTAGAATTAAAAGGTCAGTACAATTCTACTCTACACATTACATATACTATATAGGACCTATTCATGACGATTCACAGGCATATACTCTGTCATAATTATGATTTATCCGATTGCAGGCTCCTAGGGTGCCAATAACATTGGGACGGAATAAGATACCTTGACGACTTATGCTGTCCACATAGAAAGTGGCTTCATTCGGTGATATCATCTTCCGCTATTCACCTTCATCATCCAGAAATACAATAATTTGGGCTTTTCAGATTTCATACTGTTCGGACATATATTCTGTGACTGTATGAAGGCAGAAAATGGGGAGTGGGGCGGCAAATCACGGCTCCCAGTGATAGAAGCACCTTCAAAGTGACCTGTTACATGCGGGGTTAGTCGACATAGTACACAGAAGGTCTAACACGCATAGTAATGTATTAGCGTGTAGAATAAAAGAAGTGAATGGCGATTTTCTTGTTACCAAAGACCTTCCTAGTTACCGTTCATTCTCTCAGCCCTGGGAATCTAACCTTGTGCTGCTGCGACTAGCTGTCAGCATAAGCTGACGAAACTTAAGCAGCCGCAAGTAGACGATGGATAGTAACAGAATAGAGGAAGGAAGGGGGGGGGAGGGGCGTAGTTTATTGGCACGGGCAGGGAAAAAACCTACTCTGCAAGTTCAGAGACAACGTTGTAAGACATACTAGTGGGGAAATGCGCAATACGTTAAGGGTCTAATCATTGCAATGTTTTGAAGAAAGAGTAAGGAAGCTTGGAATTGTCCTGGGTTTAATACTGATATCTGGGGCCTTTTGCTACATGGTGCAAGTGATACGAGAAGGTCAAACATGGAAGTTAGATCGCTTATCAATTTCAGCTCAATGGCAGAGAGATGATCCCTTGTTTCAGATGCAGGAACTTGATACATTGCCTGATATTAGCGGTATGCATCCGATTTGGAGAAGAGAAGGTTATCTAGCACCCTAAACAGATTGATTTATTCAGTACAAGATCTCCTACAGCATGCCAATGTACCTGGTCAACATTGATGTACCATCGTGCCTATGAATGAAGATATTGAGCCCAGCCTATTGTAAAGGGTATCCCTGTTTTAAGCCACAGTTTCTCCAACTTTTTCATTAATTCCCAGTTTGTACCCGATGTCATCTGTCTGAGGCGTTGACATAGATATTGAAGCATTCACCGTAGCCAGGCACTTCACCAGATCTTTCGTGGCCTCCCCTACGGCCTCCCCTCCATCTTCATCTTCCTTCCTCGGTGGCCAAGGAAATCATGACTTTGACCAGGAACAAATTTTAGTGGGTTAAGTCATGCTAGCTTGACGAAATATGCCATGGAGATTCATGTCAGTATCAACTACGCAATCCCTCCCCTTTGGCAATATATTCTCCAAAGAGATGCCGCCCCCTGCACGGCTATTCCCGTCACTGCTTTTCTCTGGAGGGTGATATTGAATGCCGATAGTACTCTGTACTTTGACTAGACTTGCTTCACTTAATATGATGATGTAGTAGGTACTATATATGGTATGTATCCATAGTTATATACTTCACACTGGGCTCTTGCCGGTCAAGATGATTGCTCGGTTGCATCTTGCAGGTTTCAAAACTATCTAACTGGGAGATCAGGGCTATTGCCAATTATTGGAAGTTCATCCGCGCAAACATCCGTAGGAGAGCCCTACGGTGTAATGTGAATTTGGGGGCTCGTATTGATCAATTGGAAAATTCCGAAATATAGTAATTCATCTTATGTTCCTATCCTAGGCTATTTAATACTCCAAATAAGCTCCAGTCATCGCAGACATGATGAATACAAGAGATTCACAGTCAAACCCACTTCAATGCGCTTTGACAGCGGCTTGTGCCTTTGATTTTCTCTGCACTCTCACCTTCTCACCTTAAGTAACAGCTTGCAAATCGATTTAGTTCTCTGTTGTTATGTCTTCCCATGATGAGGCCGATAGCGCACCTACGAGCGAGATTAGTCTAAGACCTTCCAGCCAGGATGTTAGAGATATGTATATATTATGTGTTAATATATACGGGAAGGGAGATCCGGCAAAGAAAGACAGCCCGACTCATTGGGCACTTATAATATATAAACCTGGCGAAATCGAGGGCAATATGTACCATGTGCGGAGGAATTATGATTTTTATTATCATACACAGAAGCTTCCGGTTGAAACTGTTACTTTCTATGGCAGAAGCGAACTAATGGAACTTTCCAACACGCGTAGGTTGGAGGCCATTCAACTTCTCGAAGCCTATGGAAATGACACCCGGAATCTCCCTAAAGACAACGAGAACTGTCACGACTGGACCGTTAAAGCTTTGGGGTTGCTCGAGGCAGCAAAGCTTGCTCCTATAGGAACAGAGAAGTATTGGAAGCGCCTAATTGGCAAAGGTCCTATCAGCATTGGCAGGCAGCTTATTGAAGATGGGAAGCCTTGGGTGCGGAAGCCGATCATGCAGCCAGCACGGGAGTTGCCAGCCGATGCGACGTTTGGTAGGACTGAAGAGAGCAGGCCCATTGGCAGGCTAGATCTCCAGAACTACACCCATCTCATGGGTGGTGTCAAAAAGAAATAGCTAGGCTTGCAGATAATGGCCACGGCTGGCTCCGTTCTCTTGTCACACTGCTGCTATGTTAGTGATCGGATGTCGTCTCCCACTGTGTCTGCTACTTCCTATGGCTAACACAAAGTTCTTCGGATGCCGCCCGTATCGTGTCTTGCGCTATCAATTCTCCGCTACAGCATGTTTAGCACGCTATTGAGCCAAGACTTTCTCGTCAATCGGAACGGAACCACACATTATACTACACACAAAGACAGATGCGTGAAACACACTTGATCCTGAGCAAACTGCGCCTCCAGATAGACCGGGGAACGCGCAGGTCTTCGAGCCACGGAAGTCTTCACCCCGGCTGGAATCTTTAGACTGTTAAAAGGTTGATCACGATGTTCGTCACAGTCATGTATGAGTACATGGAATGAACAAACATAGCTACATCCACCAAACCCAAAATTATATAACTACTAGATTACTACAAGTACGGGGTGGCAAGGGGCTAGGTGTGGAAGGTGTGGGTGGTGACTCGCATAGCATTGCTTTCTTAGCGAGACACAGGATCGCAACCTCTTCTCCTTTAGTACTACATCCCGCTGCATTGAGGACTTTTCTATACATCCAACTTCGTGTTGCTTCGTATCTCACTACTTTGGGGCAAAGGGAAGCGTAAAGAACCATGCTCTTGCTTTGAACCGGTGAAGCACCTCGCTTAGCTGGAATCAGGTCGGAAAGAGCGATTAATCAAATTGAATCAAAGCATAACCAATACAGATCTAGTACGAATATACATCCCAAGTGGAGAACATAGACGCCCAATTAATATAAGGGATCTAGCGCCCGTTGGTAACTTTGTACATAAAACACACACTCTTCCCACTACAACTCAAGTGTCTTTCTCTTCAACTTACTTTCCACGTGACCCCTTCTTTAAACGCCCAGGCTTCCAACAAAGACAACACGACTAGGTAATCAGCATTCGCCTTCGTCCATCACAAACAAATACATCCAGCCATCTACCGCTTCATAACCTCATCCAAAACCAAAGATGGACCGTTCAACCAAAGAACCATCCACCCAAGCCCTCTCCGTCAACATCTATGGCCGCGGCGACGCCTCCCTCGGCGACAGCCCCTCGCACATGGGCATAGCTGTATACGATATCGGCGGCTCAACCTGTCAAATGCATCATATCCGCAACCCCAGCGACGAGTACTTCATCTACGACCCACGTGTCCAGCCTCTTCAAGATGATCCTGTCATGAGAGGACGTTGCGAGTTGATCACCTTCCCTCAGGAGAGATGTGAACATGTGAACAACCTACTCTCCTCATTTGGGAACAACGCATCTAATATCCCTGAATTCGGTGTCGGTAATTGTCAGGATTGGGTGGCTGGTGCGGTTGCCATGCTGGAAGATGCCGGTGTTGTAGCGAGTGGGGAGGGTGCGTTCTGGAAGAGTATGATTAATGGGGGTGCGGAGAGTATTAAGCGTGCGTGTGGGGAGTCCGGGAGGAAGTGGATTGATGGGCCGGAAATAACGTTTGAGGGGGATCCGGATGCGAGGTTCAGGGATAGAGATGGAGATGGTAAGAAGGAGGTTGGGAAGTTGAAGGATAATGAGGCTTTTAGGGAGAGGATGCAGGTGTTGATGGGGAAGGGTAGTATTGTTGGTGAAGGAGGGGAGAGGAACGTGGCTGAGAGGCCGTTTTATGTGTCTAGTCCGTTTTTCAGTCAAACGAATAATCGTGGCTAGTGTGGTGTTCTTTCTTATTATCGTTTTTGTTTTTATGGCTCTTGCTGGCTTACTCAAATGAAAGCACATGTTCTCGTCTCACAGCCGTTCATGATGGATTATGGTGTTTTCACTTGCTACATAGAATGCGAAAGGGCTCTGGTGCACTATTGGAGCACTCGGTGAAGGCACGTTACAGTGGCTTTCTGTCTCTCAACTAGTCCCTATGGCAAGGTGAGATAGATCAATAGAGTAGCTCGATTGGCGCTCTCCACCAGCAGAATCGGTATCCGGAAACCCAGCTTTGCACTCACACCTTACTCTCTATGAATTCTGACTAATTCTTGTAGATCACAGCGTACTTCATATCAATGAGGGCATTCATTCAATAGAAGTAAGATGCTACCATGAACAAAGTCCAACGCACGGCATCGGACAATATCATTCAATCTATATACATTCCATTTCAGGTTTTATAGTATGCACATTTACTCCTTCTTCTCCTCCATCTCCTCAAAGCGTCTCAGGTCCATAGGCTTCTCCAAGAGAGGGATGACGTAGGGGTCGAAGGTCTTCCAGTAGGGGTTCTCGAGGTGGTACTTCTGGGAGCCCTCGTTGAGGTAGCGCTCGACGATGCAGAAGTCCTGCTTGTCGTGGACGCTCTGCATGACGAACCAGGACAGGGTCTCCTTGTCCTTGGAGTAGACGGCCGAGGCTTCGATGAGCTTGGCGTGGAGCTTGGAGATGCTCTCCTCGTCGGGCTTAGCGCGGAGGTCTGTTGTTCATTGTTATGTTAGTATGATCAATGCCATAGTATATTGCATAGGGTAGATTTGCGGTTGGAGAAACGTACGGACGACGATAGTGTAGACCATTTTGACGGTGTGATGGGAGGAATAAATGGGGATGTTGTGCGTGAGAAGGAGGGGATGGAGGGGTAACGGGGTTCTTAAACGTGGGCGGGCAAGATTGAGTTATTTTTAAAGAGTTGGGGTGGGGCGGATGATTTACTGGTTAAGGTGTTCTCGGTGAGGATCCGAGGATGAAGCTTATGGGTTCCAGTTCCGCGAGATAAGCTTAAGCTGAGAGTGTACCGTTATGAGATTGGGGTTGCACTTTTGTTCTACACTAGTCTTAGGAATGGAGTAGAGAGACTAGAGTGCTGTAATTCTATAGATAACTCACAAACTTTGGGAACTTCATAGTCCCAATTGTTCATAGCATGAAGTTGCTCGGGGATACTTCGGCGAGTCTGCATCGACCCATATACGACCCCACATTTACTGTGCTGTAGCTTGGACCAGCACAGCATGTGCGACATGCGTCCCTTGCATAAATCATGATCAATGTAATGGACAGCACTGGGTTAGCTTATTCTAGCCATACCTACGGAATTTTCACAAAATACATCACGATATTGTAGCTATAAAATACGTAGGTTTGTTCGGCAGATCGGGGCTCCGGGGTTATGATGAGGGACAAGTCGACATGTGTAAAGAGTATGGATATTTCAGGGTCTATGCCACCCACAATGAACTATCTGTGCAACTGGAAGCACTTGGTGGCTTAGTGGTCAAAATGTCAGAAGTTGAGCTCACGGTAGACTCGGTCTGCCGAGCAATTTCGGCAGCTTAAGATCAGGTTCGGATGTGGTGACGTCATAGGACACTGGCAGACCATTGAAACTAATGTGTGTATATTTTAATGGATAGAAGTATTCGATGGTGGATTTTCATAGTCACTCTAAAGTCGAGATACTTCTTTCACTCGACGCACTCCGGCAGGTGACTTGTGCTATGTTAATCAGGGCTCGTCTCTCTTTCACGGCTGGCTGTCCATTATTACTTTCCAGTGAAAGTTGCTGTAACACAAGTACTAATGCCGGTCATTTCTAGTCTTTATATGCCGTAAAACTTATAAACCACGGGGTCAGGTGATGAGCAGACTTTTCAAGTGTCTATTTTCTTGGGATGCGCAACTTCATTTTTGGGTGAACGCCATGTTGGCATTTATATATGATCAGCATGGACTGTGGGAATAGGACCGTTCGGCCTCAGATCATACTATAAACAGAATTCTTGCTTACCCTTCTAGAAAATCTCCGAGTACCGCGTCCTGCAGCCAATTCTGAACACCATCCACATTCAATTCTGCCTGAATCGATCTCTAAAGCGCTAGTCTCTGGCCTACCCCGCGACCGCCGCGCAGAGTGTGGGACAGCCCAAAGCTCGTATTCAAGCAGGGTCGAATCTCAAAATGAGATCTATCGACTGTCCACCTCTTCGGGGTTTCCCACATTATAACTTCTTTAGGCAAATCGTGTTGAGACAAAAAGCGGGAAGACCTGGGATCGCCGATGCCAAGCAACCACCACAGCCATTTATAGCTTAGGCGAGCCCGATGTTTCAAACCCGTCGGTTCCCTCCGCTCTTCATTCGCGATGTCTCACCTCCACCAGCTTATGTGCATGTAAAAGACCCTGATTCTTCTAACCGAACAGCTCTCTTCGTTCATTTCTCTTCAAGACCAGAGACGGCCAGAATTCTGTTGGTAGCAGAATGGGGAGATATAAAAGCCCCCATGAAAGACCGTAAAAGCCCAATCTTCCCAATTCATCGCATCAGCTTGCTTTTTTAAGGACTATTATCTTCTGGAATCCCCAACATGTTGATCTTCCCCACAATCGCCACTCTCGTGGCTCTCTCAACCTCCACCACCGCCCTTTTGCAGCCCCGCTCAATCACCCCCCCGGACGGATGTCCCATCCCTACCTGGGAAGTTACCACTTTCCACTGGTACAACGGTTCAAAAAGCCTGGACTGTGTCCATAACCAGGCCGACATCAACTTCAAAGATTGCCTCTGCGGTCATGGCTGGTGCGCCCCCGACCCTGCCACCTGCAACGGGAGCATGGTCAATGTTTGCTGGACCGGGAAGCCCAATTACCAGCCGTGGGGATATGGTCCTCCTGAGACACTTGACATCGACTTCGCGGATGGACTGACCTGCCACGATGAGTACATCGGGTATCGAGTACATGACATCGGAAACGGAGCATCTAATTGTGGATATGCGGATCGCGGCGAGGGAAGGATCGTTTCTTTCTATGGTAGCTCCAACTATGCGACGTCTACCGGGCATATGGATTATGTCCTGGGAGATGGGCATGCGCTGGAATGTGCAAATGGTAGCCTGATCACTTACTCTGGGAGCACGGATTTTACTTTGTCATGCACGCACGATGAGTATTTCAATGCGACGTGTACTGCGCCGGACTTTGTTATTCCAGTGTTGAGTTATGAGTGGGTGTCCTAGGTGTTGGGGTGTGATTGGGTGGGGTACTGAGGAAGATGGTAGTGGCTCAGCTGAGTGTCATGTCGGTTGAGAACGATATATGCATGGACCATTGGATAGTTATATTATATGTATGCTTTTGAGACCATTACTCCGGCTTGTTGTCCGTACTCAAAATACTTCTGAGTCGTCTTCAGATGTCCAAGGGTACAATTATGTTCTTTTTAACTAGTCACTGAAGACTAATCGCTTCACTTGAATATTCCGGCGTTTAATAACATAATGCCCTTGTTGTGGCTCATTTAAAGAATATGCAATCACCGTACGGATCATAGAAGCAATTACCCGAATACAAATTTGTCCTAGGAAGTCTCCGGCGAAAGGCTTTTAATGTCACAGGGCTCACATACTTGGCGTCCGCTGGGCAATTAATCAATGCCCAATATGCCGATATTATGCTGTGCATCCCAAGGAACGTGATACTCTCCATATGCGCTGGGATTTGAGATTGTTTAGATGGAGTGTTTTAGAAAGTTTGACACATAATATCAGAATAATTTCCAAGTGTAGAAAAGCGCAAAATCTAGTCGGGCTTCACAGTGTTATGGCTCCCTGTAAGGCGCGGGGAAGTCCACTCGGAAGCAGCCAGGGTCTGCCGATCACAGCCTTACAAAAGCATCGGTGCATTCGTATATGCAGTTGTCTGATAGTCGTCTGCGAGTAGATACCATGTCGCTTTTCTGAGATTTTTTGACCACGACATGTCGAACCGAGCTCTACACTACATGGAAGCTTTCTATGGCCGGTGAGCGTCCGGGGTTTCCGGGGTTTCTTGGCTCTGAATGATACGATCAGATGGATGGCAGGCCTAATATCTACTCCTTGGCATTTGAATCTATTACTCCGTTCAGGGCTATATAATGGTCGAGAAACCCCAGCAGAAACAGAGCATCATCTTCATCGCAATCAACGGAACATTCGCATACAACAGCAGCAAAGTCCTAAACAGACAATATCTCCACCATGCAGTTCACCAAGTCTATCGTGGCTACCGCCCTTGCTCTCTTCGCTTCCAGCGCTGTTGCAACTACAGTCGATGTATGTTCAAGAATTATCTCACGCCTTCTCACTCGACATCACTATATCGAGATCCATTCTTTGTCTATCTGCTAATCAAATATGGCTCTAGATCGCCTACACCTCTAATGGCGTTTACTACAACCAGCAGGTGGAGTCTGATGTCCGTACTTATTTGAGTCAGCCGTATGTTACCTGTCTTGTTAAGGACCTTGTCCAAGTGCATTGCTAATGACTTTACAGTGGATCCATCAGCACTTTCCAGAACACTGCCAATTGCTATCTCTTCTCGTACTTATCACCTTTCCCATTGAAATGATTATGCCCGGTATTGCCACTAACATGAACCGCTATAGCTACTCTGGCCAGGAGGTCTACTATGCTGCCGCGGGTGCGACGAACATCAACCCCCCAGTCTACGCTGCATTCGTCCAGTGCCAAGACCCCTCCTCTACCTAAATCAGTACCAGCATGACGTGATATAGTCATCGCAATGTATTATTTGACAGTGGGTTGTGCTTCAGGTAGCTAGGGTAAACAATGCTGGGTATGTAAGGGTATCAGAGTGACATGATGGGAAGCCAAATTGTTAGCACCATGGGATAATGTTGGTCAGATACAGAGAATGTTATATGTTTGGTTATGCTACACTACGACGACACATGAATAGACAGTATCAGCTTTCCCATGATGACCATGGAAGGAGGTCCTTGGGAACGAGCCAAATGTATCCATTTTGGTCATAGAATGGCAGCCCAGGAACAGTAGGGTAAATGCTTCCTTCACTTCTGGTTTGCTCGCGTCCTGCCATTATTGGAGTACTCCTGGGTTGTTCCACGTATCAGCTCGGGGTGAACATCTTGCTTGGGCCACCTTACAATTTGATGCAGATCCACCCTACTTACCCCATCCAGTACTTCAAATAACGCTTCTTGCATGTCTTGAACAGTCTGATAACTCATAGTATGATTCAAATGTCCACACAGCATCTTTGCTCCTCTTTGAGGTATATGGGTTTTCTTCCTAAGCCGAATCAAGGTAACATTCAAGGTCCGTGCCCGTAGAACATCGCAAGAAGCCTGAAAGAATTTGTCCGCGGATAAGCATTCAAAGCGCCATTCCATTGTGAGTCAACCGCGGCTTTTTTGGAATGTCCGCGGATGGATCGGGCATTCCTCAGGTTTTATTGTTGCTTTTCGCCCAGCCATCTCCACATAATCTGCGCATCCCTACAAGGTCTTTTTCGAGTTGTACTAGACATTTGCAGACTATTTGGAAAGCTAAGGTGTGGCTCTCTATGCTGCACGACCGATCAGTATTGTAATCCTAACCTGCAGGACCACAACACTACATGGATCCAAGTAACTCAGGTATACGTTGTCCGTCATGTTCTCTACCCACAACAGCCATTGGACTCCCCACCACAGCTGCTCATGTTCACGCCTCATTTTTGTATTTCACACACGCCAACCGAAGCTATGTCATATCCCGCTTCCGATCAGAAATTAGTATATTTATATAACACCGAATTTCATACAAAGTCTATGACGCCCAAAGAGTCCGGCTGTCCGATGCAACTTCACACTGAAAATACGACCCGAGTATGCCAGATATTGCCAGATATGACCCTGTCTTAGGATACTGTTTACAACCCACGGGCTGGAGTATAAACAGGTGAACAAAGTCCATCATAAAGCCACCCTTTTCTCTTACAACCAAGCTTTAGCTACACCCATAATCAAGTGTCTAAAATGCAACTAATGTTATCAATATACATGTCATCCTGGCACAAGAAACATGATTCGCTGTTGTATGGAGAGACGGTTCAGCCTTCTCGGAATTTCCGTGGATGATTTCGGCACGATATGCTTATTGCATAGCCATCCCCAGATATGTTGTGTGACCCTACCACACTTTCTCGAGGTGTGGTATATTTTCCCCTTATATAGTCAGAAATTATGAGGTGTATGTTTCCATACTGGATTTAGTGTAACTGCAAGCTCCAGCAAATACATACGGTTTGATTGACTTACACCAGTGTACATATCTCCTAAGTGGGGAAATATGGAGGAGAAGTGCGCTTCACATATGTATCTGTACACTCACAGGATTGATGATTCTTATAGGGTCAGCAGCTAATGCTTGCATTGTGTTGTTTCTTATGCGCCCTGCCTAGTGCTATGCCCCTCAATCACTATCCCAGAAGAGGATGCCAATTGTAAAGTATAATTCACCGTATTGCCTATCATGTCCGAGAGAAGTTCGGTTGTCTCGTGCACCATTTACAGTAAAGAATGCAACCGGGGCATGTGAGACCATCCAGGTAAAGCACACCATTCAGGGCGGGAATATAAAAAGGCAGGCATGTCCCACGGTAGACTGACCAGGGTTCTCGAAACCCAGCTGATAACAGGCGATCCAGGAGCTTCCTCTGCAATCAATAAACGAGAAACCCACAATGCAATTCACCAAGTATATTCTAGCCACTGCAATGGCACTCTCAACTGGCGGCTTCGCTGTCGATGTCGACGTAAGTGCACAGCATGCCATCCCTACGAACAACATATTTCTTCTCAATGAAACGTGTATACTAACATGCTCAGATTGCCTATACGTCCAACGGTGTTGAGCACGTCCAAGTGGTACAGTCCAATACAATTGTTCCACTAGACTACCCGTATGTCTTCAACATGTTTAGATCTATCCAGGCACCTTGTTTTAAGGATCGGCAAAGCTAACAATAGCAAACACACTGGCAGAGGTCTTATTACCACCTTCCAGACCACTTACCCCTGCGATCTTTTCCCGTAAGTCTTAGCCGCACCGCTTAGATTGTTAATCCCCATTTGCCTTTAACACAGCGTCACAGATCGTCAGAAGTCAACGCCTTATACGTCCATCCTGGTGCCCATGTGATTAATCCCGGATTTGAGGCCGCAACTATCGTCTGCCTTGATATTTAAGCGGTGTAATCTGGTATTAATGCCACGAAGCAGGATTGTATGTCATAGCTGTTAATGAAAGCTGCGCTGTCGCGGCTTAATTCCAATGTTTCCGGGCGTGGGGGGATAGAATTCACGTGCAGCTCTTGCAGTATGAGTTATCATTTATAGCATGAGTGCAGCTATTCTGCATCAAATGCACCTGTTCAATTATCTCTTCACAAATCCCATCTGAGAAATTGACTAGCTAGATATATATATACCCAAGAAATATCCCCTGTTCATTGTTTTCATAACCCGCAATAGCCATCACCACTCCTGCCAACCCGCTATCATGGGCCCAGGATCCGATCTATAGCCGATCAGCATATAGTCTCTTCTTTAGACTCAACCAAGCTTCCCGTCCGACCAGCCCCTCGTGTAACTAGAAATCTTAATTCCGTGATATCATCGAACTGCCCTACAAACAGAGATATACATTCCCCCGGTTAATGATGACAGTAAGTAACTACCGACCCCAACGGCACACAGCAAGCAGGATGTTTCCCGAGCCTGGAATTGAGTTAGCTCACCGATTTTTTCCCATGCAGGGACTGACAAATGTCTGCCATTGCCAGGAACACAAACATGAGAACTCCAAAGTGGTGGCAGCGCTGATCGTCAAGCTGGGCATATAGTCTATATGAAGATCGTCTACTATCGCACTAGTGCGGCCTGACGCCCGCGTGCACCGATCGCCTCCGGCAATGGCGAAAAATCTTCTCTATCTGAAGAAGATAACATGATAGGAACTGAGACACTGTAAATTGACAATGGCAACTGAACCCTTGTCAAGGTGCAGAGTTACGATGACTATGATGTATGTCCCCAATAATCCCCATATAACGCAAGACATATGGAGTGTACACTCAATCTCAGCCCCAGCTGCCGATCACCTACCCAGATCCACAAAAAAAGTATCAAGCTTCCGGCATCGAGTTCCCCCGACGGCTCCGAGCAATTATCCGGATCGACAAAAGAGACCAAAGCATATCCAAAAATGGATTCAAGCTGGCCGACACTATCGAAGCGGTATGCTTACACGAAGACTAAATCTGCCGCCTCTTCAATAGTACTTAAACCCCCTCCAAGGTCACTCACCGGATGCAATAGAACATTCAATCAAAAAAACAAGCATCTTACATCCATTCAAACCCCGACCATAGTCCAACGCCCCAAAGGAACATAAACAAAAACAAAATGTTCTTCAACAAGTCCCTCCTGGCCACTACTCTGGCCGTTTTCGCCTCCGGCGTTGTCGGCCAGATCATTGATGTATGTTGATATCCACATCCCTCTTTAGCAGGATGAAATTATGATGGACTACAATAGAACAGTGGCTAATATGAGTATCTCACTTAACAGATCGAATACGGAACCAGCGAATACGACGCCCATCAACAGCAGGTTCAATTGCAGGAGCTCACTGAGCTGGATTACCCGTACGGTTTCCAATGACCTCAACCTTTTAGGATTGCAAGCCATTTTTGTACTAATATCTTCGTTTGCAGTGGCACTTACTCTTACTTCTCTACCCCTGATATCTGTGATCTGTACAGCAACACCGAGGATTACCCGGCTCTCTCGAATATTGGTGGTACGGGAGAGATCCCTACGACGTACATTGATGCTGTCTACTGCTATACTCAGGAAGAGGAGGATCCTATTTTGTAGATGAGTTATGCTATGGGTCTTGATCATGGGAATGGGTATTTTGATTGATGAGGGTGTGTACTATGGTGGTTATTGGCTATGATAATACTATATAGATGTTGGATGTGTTTACGTATATTATGGAAGGTTATTGTTTCAGCTATAAGGATTAGTCCGAGTTAGTAACTACTAGGTTCATGTTGGGATTGGTATTTAATACATATATTGAATTAATATGTTTTGTATCACGCTATACGGGAACTTGTCATTATTGCTCGTGTATATCATCGAAAATCATGCAGACAGCCTACTCCCTCTCCTCTGTCGCCCTACCCACATCAATCCCAAATCTTGGGTCATCCCCAGACCACCATCCCAGCCCGAACACAAGGCCAGAGAAATATCCCCTTCTAAGCATTTCCCTATCATTGCACCATTCCGAACCCGCGGGTAATGTATCACTCTTCAGCACGTCCGAGCCCGCGATAAGCGCTCCCGCGCCAGCAATACTGCACGGGTTGAAAGGGAGAACTTCCTTCGTTTGCATAAAATACAATGCGACCAGGGTGGAGACGACCATGGCTGCAAGGAAAGCCTCGAGGATGCGGGTGGATATGGCGCTCTGCGTGAGGCGGGTACGATTTGGGTCAACGATAGTGGCGGGGAAGGTAGTTTGGCTGTCGTTAGTGGTGATTCGTGCATTACCGTTCATTGACTGAGCCATCAACGTGCGGTAGAGATGTTGTGTTGCATTGATGACAGTGGCGTAATGGGAAGGGTCAGTGATATCAGACAAGGAAAGGGTTTTCTGGTCATTGAGCATGGCGGAGAAAAAGGCGTCAAAGGCTTGGTCTTGCTTATTCACGGGCTGGGAAAGGAAGCTGTCGAATTTGAGGGTGGTGGAAATGTTTGTTGTGAAAAGTCGGCTTGTTGAGTCATCCGCGGTCGCAGACTGGATATCTAGACCGGGGAGTGCCAACGAGGTTGTTGCATTGACTTCGTCGATTTGAGGGTTGCAGGTAAATCCGCGGATCTGGGCTGTGGAATTGCCATCAATTACACCGTAGAATCCCATCAGCGCTGGGCAGTCACCGAAATCTATTTCATCTTTGAGGTATTTGAAGGCACCGAATGTAGTGCGCGTTGCGTTGGGATAGTCGGTTGTGATGGTGAAGTCAGTGGAGGTGTCTGCACCCTGACATTTCTTGTCGAGCTGCATGCGGAGGTCGAACATGGGAAAAGAATACCAAGCGGGTTTGATGTAATAAACAATGTCTTGGGGGAGTGCTTCGCAGGTAAGGTTGGCGCGGAGGGCAGGGAGGGTTAAGTTGAGGAGAACCAGACTGTCTGACGTGCTGTTGAACGAGGAGGAATTGGTTTGGACCGTCCCGTCCTTATAGGTGAGGGACGCCTCATTGAGGGTAGGGAGAACGAGCTCGTCATACGTCCAAGCTGGGTACGATAGGTTGGCTCCCACCACAAGGGCTCCTGTGAGGCCGAGGCCGGGGTCGCTGGTGGTGGAGGAAAGAGGGCTGATGGTAGTGTTAAAGGTGTCGGTTCGCGCTATGGAAGCAGAGCGTGTGTACACAATGTCCTGTGTTGAATACAACCCACTGACTGCCACTGTGAGCGCAGGGGCTAGAAGAACGGTAAATCCCGTGGCGCACACAGCCCACTGTTTCCGCTTGATTGCGGTCAAGAATGAGAACAAGGTCAGCTTGGATAGGTGGTTTTCCATAAGGCTGCCCGGTGCTGTCACGCCACCCTGCCGGAGCTCCAGGTATGGCTGGAACACCATAGCAGAGAAATGGATGCAGTCAAAGAATATGCGAACGATGAGGAATATCAGTGCCGGCAAATAGGCCCAGACGTAGTGGATGTAGCCGCCTGAGGTAACAGTTCCGAGTCCATCTTGACGGGCGGATACCTGATAGGATGCCTCTAACCCAGCTATAATGAGAAGGGGGAGCACTGTAGAGATAATCCACCACCATATTGTTACTGAAACTGGTCGCCACCAGGTCAGAGGGCCAGAGCTGGCTCCAGGACGACTCGCTTCGGTTGCCTTCTCGTCTTCCTCGATGCCAAACGTTCTCCAGCCGTCGTTGTCTGTCACGCGGGTGTAGAACCTTCCATCTGCTAGGTTGGTGGCGAGGTTTTGGGTGTTTTTGCAGCCAATAAGCCGCTCAGACACTTTGGGGCTGCGGCTCAGTATGCCTGCTAGCCCTGCAATCGTGCCGGGATCACGCGATGTGCAACGAGTTGGCCTACAGATCCACAGCACTGCAGTCAGAACAGTCAAGACCGCTAAGGTAGCTTCCATTATTCGTACTGAGAGCTCCCTAACAACCACTCTCTGGGTATGGGCTGAGTATGTCCCTGCAAATTTACCGTCTGCAGAAGACAATAAGTACTGCCGTGCTATTTGGGCAGCCATGGCATTGAATGTCGGACGGGAAATCTTTTCCAAAATTGATGCATCCAGCAAGTCAGTCATTGTGTGGGGAGAGGTTAGATTGGCGACAAGGTAGAATGCACTGGGATAGGTGCTGTTCGGGTTCGACAGGTTGTATTGATAGGTTGTAAGGGAATGGGTTGTCGTATCCACATAGTTAAGAGTATCCAAGGTGTTCTCAGCCAACGATAGGGAAGACACAAGTCCTGTCCCTAGCTCGATACCCTCAAACCCTGGGATTGTACTGTTGCTGGAGTTATTATAAGACTGGATGCTAGCCACACTCTGATTGCCGTAGAGCAGCGAGACGGCTCCTTGCGAGATTGTATAGGTAGGACTGCAAACGAGCGCTTGGATTTTGGTGCTGTTCTCAGACCAGTGGGCGGCAGCAAAGATTAGGCGGGTGTCATTGAGACCATCAGCCGTATCTGTATCCGTACATGCGGCGGTAAATACGTCGGCATAGTATCCCCCCACCGAAGAGGAGCTCCTCTGAAAGCTCGTGAACGGGTACTTCGAACAGGAAGGAGTACTAAGAGTAATGTTGAGCTCATCGTATTCGCACATTTGCGTGCTGCAACCGGAAGTCCAATTTGCGACTGTGCCTACGTCGCATTCAAGGTCGGCAGAGAACATGTCGACTGTCCCTGAAATGACTGCATCGGCACCTGTAAAGGTAGTCAGTCTCTTGTCTCAACAGTAGCGGAGCAGCTGAGTCCCACCTAGTTTCTTGTCGGAGGTTGTGAACGGTTGGAAGGCATATCTATCGGTCGATCCTAACGGATATGGCAGGTTCAGCCACCAAGCCCCAGCTACCACCATTGCAGCCGTTCCATCAACCTTGGAGCCATTAAACCCAGCAGCGTCAAAGCTCGCTTGAGTCATTAAAGTGGTTGGAACATCCTTCATGTAAACATTTTGCAGCATGAACAGACCAGTCGAGACCACAGTAATTAGCTTTATGAGCAGTGTTCCCAGAACTGCAAGGACAACAGCCCAAGAGGATTGCTTCAGAGCGCGAAAGAGGATGACCACGTTCCAGTCAGACACGTAATCCAGCAGCAAAGAGTGTGTAGCGGGTTTCGGCTCTTGACTCATGAACTTCCAAGGCATAAGCTGTTTCGTGCGATACTCGACCTGGCCCCAAAATCCAGCGACAATAGTAAGAACTGCGGGATTAGCATACTTCACGTAAAGGGACTCTAGATAAGCAAAGGATGGCTTACCCGCTGTCGGGCCATACGTCCACAGATAGTGATACCGTTCCTCACTCGTGCTCAACCCATTCTTCTGTGTCGATACCGAATAGAGCACCTCAATAACAATGATGAAACATATGAATAGTACGCCGAACACAGCCAGAGACACGGAGCGTAACATCACGGGTGACCACATGTGTCGCTGTGGCGCATAACCAGGAAGCGAGTCGCCATCACTCTGACTAGACACGTCCCTCACACCTGTAGACGGTCGTTTCCCGGGCACACGCGCAAAGGCTTTCGCTTTGGGCAAGATATTGCCCAACATATTTGAGGAAGATAGCCCGTGGACACCAACAGACACCACCGCTTGTCAGTTGTCTTTTGACGATGATTTCACTTCGTCAGAATTATCTGACGTGGGGGCGGTTCGAGCCTCAGGTATAAGTAGGGACGTTTTGGGCAAGGGATTGCCGCAGCGGCACAGCCCACCGTCAATCCCTGCATAGCCTGATCCTTTTGCGTCCTTGAGACGCTGGCGGCAGACACTGGCGGCAAGGCTGTGATGACGGTTATTGTTGATGGTGTCCAGGGTGGGTTATCCAATACTGGAGAACTGATTCATCCAAAGTGGGTCAGGGTGGTCGTAGCATTATCCAGATGATTCAGAGAGTGCTGTGTACTCTCTCGTAGCAATAGCTTTCTCTCAAGCTTTCCCTACCATGGGACCCTTGGGAATCAGTGCTGAGACGAGGCTTGTCCCTGCCGCCGGCTCCACTTGGGCCGGTCACTTCATGCCAACTAAGCAAGGGACTGTCCAACCAGCAGCTGACTTGGTGCGGGGGTTATCGAAAAGGGCAAAGCACGAGGCTGGAACTTTGAAACACATGGAGAATGATAGGGATGTCGCTAAGAAACCTGTTGGTCAGGTATTTTTCCGGCAGAAAGCTGGTAATTAGACCTGGGAAGGGAATATCGTAAGCACGGCCACCTGCCCATAGGTATCTAACAGGTTGTACTCCGTAGATTAATGGCCAGTACTAGCCAGGGTTAGTATTCTGTCCGCTAGAGATATATGTGAAAGCCCAAGTAATCGCCTTCTAATACTTAGTGGTCACTAATAATGCCCCCCAATCAGCCCTTCCAAAAGATCCTCCCCTCAAACAATCTCCTTGCCGTGCGAAACACCGTTGCGAACCTCAATGTCCCCTCGTCATCAAATGTCGCTCCGACGAGCAGATTCCCGCTCGCATGTCCCAGCGTAATACCCGCCTCATCCACGCGCTTTTCGCCGACCACCTGCGATACCGTACTGCCTGACACTCGCGCCGCAGACGCTACAGCTAATGCCACTGTAATCGGCACCGCCTTATGCGGCTGGCCAACCGATAGAGCTCGCACAAGCAAGTCCACCTTTTCCTTCGTCTGCTTCTGCTCCACCGCGCGTGTATCCGTCCCTGGCTGCGACACTAGACATATTTTAGGCACACTACCGGGCACGGTTTCCCTGGTATCAGCCAACCCCATCTTCACTCCCGCCTGCCGACGGATAGAATCCAACCGATCAAGCAGACCCGGATGCACTGTAATCTCTTCCGGTGTCAAGTTCCCCTCAACTTCCAAATCCTCCGCACGCACAAACACACACGGATTCGCCACATCAATACAAGTAGCCTCCACCCCATCAAACACATCCCTCACCTGTCCTGTAGGAAGCAATTTGCCCGTCCTTGATCCCGCTGGATCCACAAAATCCAACTGTACAGGTGCCGCTGTTCCTGAAACCCCATCTATCGCAAATTCCCCCGACGCAGCAGCCTCTCCATCCACCACGGGAAAACTCGAATGAACGATCTTCCCGGTGTTGGTGTTGTGAATGCGCACGGATGCAGATGTCAATCCAGGCAGTACTAATCCAGAGTCGACGGCGAATGGACCAACGGCACTGATCATATTCCCGCAGTTGCTGGAGTAGTCTACATCGGGGGTTTTCACGCCCAGAGACACGAAGGTGTAATCAATGTCTGCGCCGGGGTGGGTGGGCTTACCCACTACGCAGATTTTGGAAAGGCTGGAGATGCCTCCGCCTAGACCGTCAAGTTGTCGGCCGTAGGGGTCGGGGCTGCCGATGACACCCCGGAAAATGGGGTCCCATTTGGCCTTGTCTGCGGGGAGGTCGTCTTGCTTGAAGAAGATGGCGCGGGAGGTACCGCCTCGGTAGTAGGCTGCTGGGAGGTGATGTTGCTTTTTGGTGCTGAGGGAGCGGGACCCTGATGGCAGGGTATGGCGAAGTGGACGCAGCATGATGCGTTGAATTGGCATATTTCTAAACGGAGATGCGGTGGAATCATGGCGGAATGAAGATGATGAATGGGTCGGAAGTGCTCCGATGGCGGTCGGAAGGAACCGATCCGCATTTTGGGTCGGCGTGGTTCCATGCAACCGAGAAAGCAGATGCTTCCGTATCCTTATTTATGGGAGGTTGCTGGATTCTATCCGGGTTTTAGAGAATCATATTGATGGCTGCAACATGCATAATGGAATGATGAGCTGTATCCTTCAATAAAGCCAACGTGTAACCGTATAATGAATTAAACCTCGAACTGGTTGTTGTCGCGTAGACTGTCACTTTTAAAATATTGGGGGACACCAATTACCCCATTTTATACTGGGTACTCATGATGGCAATAGCCCATATTAATAGCCATATGATTGGTTTTGGTTATAGCACCTTTGAATGCGCTCCTCCGACCACTCCGATCATTGCAAACCCGCCACGCCTCACTTTCAAGCGACGCAGCAAGTCCTGTGCGCGGAAATGAGATTCAATTGCTCTTACATCATTTATCATACTAATATCTCAGCTAACTACTATTGGTTTTGCCCTTATACAACATAGCTTCAAGGACGACAATCCAGCAGAGTCATTCAACAGGTTTAAGGCCATCGAAGACCTTTCGTGACCAGAATATGTTACAGATACGGTAGGGCTGAATTTACACTTTCTTTTTTCTTCCACTGGTTTCAAGGTACAGGTCTCATCACACATCAGACCATGTACAACTACTAGTAGTGGATCCAATAGTATGCAGCCGCCATGCATTATTAGGAACGCCTCCTCCGGCTAGATCCGTCCCGACTCCGCAGTCCAACGTGGACTACCCTGCTTCTTCCGGGATATCTGGAGGGATTAAACTTTGTTGTTTATATCTACTTCCACGAATCAACCCAAGATATCAAACGACGAAGAGACGAAGGGGAAGCTATGTGTTAGGGCTCTCAAATTCGCAATGCAAATGAGAACAATGCCTCTACTAACTAACTAGTTACTAAGGAAGCTAACAGGGCTAGGAAACTACGTTGCTTTTCCAGCCGACCGAGAGCTTAGCCCATTGTTGCACAGAGGGTCTAACTATCAGGAATAAGCAGACTCGATCGGCGAATCATCTTCCGAAAAAGGCTCTAGGCCTGATCAAAACTTGATCAAGCCCGACTACATCCGTATTGCGTCTCAGGTGCACCAGAGACTCAGAGGCGAAGTATTTCTTGACCTCAACGCCGTACAGCGCCACTGACGCAGAATAATCACAGTTTCATTGTCTATCTCTGGTATTGACGGAACCCTCTGTGTATGGAGTTATCACTAAGATTGCTCTGTGATTCGATCGTTCCAGATAGATCGTACTCTAGTGAAGCGGTCCTGCGTTCGTCTATCTATTCAATTGGGCAGCAATGCAACTCCACACGAGAAAAAGTTCTTCCAAGGTAAAGCAATAGTTGGATCCGATGTTACTTTCCCATAATCATATGAGCATTGCCAAGATGGTATAGGCAGGGTTGCCCGAGGAGAAAAGCAGACACTGTGACCAAGAACCGTAAGTCCTGATCCAATTGCAACCAAATCCCTAATCCACTACGACATCACAGTGATACAACACACTACTAGTTCGAGAAGTTATGTGATGTGATGCAGATAACTATTGCCTTGCTAGAGCACAGTCTCATCACAGAAAGGTAAAGAACCTTACAAATAATAGTGATGACTATCCATATCCTGTCGCCAGCTGACGTCCTGAACTTATATAAACCCTCGCCGCCCACCAGAACTTCCCTCGAAGCACCCAGCACAATCAAGCCTTCTCAAACCAATCTTCTAAAAGATCCTAACCTCCAACATCTCAACTTGTTCTCAACCGAACAAAACCAAGTCCACACTTCCATAATGCGCTTCACCGCTCTCATCGCAGCCACCATGGCTCTGGCCGGCTCTGCCGCAGCACAGTGCCACGCTGGCAGCACTGCCAACTGCAAGCCTGGCTTCGACTACTGCGCCTCGACCCTGAAAAATTGAGGTAACACCCTGCGCCTGGATTGACCAAGCGGTCCAGAAATGTAATGAAAACTAACTACATCGTCCACATCCATAGGTGACGCTGACTCGGCCATCCGAGACGCAATGAGAGCTGCGGACTACTCCAACTTCAGGCTCAATGCTCCCAGAACTTGGGACAACATCCTCTTCCATTGCAATGATAACTACACGCTGAAGGTAGTGAAGCAGTGCTCCGGAGCTTATTGTGTGGACGGTGGTACGAACAAGAATGATTACTGCGCCAAGGAGGGCAGTGCTGCAGGTTTTTGGTTCTAATTTCTTTCACCCTGATCGTTGTGGTGAGTGATCGAATGGGATGTGTGGTGGGATTTATTGTTTGCTATATATGGGGGTTATGGGATGTGTCAGTCAGTATTCAGACAGGAGGGGCTGAAAGGGCATTTAAAGAGGGGGAGGGAGGGGATGAAGTTATATCATGTCCGTTCGTTCATTTCGTTTCTTGCACTAGGAATGAAGGCGGTAGCTACATTCTCTTGGTGCTTTAAAGTCTGTAGTAGCTAGTCTGCAGCATGCTGAGTAAATTCTCCACTTGCCTTTCTGCAACTTTAGGTATCGCTCATGAGCAATACTTGGATTTTCTAATCTTTGAGAGAAACCCGGGGGAATGATATCCCACACCACCACTAACAAGAAAAACCTACTTCAACGGACTCCCCCCACCCATCCAAACCACCACCTTCTCAATCCTCCCCTCCTCATCCACATCAAAGAAATTACAATTATGCATATCATTCTCCGTCCCGTCCTTCAGCTTCCCAATATACCGCTGCTGCGTGGCAACTTTACCCGCCTTCTCATCCACAACCATGCTCAGAACACGGTGTTCTATTGAGCTAGACCGGGCGACAAAATCAGCCAGCATGGTGTGGATAGCGTCCCGGCCCGTGAAGGTCGTGTTGGCTGCTGTGACTATGGTGAACGTAGCGGTGGGGGCGAGGAGCGAGATGGTGGTGGGGAGGTCGGACGCGTCGATGGAGGTGAAGTAGGTTGTAATTGTTTTTGTTAAGGTGGTGTGTGTATTTGTGGCCATTTTGGGAGGAGTAGGTTGTGGTGAGGAGATGTATTTACGTTTGAAGTGGGATGTTGTGCGGTGAGGAGAATGAGGGGTTGATGAAGAATGAACTAAGGAGAATAATCCCGAGGAGGAGAATAGGTGGGGTACGGTTTGTATTAGGTTACATTAATGACTCGATCGTGGTGTCTGCGGGGCAGTGATCGACGGGCATGTATTGCCGAGCTTTGTGTGGGTTGGATTAAAGTATTTGGTTTGACTATGTCTATGTACTATCTAGTAATTGCTGGTGATAATGATGATGTAGGCAGAAATTATGTGTGCAAGAGCGAGTATCAACCCTGGCCAATCATCGCCAGCATACGCGCTGTTCCATCCTCCGCAAACATCATGTCCTCCATGTCCATCGAGTCTAGAATATGCGCTCGTCCGCGGGCACGCATGTCCGCTTCATAAGCAGTAATGGCGCGCTCTACTGCTACTGCGTCTTCACCTTCCTGGTAAGTGTTACTCTGCTTTTTTTGCACCTCTTCCATGAGCGAGTCGAACAATACCAACGCGTCGTACATGGCAATGTTGACACCGTCGCCATTCGGTGTCGCCAGGTGCGCTGCATCTCCTAGCAGCGTGACTCCAGGGACTCGTGTCCAGTTCGGACTTCCGTCGAGGTAAATCTCTGGGTCAAGTCGGTGCAGTGGCCACGGACGCCAGGGCCCTTCTGCTGCTTCGACGAACGCTCGGAGGTGCGGCGCCCACTCAGCGTAGTGCTGTAACACTGCAGCGCGCGCTTTCTCGGGCTTGGTTATGTCGGCTTCGCCTCCAGGCCTGGTAAATGTAGATGGTACTTCAAGACCCATATAGACGCGGTAGGAGCGGTCGGACATCTGTTGTATGCAGAGGGTGCAGCCCCGGGTTGAGGCGAGAGAGTTACCAGCGCCTACCATTTCGTGTGCTGCTGCGTACTGCGGGTTGCCGGGTGAGATGCGACCTTCAATGAACATTCTTCCAGAGTATTGTGGCTCTGCGGGGGTTATCTAGGAGAATAATTCAGTAAGAGCGATGATGATAATGAACGGATGGCTACTTACCAGTTGTCGGACCTTGCTCCAGGCACCGTCAGCGCCAACCACGAGTCTGAAACCGCTTTCTGCTGAACCATCGGTAAAGCGTAGTGTGCAGTCTGCAACATGCCCATAGCCAACCTTGCTGGTCCGTTCAATCCCCTGAAGTGCTTTAGCCCACCGGATGCGATGTGCTGGTAACGAATTCAGAAGTAGTTGTCGCAGCTGCAGGCGGTCGATTTCAGGGGCATCGCGGCCTTCGCCAAATGTCTTGCGAAGATTACCACGGAAGTCTTGCACCGTCAATGTCGTGGCGTCTCGCCGCGCAAGCTTCTCAAACTCTTCGATTAGGCCTGCGCGCCGCAAGGCTTCTTGGCCTGTTTCTCCGTGGAGGTCGAGTGTGCCACCTTGGAATTTAAGCGCATTTTCCGCTGAGATATCGCGCTCGAATATGACATAGTCAATGCCGGCTGTTTCAAGGAGGCGTGCGAATGTAAGTCCACATGGGCCACCACCGACAATTGCTATCGGTGCGGGCTTTCTCATGGTGGCGATAGTGCGGACCGCAGTGGAATAACGTAGGTTCAGGGTACTGAGCGGGGAGAAGGTCTTTGGTATGCTTATTGCATGTGAGAAAATTCGAGACATTGCGAGAAGTATGGTCGGTCATTTGCTTCGACCATGACTGACAAACGGCAGAGTGAGACTTTTATAGAGAGACCTTCGGGTGGTAGTAAAACCCGAGGATGGCCAACAGCGGGTGGCAGATCTCGGGCGTTACAAAGTCCCGAGTCCAGATCATTGCCCACCCAACTTATATTGCGTTCCGGGAAATTGACACTGTGAGTAATCAGGGTATTTATTTAATGCACAGAGGCATGTATACCATCACCTGCGCCTGATGTCTTTCCGAGTAGCAGGGTACTTGGAAGCCAGAGTACGAAAACCGCTTCGGCCAAGTTGCACCATAGAGTTGACAGACTTCAACCCCGAGATAGCAGCAAACTATAGAAGCCTTACACTTGGAGTAGTTAATTGACAGAAATTTGCATTAGTATTCAAACGTCTCTACAATAGTAGGGGTGCCACCTATTCGACGTCTAGGAGGAACGGACATTATTTCTAAGCCTTCACAGGTCTCAGTGGAAGCTACTAAGATGCAGGGTCCGATCTATAAAGCCACAAGAACTACGATAGTCTAGCGGCCTGAACAGTAGTACACTAAAGAATGAGAGCAGCCGTCAATAACTGACACATGGCACTTACACTGGCTAGGCCATGGTATGCTAATATCCGCCCAGGGATCCAGCCCAGGCAGGCGCTCAGGAACAGATTCCTAGTTTCCTTATATAATCGATACTATAATTAGCTACGGCAAACTTAATGCTCTATTTCTTCAGTCGAGGGTCAATCAAGGCCATGTACTATGTACTCGTCGGCCGAGATAGCATCAGGTATCTCGCCGATCGCGTGCTAGCGGGGTAAACTGCCAGTAGTCGAATCCTTCACGGTTATCGGGAAGCTGTCATCCCAGTCCATCCCCTCTCGATTAATTACCAGTTAGTCAACAAGGATGTTTTGTGATGAGTCACGTCCAGATGTAGCTGCTGATAAGGCACCTAGACGCGATGCTGCCTGATAAGCTCGGCTTATCTGCTCCATCTCTCTGATTCTTTTCATCCCACTTCAATTATTCGCCCGGCCTGCATCCAATTCACTCTTCCTGGCAGTGATGGCTTCTGACGAGACTACCCGGCTCCTTCCAGGTCCAGGAGATGAACAACCGTGCGATCGGGGTGAAAGTGAGACTACAGGGAGCATTTCTGGCGGAGCCGGGCTAGCCATTTTCATCGCATACCTAGGTAGTTCTACCCCCGCATTGTCCCAAACGATTGCTGACACAAGTAGGTGCATTTTTGGCCAGTACAGATGAGTCTCTCGTCATAGCGACTTACGATATCATTGCTTCCGAGTTCCATGAGCTATCGAAAGCATCATGGCTCGTTACGGGATACAATTTGGGCTATTGCATCGCGTTACCAGTGGTAGGTACTGTTGGTCGGGAATAAAGATGCCTGGTTTTGACGGACACAGTACGGCACCCTAGCAGATATCTTGGGACGCCAGAGGTCTATGCTTCTGGGATACCTAGTGTTCGCCCTTGGCTGTCTAATCAGGTGGGTGGGACGCAACTGGAGCGATCAGTACGTCACTGACTCGAGCAGCTCTCTCAGCAATTCAATGAACCAATTGATAGCTGGACGGATCGTTAGTGGAGTGGGATCTTCTGGCATGGTTGTCATGATTTCCATCATCATAACCGGTGCGACGCTGTGCCCGCCTTCATTCCACCCAGGAAGCTAATGTGTGTAGATCTGGCGGCGCCCAGCGAGGTTGCATTATTGCGCAGCTACACCAACGTCGTGAACATGCTCGGAAGGGGGGCTGGAGCTCCGCTGGGCCGTGTTATAGTCAATTCACTAGGTTGGAGATGGTAAAAATTGCTCTCCGCATCCTTGAGTTTCCCGCTAATAGCATAGGGCTTTCACCGGCCGGCTACCCCTTATTGTTCTGTGTCTGTTTCTATCCCGGGTGCAGTTCCCTACAAAACCTCGAGCAGCCACTCCTGCCGCTGAGACGTCCAACATCGAAAAGCTAAAAAGACTGGATTATTTCGGCATTTTTAGCTTCGCGGCTGCGGTCTTCACCCTATTGCTAGCTTTGACGGCAGCTGGAACAATCGACAAAAAGCTATCCACGGTGTATGCCCTGCTAGGGATGTGTACATTAGCCACCGTGGTATTTATCTGCCATGAATGTCTATGGGCAGCAAAGCCGCTGGTACCCTTACGACTGGTCACCAAGGGTGTTGGGCAGTACTGGCTGGTGCAGGTGGTGTTGTTTAGCGGACGATGTGGTGTAGGTTGCAACGAGCTCCTGTGTTGCGCAACTTACTGACAAATCAAGGTCACCACTACCATCACACAATACCTGACACAGGTGAGGCAAATGCAGGAGGAAGGGGCAACTCTATTTCTTGTTCTAAGCACCATGGCTCTGGCGGTGGGTTCGATCATTTCGGGGTTCTCGATCAAACGGTGAGTTGCGATATCTTTCTCCGGGTCGCTTGCGCTGATTCTTTAGGACGAAACGTTATAAGAAAATGAGTCTTGCTTCCGCCGCGATTAGCATAGTTGCATCCACTCTACTGTTCTTCTCGTGGCATTTCGATCGCCCCGTCTGGGAAACGCTCCTCGTCATTCCCATGAGCACCCCCATCGGCATAATCATATCGGGCGAGTTCATTGGTATGACCGGTCGTGCACCACAGGAAGATATGGCGTCGTGTGTAGGGGCATACTATCTCAGCCAACAATTGGGAGTGATTCTCGGAGGATCCATCGCGCCGTTGTTGGTGCGGATGGGATTCATGCGGGATATTGCCGGAAAGTTTGGGCAAAGGACCCCAGAAGTATGTTTCCTCATCCCCTTGATAGTCGTATACTGACAGAAGCAGATTGCCCGCCAAGTTCTGAGCGACGCGAGGTATGTTGATACGCTGCCGGAAGGTATGCAGGCGGTTGTCCGATCGAGTCTGCAGTACGGATATCAATTCATTCCGGGTAGGTGTATCTCTTTGCATGTGGACATCCGCTAATGAAGCTAGTTTTTGCCACGGTGACAGCGGCGTTGTGTTTGCCCAGCTGGATATTTACGCCGGAGGAGAGGTTGGATTAAGAATAACCGGATTGGCCCTGCTGGTGCGCGATACCACGGTCGGAAATTCGACCAGATTCAAAGCATCATGAAAAGTTGAATTCGTAGCTTGCTGCATCATCTATACACTCATCTACTTGTCTTCCTTTATGCATATTCATGCCGGCTTGGCGGTTCTGGAACCTTAAGGTCCTCAGAAAGGGTTTAGAAGACGCCCTCGGTGAAGTCGACCACCTGGGACTTTTCGATCAGGCCATCCAGGGTCTGAACGAAGCCTAGATGCGCCGGGTCTTTGGTGAGATAATACTCTCTGTCTTGATCGGACTCAAACTCCATGACGAAGACATGGGTGATTCCATTCTGAAGTCGTCTTTATTAGCGTGGATATTTCTCCCAATCCAACTACTTCCGGGCATGAATCACCTACATTCTTACCCTCAGGTGAATCCTGCTTTCCCGCATTGAATGACTTGATGTATGGCTTCTGCGTGATAGGAGGTAGACACTTGTCCTTCAGGGAGACGAGGTGAGCGCATGTCTAGCATGGAAACCAGTCAGTCAGATGCTGTGGTGTCAATTGGACATGACGTAACGGAATGCTGACTCACCTCCTGGATCCTTTCGGGGGCGAGAGAGGATTTGAATTGGAATTGGACGATGTGAGTGATCATATTGGAGGTCCGGGGTCTGACAAGCAATAGTGAGGCGGTCGCCGAAAGGGTGTTCCTTGTTGGGATAAGAAGGTGGTGGTGGTGGTTGCAGTGATGCTGCAGTAGTGCTGTTGAGGGGAAGCAGCAACCCCGAGACATCCAGACGTCAGTGGAGATGGGATCAGTCAGCAGGAGCAGGGTCAGTCAGGCCACAGGATTATTTCATTAGTCTTCACTCTCATGACCCCGTATTGAATGGCCGACATCCAAATGGTTGAGGGTACTCCGTACAAAGAAGTACTTCATTCGAGCCAGGCAGGGACGACACACCATGGCGGCAGTATCTTCCGATGGTGAAGCGTGCGACCGGCAACTCAATGAATGGCCTTTCCACTCCCCGCCAGTCAGCCACCCCTCGTACTAATGTTGATTAGATTGCAGGGAATGCAGAGGATTGCAGATACTTCCGGTCATCGAGGCTTTGCGCTGTGACCGTGACATTGTCACACCAGCCATGATTGGCAACGGCCACGCGGCGTCGGGGACCATTCCAGTGCCATTCGGGGATTGCCCAGGGACTCGGATTTCGGGATCCTCATTTAAACAGACGGGAACCCGGAGCCACTCCCCCACACTTGTTTCCAAGGGGGTGGAATAATTAGAATAGTCGCCGTCGTTAGTCGCCGACCTGGTGGGAAGTTAATTTGCTTGTGTCACGGTGGTGGCACAAGGACCCCCTCGCCGACAATTAATTGTGGAGGAACTCCATTGATTAGATGTGCCTGTCGAGGGTCAAGTGAAGCCCGAGAACATGCATCGGGAACCACCCAGCAAACATCTCCGCCAATACCTGCAGCCAACCAACAAAAGAACAACTGCGCCGATCGACGAGGTGATGGTGTGATGAGTGACATCCCAACACACCGGGTTTAGGCGGCTGATCCGGCTTCTCGGGACCTTTCCTTCAGTCGGGGAACACCTGCATCAAATAAATACAGCACTGCTGGCTGGATGCCGCCCTCCCCTCGCCACTAAAAGTACACCGGCGACCCGCACTATCTTGCAGCGGCCTCTCCCCCACTAGGCCTTGTTCGGGCGAACCCCTCGAGATCTGTAAGGCTTGTCCCTGGCAGTGGCTAGCTGGTCGCCTTGTTCAGATCATGCAAAACCCCTCGAGGCCATCGAACAATAACGCTGACCCCATGCTGAGTCGATCGGAATGCCACTGCCAGCATATTCAACGTAGGCTAAGGACTGCAAATGATCAGGGCTGGTGATGGTCCCCGAACCTCGGGGATCTCGGCATGCAGGCCTGATTCCAGAACTCGGGAATCAGCCTCGATGGAGTCCGATCATTCGATGCTACGAATCCTCCATACATTGTAAATAATATATCCTTCATATGGCCTCCCTTTACCCTGGAGTTGGCTCGTGCATGCAGAATCATCATCATGGCCGACCAACGACCCTCTCCCCTCGCCTGTGTACCCTGTCGTCGTCGCCATGTTAAATGCGACGCTCGCATGCCCATCTGCACCCGCTGTCGCAATAGCAACAGTGACTGTCACTATGTTCGTTCACGGCGCGGCTTACGGAACAGATCTAGTCCTGATCCACCCCCGGGCGATGTCGATCTCCTACCAGACTTTACCACCTGGCTAAACAACACCATTGACTTAGATGTACGCCTTCCTATCCTACTAAACATGAATGCCATGCTAACCAACCCAGCCAGAGCTACTCGGCCTCGACCCCAGCATCGATGTCAATGGCGATGTTCACTCTGATCCCATCCCGGACTTTCCTCCGTCACCACCAGCATACACTCCCACAGTCGCGGAGTCTGAGCCCCTTGCCCATGATGCCATGATTCAGCTCTATTACCATCACTTCCATCGCTCGCATCCCATCCTCCTGCCCCGGCGCAGTCTTGCTTCGTCACTATGCCAGCACATCCCATCGTACATCACGCATATCATGCGTTACATCGGCAGCCACTACTATCCCCAGCCAGGATTCAGCGATACCTTCCAAGCGCCCGCCTACACGGCTCTTTCCGCCCCAAACGACGGATTCAAGGTCCAGGGGTTACTTCTTCTCGCTATCATTGAGCACTCCTACGGACATGAAGAGACGGCCCGTAAGCTCCTCAAAGATGCGATTCAATTAGCATGCCATCTCGATATGATCAACCCCTCTTTCGCACGTAGCCACTCTCGCGGCAGTCCTATCCTCGAAGAAAGTTGGCGACGCACCTACTGGGAACTCGTCGTTGTGGAAGGGCTCGTGTCCGCTTTTGGCGGCGGGCCCATCCTGCCCAGTTACAAATGGATCAACGACGAAATGCAGCTGCCCTGCGACGAAAAGGCATATAATTTCGAGGTACATCCTTAGCGGACAAGCTAACAAATTCATTTGACACTAACATCCAAACTAGCAACTCAAACCCCCCAAACCATCCGCCACCCTCTCAACCCTCCCAGATCTCGACCTCCACCACATCTCCCCCTTCACCTACCGCATCCTCGCAACGCAAGAACTCCGCGCCGTCCTCCAAGTCACACAATGTCTCGACCCCGACACCGAACTTCAAACCGAAACATTAGACGCCCGTCTCGCCACCTCTTTAATGAGACTTCCCTCATCCCTACCAGAACACGACACTGCAACCGTCGACGAAATGGTCTTCCAAACACTAATGATAACATACCTGTACGCCAAGCCTACCCAACTCTCCCCAGCCAAACTCTAACAATGACAAATACCAGAAGCCTAATCTACCTCCACCACCCACATTCCACTATCCGCCTCGCCTCCTACCACTCCGCCACCACCCTCGCTTCCTCATCCTCAACATCGTCCTGCACCCGTCTCCGCACCCTCCAATCCTTACCCTTATCCGCGCACATCCCCCACCACGACTCTCCCGCCTCTAACACCCACTCCCACAAACTCCTCCGCGCCGCAGATCTCCTCTCGAACCTTGCTACGCTCCCTAGCACGGTCCTCTCCCGAACCCCGTTCTTCACTTGCGCTCTTTCCATCGCTGCGGTGGTCCATGTAGCCGCCTTGGCGGGCGGACCTCCGTCTTCTCTGGCGATCAAGTACGAGAGTGAGACGGGGGCTGGGAAGGAACAGTCGCTCAAAGCGAGGATTGAGTTGGGGGTGGGAGCGCTGCAGGTGCTGGGACGGGCGTGGCCGCTTGCTAGGAGGGTGAGGGGAGAGATGGTGGATATGTATCGCGGGAGGTGTTGATACATTCCTACCTTCCACTAACTTGTGTTGGAGATTAAGTGGGGTGAGTTGGAGCTGAAATTGTATATAATATGATCGATAACTATGATGATCAAGTACACGATAGACAAATAGTACATAGATAAATCCACTGGAAAAATTTTTTCTCTATTTTTTTCTCAACATCTGTGGAGTGCGAGACAAGTACGTCCAGATAGGATCATGTTCGTAGCTCTCTTGATCCATCGCCTATGTGAGAAATCTCAGGCAGTTTAGGATTGACAACAAGCCATAAAAAGACCGCCACTGAAGTAGAGTGACTGTCCACTGATAAGAAAGCACCTGCCCGACTGACCGATACCGATCCAATACACCAAGCCGATCATATTTCCGACCTGTAGTCCATGTATTCCCCAACTAAGTCCAAAGTCTCCTCTAACACCGTTCTCTCACAACAGAAAAGAAAGAAACCAGTATCTAGCCGCTCACCACCACCAGCTATATACCCCGGGCTATCATCTCGAAGTCTCGGCGATGGTAGCCCCGGCCTGGCGAATGTTATAATAACCCCAATTTTAATCCCGACCCCGATACATCGTTCTCTTCGGCACAGCGGAAGGACGTTTGTAGCCTGGCACTTTTTCCTTTTCGGTGGTTCGTTATCAGTTTCGCTTGAATGTCGGTTGCCTTGGCAAGGGGCCATCGTCGAAGAGGTAGTTGTGCGGCCTATGGCCGCCTATGTTCTCGATTTCCTGATGGTCATGTTCATGTGCCAGTTTCGCGAACAGATCATTGTTACTGGCAGTTAGCGCCTGTTTAGCGACGTATACTCGTAGAAGTCCTAAAGTAAAGTCGTAGGTCCTAATGAGAATGTTTTTCTCAGTAAAGCCACATCCATCCAGTGTCCATGGGATTGAGAGCGCTTGCTCGTTGTCGTTGGTATTGGTAGCCCTCCTTTTTCATCTTTTGTTTTGGTTGAGACCGGCATCTTCTTGGGCAGTTCCTTCTGAAGGCTCTTATTTTGCCAGGTTGTGAAGGGGTGTTTCCGCTGTTCATGACTGTTTTCTCTCTCCCATTTGTTGTTATCTTGTCCATCTGATCTCGCTTGCGTGTGGCAGTCTCGGGACCCCGACATTCCACATCCACCTGCCTCAGTACTTTAATCCTCCTTTCCATTGGTATCGCTTTCGATCCTATCACAAGCAAGCAAGTGGGCAAGCAGTATATGTGTTGCGACTTGGCGGTGACAATTCCCCGTTCTTCGTCGGGTTGTGAAAGGGCGTGGACAAGACAAGACAAAATAGTCATCTTATCATCAACTTCCAAAAACAACCCTTCTTCGAGGTGGAAGACATGTCTCTTAGATGAGATGTTAGGTGTATCAGAGACACCTGCCACACCAGAAATATTTCCCCGACACGACCTTGTTCGTGTTTCTCATTCCTTTCCCGTCGCTGAATATATATTTTATCACGGGGATATTGAGTCCTTGCATTGCAGGCACTCGCCATTTTCGATGTTCTCAATATAGACTCTGTAAATTTATACCATCTCTCTGGTGTGTGGGAATTGAACCCAGCATATCAGGAGAGCATTGTGTCGGAGTTCGAACAGTGACTCGAGTCACACGACCAAAGGGATTCGATTGAGTGGAGACCCATGAAATCGAGGATTTTCACAAGTGTCGGCGGTTTTGGTCATCAGGTTCGACCTCCCTTGACTGATCATTCTTTTTCCACTCGGCAGTAAATTCGAGGAAATCATCACTGCGTACAGTTGCCTCATCCAGTTCAAGGTCCTCAATCAGTCTTGAATGAATATCTCGATCTTGTTTCAGGTGATCCATATAGACCTTCTCCCCTTTGCTTCTCATCACATCGTCTATCAAGGTTGTGGAAAGATGTGGTTTTTTGATTGTCAAGTCCAACATCCCTTGGCTGATCTTTCTCCTTCAATTCAGCGTTTTCCATGTCGGTTTCAATTTGGGATCAACTGAAGGAAATTATGGTCGGTTGCAATTGTTTCTCTCTTTTCTGATCAACCAGTTTTCATGATAAATTGTGACTGACTGATTCAATTATATTCTACCCTTCTCCTCTCGTCATGTTGTTTCTGGGGGCTCTGGAGAGAAACGGGTACCTTGTAGGTCATCAAGTCCAGCATCCCTTGGCTGATCTTTCTCCATTTCAGCTTCACCCATCCATTCGAATAGGTGTATCTTGGTCTGACCACTTGGTAGATGCGATCACAGATCCGTACTATGACTGTTGCACTCCCACCATTAGGATTAGGGCTGTTCGTGAGCCCCGTAAAGCCTCTTTCTCTATGTTTATATTTTCCGCGCAACTTCCGGTGATGTGGGTTTCACAAATTGCCGCCATGTCCACACGTTGTTCAACGAGCCATCTCATTACCACGGACATTTTCTCTGCTTCGCCCAATCCAGGGGCATCCAGCGAGATTAGTCGTATAGTGAGAGATGGGACCATAAAGCCTGAAAGGTTTTCTCTAAGAAACGTAACCGCTATCTAGGCGGAGTGATTGAAAAGTAAGTTCACACTCCACTCCACACTGGCAGCTTGTTCAGTCGCGAGAAGTAATCCAATGTATTAGGTGATCTGCCACAACCATCATACTCGCCTTTCGCTTCTTCTAATCAATCAATCTTGGTTATTTGATTGATTGAGGTAATTCTTTGTGGATCTTCTTCCCGGTCCCCTTTTTTTTTTTTTTCCGTAGAGTCCGGTTTCAGCTCTAGAAAGAGACAGCAAATGAACTGTCTGTATGCTTCACCTTATGCAACGTGCAAGCAAAGCGGTTGTATATCAGAACAGCGATTGGTTTCCAACACGTCATGGCGAGCAGCGCAGCTCAACAGATCGATCACATCGGAACAAGCATAGCGAGTCTGCATCTTCCTATTGCCTTCGGCATTTAGATAATGGATGTTCGACTAATCCGCGAGCATTTCCCGCCATACCCACTCGCTTTTCCGCATTGAAGACACAAGATCAATGCTTCGCCATCCAAAAACCATTAGTTTGAGACTTGAACTCTTTCGGGTCATCTTCACAATTCACTCGTTCAGCTCAGTAGATGCCGAGATTAAGCGGGACGAGCAATGGAACGAGGTGGGAAGTAGCTTTGCGAGAGCATCTTGCTCTATCGGCATGAAGTACAACATATTTGCAATTCACCTCATCTTTTCTGTTTTGGGTTTGTCCGATGTGGGTGTTCATGAGAACCAAAAGCATTAGATATTGCTAATCCACGGCTGTGTTGCTCCAAGAATCATCTTTCAAAAAACAGACACACGACAGTAGGCGTGAACGCGGGGTGTTATGCTCGGTAGATTCCAACACATGAGTGGTGTTGCTTCGGATCAACATAACCCACCGATGAAGTTCCCAGTGAACTTTGGTTTAATTGCAGCTGCATTTAGCACGGATCAACTCTTTCGTGTGCCCGTACATGTAACTCTGGGGTTATCATTCCCTTCGGTCACTGCGTCGATTGAAAATAGAAGAATAGCAAGGATGCTGCCGTGATCCTTTGTGTTCTTCTGGAGAAAAGGTTCCATCTGGGATCAATTAAGTGACACTGCCATTTCATCCTTCTCCTCTCCGCTTCCCAATTGCCTTTCCAGTCTGAATCTAGCCGGGAGACTTTCTTCGACGGTGTATTAGGGAAGGAAGGCATAGGCATAGCCCAGATGCGTCATTTCAATGCATGTCAGAGGTCCTCTTAAGAAGGGCGAAATTCGTGCGGTGGTCCTCGCCAGTTCTGCCTTCTTGCTCTGTTCACCTCAAGGCCTAAATCCAACCATCGTCTGAATTTCACTGGGAACCACATACATCCAGTGTCTTGCCAATGCTCGGAGGTATCGGACGTCGAGCCTCTTCGGATCAGGGAAGGTCTGGGCTCCGTTGAAGCTTCAGACACAGCGATACAGCTACAATGTCCATATGGTTCCTCCAAACATTAGCCGCCACCACTCCCTATCTGCATCTCGAAGGAAAACCAAACATCGGTCCACATCTCACCCCTCTTAGTAGCGTAGCCCATGTTGTAGAAAAGGCCACATTTGACCACTTATCTTCCGTAAAATTCCGTGAACGACCGCCCCCACCTTCATTAGGCGGCGAGGACATCCGTTGACTCCTGGCTGAGTCCCAGATATCCCCACCTTCAAGACGAGCTTGTTGAGATTCTTCCTTTTGAATAGGTCTTTCCACACCTGTGCTCCCTAATGTAATGTGTCACGTGTCCGATTATCACACTAGGCAGACACTATTACCAGAAATATATATTCCTAGCCTAAATCACTGTCTTCAGGGATCGCATATTGGTACGACCATTGGTCTTCCACCATCTCCAAAGACACCCACAATGATGTTGAAATAGGATTTAGGCGTCTCAACCAGACAGTACTCGGGGTATGAATCAAGTACTACCTGTTCAGGACCCGTTGTATTGTAACTAGATCGATTATGTCAATTCCCCCTTTCTCAGTGGCCTCATGGCTGAACGTTCGGTATCGGTCCTGAGGCCAATCTAGCAGAGGAAAAAGGCACCACAGCCAGGTTAGACCGAGTAGTTCTCATATTGCCGTTGTGCGACAGCTTGTGGCTTTCTGCTGGATAGAGTGATTCCTTCCGGTAGATCGGCATCTCGTTCGTCTGAACGAAAAGGTGACGACGCAATGGGGGCGTTCTATCATGACTTGACTTTTGGTAAGACGACACTATTCGCGACGAGTCTCATCTACTCGGCTTTCTGATGTCTCTCCCTGTAGCGTTCCGTTCTCGAATGCGCTGTACGGGCTGTTAGCTTGCTAGTCCCGCGGTACACCCAGGGTGATGTTGGGTGAGTTGTTGTTAGTTTTCGGTCGCCGTCAACGGCGCTCAAGAGAAATTTTATCTTCATCCACAACGTGGATTTCCGCATTTCTTCTCCTAGTATTGAATTTACTGCATGCGGCGTCATCCCGACACTCTGGCACAGGGCTGCGCACTCTGTGGCCAAGATTAGAATATGGCCTCATCATCAACGGGCACGGCCTGCGCCATCTCGCCATCCAAGAAAAACAGCCCGACACAACGGCCCATTCGTTGGTGATGGAAGAGTTAGCTACTTCCTCAGGCAATTCTATGTCTGGTATCTCATAGCGGATCACAGGAGACTAGGACGATGGTTCGTTTCCATGCATCTCTCAGCAGCCGAGTAGCTTTAATTGAGTGACGGTTACCTGCACACACGCTGACAGCTGTTGAAGAAGATCTAAGCTTAGGAACCCGTTTGGCAGTGTGCATATATAATCTGCGCTTGTGTTCGGGTCCTTTTGGTCGCAATGGTGCTCAGCACCACACATCGCCGCGTGGTTGAATCTCTCGAGCCACATTAATTCCCTGGCCATTACATCTGCGACCTAGACATGTAATCAGTACATAGTACCATTATAAGGCGATCATGGCCTTGACTCGGCGCGCGTTCCTGAGAGATCATTCTAGACCCACTAAAATTTAGGGCTGACGAACACTCCAAATTGTACCAGGTTCGGACCGACCATTGTTCGCATGATGGCACGCTTTGGAGAGGTATTCCATATCTCTTGGTGTTTTTCCAGGGACACAATCTCAAACTCAGCAGCAACACTGCCATTTTCAGCGGACCGCTTTGCTACAGACAATGCTTCGGGTATCAAGCGATAAGGGGCGGCCATGATGTCAACTTGCTTCCTGATGCATATAAGGTGTTCGGAATGCAGGAGATTTCGTGGCAAGCATGATAGGAGGAGCACGTGAGAATAAACGGCGTACTCGCACACTAACACGTTATAAAGGTGAGTGTTCGGACCCGAAAGTAATGAAGTCTTAGTGATCGGCATTCAGATGTTTGCCATCATCGACCCAGCCGAGCTTTAAGTAAACTGCTTCTTTGCATTTCGACTGGCAGACGGTCCGTTTGCAGTGCAATTTGAGAGCTCGAACTCTGACCCCGACTTATCGCCAGATGTTGCTGAATGTGTCAACAGCTCGTCAAACGTAGTACACTTGTAGAGACCTCTCTCTCATCATCGTCTGTTAAACTTTCGCAGAGGCACAAAGCCGGGCATCTGCGGGAAGACGACGATCAGATAGTTGAAAGCCAGGCTGTACGAGTCCAAACCGGACTGTGTCGAGCCTTAGCTCCAGCTCTGCATTTTCTGGAGACGGTATTCTTCCTGTCCCAGAACCAGATGAAGCCTCGCAGGCGTTATTATTGGCTTTAACAAGTCTATAGCAGGTGTTAATGATATTATTCTTCTTCCAATAAGACAGTGAGTTTATACCTGGCAGTCATAGCTCTTGTAATAAAGCGTGAGTACCACTCTGATTCTCTCGCGTAGAGTTTAGGATCCGGTACATGGCGAGAAAAGGATGACCAAGCAGGTTTCTGCTGTGGTGCAACTGGACTTTCTGTTGGCATCGAAGTTGTATTGCAAGGAGCTGGACACAACTTTATTTGAGTATTTCTCATCGCATGATATATTCAACGGAGGCTGAGTCATTCTTCATCGTACTTCTAATTGATCGGGTAGTCTGACTGTCAAGGTGCCAGAAGTCATTTCCAACAAAGCCAGTGGTCTGAGGTCCCTTTGTTGACGACCCTCGAGACACGCAAATTTCTTTCCGCTTCCATAGCAGCGACCTGACCGTTTCTTGAGTATAAACCCCCGAGTCGGTTTTCGCACAGGCAGAGTCCACCGTCAGCGACGCAACTATCGTCGCTTATGATTACATTTCAAAGCCGCATGAACTGCACATCGTCATCCTACCCTCAAATCAACGGCAAAATGACGTGTTGAGTCTAGTCCGAACAACATGTTTTCAAGATGCTGCCACGACCCACTATAGGCAGGGACCTCATTACTCCGCTGCTTTGGCCCATCAGAGCGGAGAACGCTCTTGAGCGCAAATAAGCCGAGGCTGAAAGGCTTGGGCGAGTATATATATGTCCAATGGCAATCTTCCCTTTTCCTGCCCTGATCATGCGTGTGAGATCTTTCAAAGACATAGCATGACTGGACAACGCGTCGGCTATCTTGCAGGTGTGCGAGGCAATATCTAATCTCCATGTGTCGCTGTGGCAATTGATATATACTGAGTCCGAAGTATACTGATGACCGAACCGGGTAAACGGTAGCACCATGGCCGTCCTCGTCAGTTTTCTGAGACAACATCGAATGGCAACAGAAACTTCCTCGAATATTCTGCCCGGAAGATCAGCGTCGACAAGTCCTCGCGTACGTCCTGGACCTCTTCGTAGGCTGATTCTTATAGCAACCCAATGAGTCAAATCAACAGGAGTTCTAGCCATGCGATTAGCAATTACAACCCCGAAATCACGGTAGATTAGTGAAACGGGCATTGCAAGACATGCGTGATGCCTGTCAATATCCATGATGGATGCAATAGCATATCACATCCCATCCAACCAATTAAAACGCCCCATAATTCCAGCGAGTCATCGCAACCTGCCGTCACACCTGCCTGCCGACATTCTTTCGAGCACGTATATCACATATAGCACCTGAGCAAACCGTAGTGTATACATCCGGTTCGAATAATCTGGAATACACGCAGTGGTGCATCTGCATCAAATTTCCGGCCAAGCAGGAATAGTGTTCGAAGCTAGTCAGCAACATCTCCACCACCCAGGCCGTCAGCGGATTCTGGCAGAATAATAAGAAGCGCGGTAGCCACCACCCATCTCCGGAGTGACAGCAGCCGCAAAAATATTGGCAGGACAAAGAAACCACAGCAACTATGCGCAACCTCCAGAATACGCTTTGGCGCGACCAGGGGGTAAAGCGGGCTCTGCCATATTGAACCCGGCATTGTCTTCTTTCCGTGCCGCGTATGACAGCTTCAAGATTCAGTCTCTTCACTTAGCAACATTTCTTTGCGTTAAGAAAGTTCCTTTCGTACTCTTTCTGCCTCCGGTAGCGTCTTCGGCGAATGTCTGCGAAGTGGCAGGGACTCACAAAAACACAAGGCAGATTCGCCCGCGTAAAAACGTTTGTAATGAGCTTGCACACATGTTCAGCGTCACTCAGTGTCATGTCACAGTCTCATTTGCCGCCTGGCGCTTCTGAAACCATGTGTAAGGCGGCATGATTGTGATGCGAGAAGTAGTGCAGCTCTGCATGTATCATGCAACAATGCGCGTAAAGAGCACTTAAATAGCGCAGCGAATCTTATTAAGATGCCATCGAACGTTTCAGCCCACTCAACAGCAAGACGGAATAATCTGACACACAACTGATACCCCAGTGTAGTGTATCCCGCTGCATCCTTCAGGTCGTGTTGGAAACTTCAACAGCAAATGAAAAAGCAGATAGTGGAATGGGAGACAGTTATTCAAGCTTCGCCTTTTTCGTGACGTCCCGACTGCTCTTGGTATTCCAGTTTCCACGACAGATGCGCGTTTTTTGACTTGGGGCAGTGCGTGTCCTTCTTGGAGACATACTTCGTCTGACCTGCTTCCATATCCTCGCCTTTCTGCAGCCCTGGATGGTGTTCGGCTGTCGAATCTTTGAGCTGAGCTTTCATTTCCAAATTCTCCAACCTCGCTAATGTAGATATTCGTGATAGGACTTCAGAGAATGATTTCCGGCAGCCAACGCACTTCCAAACCTGTTTCCCTTTTCGGATCGTCGGATTGATGCTAGGGCGGTCCACGTTGGCTCTGTTTCTTGGCCAGCTACCCTTGGATAGGCAGCTGGTGGCACGTCTTCCATTCCTGTCGATAGAGAATATGGCGATCGGGCAGAGCTTGGTGATCCCACGCTTCCCCCATTGTTTGCTTTATAGCAACCTGCCTCGAATCATACCGCATCTGGGAGTTCTTTGAGAGAGGAGTGCAATGGGGACTTCAAGTACACAAACAAGTGGTTACCTCTCTGAATTGGAACAAGCACAGCCTCCCGACACATGTCCAGAAGGAAGTAAATGGGTCGATCTTGTGGCACTGACGTGAAGGTCGCACATGTGACTTGAATCTAGATGCCATGGCGCTGAGCAGGAGTGATATTTTCGTATTTGCCTTAGGTCTGAATAATAATGCCGAATAACTAAGGCTGCTAGCCTCAGTCAGTAGAGTCAGTCTTTTTGTGTGCGCGGCATTTGACCTTGAAGTAGATCTGCTCGATTGGTGTCTCATTTGTTCAACCTTGAATTCGACAAGGGGTAGGTTTTCTCAATGAGCGCAATTGCTCTGGCCCGACTCAAAGCCACCGGCTCCATATTCAGACCCAAGCCCAAGCAGAGAATCATTGTTCTTGTTTTGTGGTTCTTTCTGCGTAATTTATCGACGTGAGTGGCAAAATCGCTGCCCGGGGCTGTCTTCTCCCACGCCATTCCTTCTTTCAAGGCCATCTGGCTCCCAGTTGTTTCCAAGATTTGGGGAGCCAAGGACACATCCACCTTTTTCCCGTTAGATGTGAGGCTTGTTAGGAAATTCGATCACTGAGCTCGGCTTCCACTTTGTTTCGAGAGGCTGCTCTCAGTTTCCGATCATACACAGGCTACATTCTAAGCAGCAAATGTGCATCTTGGATTCGATGATACTGAACAATAGCGTGTGGAAAAGGCCGAATGTTGGAAACCTTATATGATCCTCCACTGTCTGGGTGAAAAGACTGGTCTTGCTCATGGGCATCTTGCAATCATGCTTTCTCAGATGAGGTCATTGGCGCATTCGCAAAAGACACTTCTGCAGTCGGGGCAAGTATTTGGCGAAACGGACCATGTGACCATCTCCATTGACAGTGATTTCACCAAGGTTACTTCTTTTCAGAGCAGCTTGCAAACATTCAACAACCTTTTGGAAGCGTTTCACTCGAAGCGTGGCATTGAAGTTTTGTTCTCTTTTCATGTAACTCAGTCATTTGCTGTCGGACAACCAATCCATATTGAGAAGATGAGCTATGCGTTCACGCTTTCTCTCTTTTCTTGAAGGTTATCTCGTTGGTGGTCTCTTCCGCGAGCCATCTCGACCATTCGATTATTTGACAGTAACGACCTCAAAAAAAAATCTTCAGTAGTCAAAAGCACGGTAGTGATACCACAAGTGGCGTGTCTTGCTTGCACTGTGACACGATGAGAGTTCGACCTCTTGTATAAATGTTTCCGGGCCGCCAAACGTCACTGGCTAGTTTCGGATGCGATTCGATGCGAGAAGAGGTCGGCTGGAAGATGCCCAAGGCACAATGCAGCACTGCTGACGATGCATGGCTCTTGAGCGAACCCCATTGCTAGTCCATGTTTGTAGAATTCCCACGGAAGGGAACAGTCTGCAGCTGACAGCCATCGATCTGAACTTCTACCCCTGCATTTGATGGCATCAACCGGTGCCGAACAAATGTTGCTCGTGGCTCACAATTTGACCACTTTAAATGTGTGAAACTAATAGTTCGGTCGTAACTTTCTCCGCGTTATCAGTCTTTTTGACGTCGTTTGGCAGACAATTATTCAGAGAAATGAGCTGTCAGTGGTGAAGCTGAGCCCACATCCAGAGTAAGAGTCCACTTCCATGGCCCCTGACGTGTCCTTTGAAATGTCTCGCAATGGCACTTTTCCCAGCCTCGGTCGTCGGTTTTGTAAGTCTCTGCGACATTTGGCTTCCTTGGAATGTATGGCTTTTCACCAACTCCCCGTCTGTACAGAATGTGAAGTTTCAGCGGGAGTTTTTGTTTTCTGTCGAGGTGAAGATAGACTGTAAATACAATGGTAGCTCACATTGAGTCAGTGGAGCGAATGATCCATTCTTTCGACGTGAGGTCTTGATATCCAGAAGCCGAAGTCTCGGGGTTTTCAGCAGCGACCAAGCCAGGGAATGACTGACTATATGGAACGAGCAAAGCCATGACTCTGGGCGATTCCGCTGAGCATTTATCTCAGCGAGTTATCAAAGGGGCCACTGAGGTGAATGAGTTTCAGTAGTAGCCACTCTTATTCTGCCTTGGGGCATCGATACACAAGAAAATGCTGTGACCAGAGACACGTAACTTCGTTTAGAGCAACCAGCCCTGCATTTGGCCGTTGTCCATTTGTCCCGCACCGTGAAGCCGGTGATGTCTACACTTCAACAAATAGTGCTGTCTAACGCCATTAGAAGCCTGTGGTGTGCCTCAGGCCGGCTGTTCTGGGATGCTTTTTTCCGTTTTGAGACCCGACATAAATGCTGTTGTGCGCAGACAAACAATCATTCTTTGCTATTGTTCAATTTATTAGAAACACACTGTTGCCATAAATTGAAGACTTGGGCCGTCAAATGGGGTTGCGAAAGGGGTAGAGCCCGAAGAGAACCCTCGACCATGAGCATATGCCTTAGGTCAAGCAGCTTTCTCGACGAAATGAGAATCGTAACAAGTTTCTAAAGCTACCCAGAAGAGATATTTTGACTGTCTCTAGCATTGCATCAGCCCGACGATACAACCAGCCATGTGGCATGGTGACTCTACTCGATGATTATCTTGTCTGTCTCATTGAACGTCCCTGCTATTGTGGCGTAATCGTCGGTCAACACTGCCGTCGTCCATAACAGGAAGGCTGCTTGGCGAGGTCGGAAACGCATAACGCATCGCAAAGTGCTGCTATTTGACTGGTCAGCCAGACCCCCAGTATCAGACAGCTACTGTGTACCCACCTGAGACTGTCCTGCATCTTGGATCGTGTGGGGTATCCTTTCGTTCTTGATCCAAAACTGTTCATCACGTTGTATACGCTGACATCCCAGACTACCACTCTGTTATATATATTGCTGCGCTTCACTCGCGCGGGCCGAATATAGTGTAACAGCACTATTGTAGCTTGTGGATAAAGGCTTTTGTCAAAGTAAGCGGAGAAAGCATGGATAAGCCCTGATACCATATATCATCTGCTGGATTAGCAAGGCTAGAATCGTCGGAAAGCACATTCGTTCTGGGGTCCAATGATGAGCTCAACCACAGAGACACCAAAGGCACCAGGCATATAGTAGGGTAAACCGTTATAACTTTCGAACTTTTTTTTTCTGCTCGGTCTATACAGAGGCAGGCGTTACTGGCATATGAGACATGGCTCATCACCTCAACCACGCGTCGGAGGGCGTCGGTCCGCTGAATGGCACATCAAAGAGCAAGTAGAGTATGAAATGTTAACTGTGACGATTCTATAGAATCATCAAACCCGATGACCTCTTGGTGTGGAGGTACAGCATGTGTGCCTCGAGCTGGTTAAATTCGCGAATCTGGGTTCTTCTGTAATGGAAGATTGACTATTAGCTGCCACTGAAAATGATAAATAAGTGGTGACATACTTAATGTGACATATCCGTATACAATAAGGGTAAATGTCTCTGACATATCTGCAATCGTAACGCGGTGGTCGGTTCTTCCCGTGGCTCTTTCCCAAGAACCATCTCAAAGCGACCGGTTAAAAAGCACTCCTCGAATTCCTGACTGGATTGCAGCGTTGCCTTAACCATCGGGCACCACTGCCAACCGCTTATGTACGGTTTTCTCCACCAAGCACAATGCAGCTAGCGGAGCGCGAGTGACAATCTCCGGTCGAGACGGAAACCATCTTCTTCAATCATGAGAATCCTGATCTCGCTACTTGACAGTAGAAAACGTCTGGAAAAGCTAGAGTAGGTGGACCTCTCGGAAAGCTCGTCGATAGGCATTTCTATCTGGTGGGTAATGAGTCCCAAAGCTCCAGGGGTAGGTGACAGTAGATCCTATGACCTGTTCCCGATAGTGAGCGCAAGCCCGGCAGTAAATCTGCAGGCTCTATGGTCCCTATCTGGCAACCCCGGCATGGAATTAGTGCTGTGCTCCATAAATTTCAACGGTCTCTTTACCTTTTGAGTTCCAGTCTATGAGTCCATCAACACTGAGGAAGTTAGGATGGTCTATACAGTGACGGGAAGTCTCCCATCCTGGCAATAGATTGCTCCTTCGACATGAAGCAAGAGTACCGCCAGAAACAGAAGAGGTCAATGAATATAGAAGTATGTTCGAGGGTCAATAGCCATAACTCTTAAGACGGATTCATAAATAAGTCACAATATAGCTTTACTGATGTTCTGATGAGAGAGAAGAGAGAAGAGAGAAGATAGAATGCGGGGAGAAGGGAGAAACAGAGAAGGGACGGCTGGGACTTTATAGTCAAATCCCAGAAACAGTTTTCGTGGGAATCTCCGTTTGAGTGACCCGCCGTGTGAATAATTTCGTTCCTTGGAAACGGGAATTCCCCATTACATGAGTCAGCGTGAATCCTAGAAGACCGCGTGCGTCACTTAGGGTGGCTCTATCACGGGTGGTTTAAGCGCCGTATAGATACCAATTCACGAATCCTAGTCGTCTAAGAGAATGCTGTCAAAGAAAATGATGGAGTCAGAACCGTTCACAAAAATGAGTATTGTGAGACTTTTGGTATACAATTCTAACAGTACGCTAATGCCTCTCGTATGATAGTAGCTCGTTATGTCTATAAGCCCAGAAATTTCAGTGCATCTATGCAGCACCATCTCAGGTTCCTTCTTGGTATTGAATAGAAGATCTTATCAACCAAAGTTTTGTGCTCTGCGTGAATCCGTATCATGCACTCACAACGGTGACCATCTGCAATGATCCAAGAACGTGAAGTGCTGTCTTTCACATATAACATCGGTTCTTTCAGACCTGGCCGAATTCACGTTCTATCGCTTCCATCATCTCATCTACTAAGGTCAGCTTCATTCAAAGACAAGGTGAAGTACGCACGCACCTCGCATTCCTTGAATTGCTTCAAAGGCAATTGCATGGTTCGCCAAGAACTTGGCCACTACTCGCAGGCTCTGTTCCAGCTCATTCCTCAGACCTGCTAAGGGAAAGTCACCTGCTTCCAACTCGGGCACTTTTGTCACAAAAGGTCTAGCTTTGCAACTCAGGGTCAGCATCGTATAGCCCGCCTGCATGGCGCAACTGATCAAAGTGGGCATGGCTCGAGGAACCTCATAATTCTGGAATATGTACGGTAGATTGGTCGGAGAAACATCATTGGTCGGGTTGGGGAATGGAAGGCTGTCCAGTAAAGTCACAAGATTTATGGCTGCATGAACACAGATTACTGAGGATGTGTGCGCTGAGAAGGGAAACTGGATGCCAAACTCTTGTATCGATGCTGGTCGTTGTGGCAAGGTCCTAACACAGGATGCACTACTTCCTATGTTTCCATTGGTGGGCGAGATTGGGTGCAGACCTGGCTGTTCAGAAAACATGGGCACATCTTGAAAGGCACAGTACCGGTGCAATTTGATTCGCGCGCTACACAGTCAGTCAGTCATTTCAGCAATAGCAAGCACATACTCACCTGTGCAGTTTTATCTCAGCATACGATCTCAAAGCGCTTGACGCCACGGATTCGACGCAATTTGGCTGTGGGCCTTGAGATGCCGACAATGTATCTCGGCACTCGAATAACAGTGAGGTAATCTGAGTATCAAGCTCGGTCATTCGTTTTTGAATCCATGAGGCATCCTCTCTACGTCGTATAGTCTCGTCAAGCTCAACAGCAAAAATGCCAGCTTCATATAAAGCTTGTTGGGCTTCAACTCGGAGCCTCCAGCCCTAAAAGGCATAAACATGGATTCATCGAACTAGACGGAAACGCACCTTTGGATACGGGGTCACGAATGAAGGATCGTACACGTCGAATGGAGCCGGCTGCAAAATAAGTCAATGGTCCTCCTCGTTTCTAGATGTAGCACTCACCGTGCCCGTCACAGTTGCCATATGGCTTGCGGCCATATACTACCAAATTAGCGCTGTATGGATAAAAAAAAGGGGCAGCAAAACCAACCACAAACCACCATGACCTGCGGCGGGCTAAGGCATACTCATTCTCCTCCAGTGACTCATGCAGTCCTAGCATGAAGGCCATCTCCAACGCCTCATTTGCTAGCCTTGCCGTGTTATCGAGATTCCCTTGCTGGCCATATTCATAGAAGCATAGGATAGATAGTGCAATAACACCTTCCAGGCACACAGGGAGCTTGGAATGAAAAGGTGGCCGACCGATCGAATCCCTCAAGGAGCCTTCAAACCCGCCGGGAGTCCGTAACGGCTGGTAATCCTTAGCAATAGCTGCATATGCAGCTTCGGCAAATCGCAACGCAACCTCTCTTCGTATCTTGACATGTTCCGGTCTGGCAGGATTTTTCACATCTTTATGGGGTACCAGCGCCACCATGGCTGAGATGGCTAGCGCGAGCGGACTCGCCGGCTTGAATCGATCAGGATGGTCTACCCCAGCTGGATTGTGGATGACAGGCAAACGATCAGGTGGAGGAAGAATGGGATAGTACGGATGTATAAAAATGTAGTATGCATCCAATCTGCACCATATCAGTGGCAATCGATGCCTTGTCTTGGTCTTCCCAGCTTACATGTCCTCATTGCTGCCGTATAGCTGGACCGCGTTGACGGGCTGAGCGGACTGGAAATCCCGAAGCGTTTCGACTGGGTTTCGGGGGAAGACAGAGTCAAACATGGACTCTATTTCTGCCATTGGTGTTCCAACATTGCGCAGGGTAGCGCTGGGGCCACACAGTCTAGCTAGTTTCTGCATCCATTCTAAAGCCAGCGGGTTAGTAACCGTCTGGCAGCCGAAGAGGAAGAAGAGGAGATGGGGGGAAAAGGGCAGGAAGTATACCGTTGCCATGCAGAGTTGATGCTGTCCCCGCAGAGGAGGGTCCTTTGGTTGAGGGCCCATGGTGAGCCGACTGCGGATCTGACATGGCCTTGGCATCTAGTATGCGCGGGCCGGGAGTCTCTGGCGTTGATGCTGTCGTCTTAGCACGGAATATATAGACGCTCGAGGGATTCCTGACGAAGGGGCCAAAACACAGTTTGGGACCCGAGCCATAGGAACGGAAGCGCCCCCCACGGCTGTCAAAGCAAAGGATCAGTCAGGTTTCCGTCCGAACTACTGCAGCAACCCCCCGGATAATCCATGAACCCGATCGGACCGGCCAGTAGTGGACAGCGAAGTGAGCAGTAGCACCAAGTAGTGACAGGACTAGTATTCCATCGCTAGTTGATAGTCCCTCCCGCCATCTGTTTCAACACCTACCCAGCATTGTCACCCGATTGGGTCGAGATTTCCTCCAGATCCCGATCCAGACGCCGCCGTCGCCTGGTTTCTATTGGTTTTGTTGTGATTGTCATCGCTCCCCCATTGTCAAGACGGTACTATTCCGCATGAGGATGATGAGACGGGGAGGGGGGGAGAAAAGAGAAGCAAACCCCAGTCAGCCGTTCGAAAAATCTTTATATGGTGGTCATCAGGCCTTTCAAATCCCGACAGGCAGGCTAACGCCGCGGAGAGGGGCAACATTCGGGGATAGAGTTGAGGTGGGATTTGCTTCATGGCGCACGAGAGCTGCGCCCTTGCAACAAGCTTGGCAGCAGCCGCCGGTACGGCCAGACCCGCGGTAGGTTACTTGCTAGTCTGATTTATAAGACAGGGCCCATAGTTACAGATAGTATTGGACAGACGGAGTACTCCGTTGACACTACGAGCAGTAGATAACTACTAGATACAGCAGCTGACAGATGAGAGGATGAGAAGGACATTCCAAAGTTGGGGGGTCATTTGGGAAGAGGAGACTGCAGCCCGTGATTGAACCAAAGGTTGTACCTGTTCAAGTCTGGCGGTGGAGAATTGAGCAGCCCGGCCAGACCCCGTGTGGTTGGCGGGCTGGACCGAGTAATGGTCTTCTTTTCGTGATTCCATGTCGCTTCGGCCGAAGCTGCAGTTGGACCCACGGCACGGAAACACGGACAGCCCCTCTCGACCGCTACTAAGTACGGAGTAGTTCTAAGTCTCTTCACCACTTCAGCCATTTTCCTTCTATTCTCCCTGCACCCATGGAGTTCCTCACTGCTTCGGCTCTGCATCCACCCAATCATTCTGCAGGTCCATTTGGCATTGGTCCCCTGTCCTGCCCATCATTCCGAACCGGATAACCGGATCGCCACTATCTCCATAAAACCACCCTCCTTCCCCTCCACTCACGCGCTTCCTGCCGCTAGACGAGCTGTCTGCAGAGCAGTGTTCCGAGCGAATGACACCTCGTGCAGCCTACTGAGAATAGTCTGTCTACTGAGGTGTAATGTCACATCGATGTCCAGATGGAGCGATCAGAAAATAGTTTTCCGGCTTCATACTCTCCCGCGTTGTGTCTGACGCCAGTCGCACCCCTCGACACTCACGGAAGAACTCGGTTGCTGCTAAGCGAAGCTCCATCCAAGCTAGGTGCACCCCGAGGCAGATTCGTGTTCCGTATCCAAAGGGGGAGAGTGCCTGCTTGGCTACATCGGAACCATCTCCATGACCTCCTAACCAGCGAGTGGCATCAAAGGTTTCAGGATCAGGATAAAGTTCCTCATCACGGTGAATGGTGTAACTTTGCGTGCTTACCGTCGTTCCTTGAGGAACATGATATCCGCAAAAGGTCGCTCCGCCATTCGGGACGCTCCGAGGCAAGGAGCCTGGAGCTGCTCCATAAAGCCGTAGTGTCTCTGTGATGACGGCATTGAGTAGCGGCAGTTCCTCCAGCGCAGCTTCATCATAGTTCGGGTCCAGCGCACTGACCTCCTCTTCCAGATCGTGCTGCAGCGAGGGCTGCGACAACACAGCCCATACCAAGTACGTCAACGTGACTGCCGTGGTATCTGAGCCAGCCACGATCAGATTGCCCGCTTCGATCACCACATCCTCCTCGGAAAGCATGCTGCTTGCCTTCTCCGATTCATTGAGCATTCCCGTGAAAATATTCCGAGTGGAGTTGCTATTCGTTCGACTGTTTGACACAGCGCGCCTTCCATATTCAGTAAGATAGTCGCTGGGGCGAAACATCGCCTGGCAGGATGCAAGTGGGACATATCGGCCTAGGAGTCCCACAATGGGAAGCTCTACATTGATACCCGAACCCATCATTGTGGACTCCAGAACATTGATGTATTCGTTTTTCTGACAATTAGCCGAGCCTCTCATGCAGGGATAGTCACTTTGATAGCTCACCTTTCCATACTGAAGCATGTCGAATGACTCACCAAACATCAAGTGTCCGCTGACATCGGTGGCGAGAAAAGTCCACCACTTCAGAATGTCGGATATTCCATCCCGCAGCAATTCACCGCGTATCTGCAACACTGCTAACTGGACTTTCTCCTTCACCACGGGTTCCCAAGTTCGTCGTAAATCTGATTTCGAAAATACACGTGCAAACAACTTCCTACGCGCAGCATGTTCCTTGGGATCCCGCATGGTAAAAAGTCCCGGATTTCGGTCCCAGGCGAATTTCTGATACCACGGGGTCTTCAGGAAGGCCGACCCGACGCGATGGATTTCTTTGAACTCTGGCAGTGAGGAAACAGAGACCTCGTCCGGAGCAATACGCACCACCGGGCCATACTTCTGGTGCAGGTTGTGGATGAAGTAGATGCGCCTCCCTGTAACGATCGAGAACTTCAGTGGAAGCCTAGTGACTCTTGTGTACAGAGGTCCCGGTATGTGACGAAGGGGAGATCTGAGCAACTTGTAAGCAATCTATACTATTGGTCAGTAACTGCCTCATGGTAGGGTGCATCCTGCAAGAGGATATGCTGCGCTGAAGACATGCATACCTGCAAAACCCAGATCGCCACGGCAGTCGCCGCGCACAGCGCAACCTGTCGCTCCATGTCGAAAGTGAGTCACCTTACGCAGTTATCTGTAGCAAAGGCCTGAAATTCTTTTCCTGGAAAAATGATGGGGATCGACGATTTACTTATTCGTCAATCCGGGGCACGCCCTTGAGTCATGGACGTACGCTCTTCATTTGTTCTTCGGGTCCCGGCTCCACCCCCGCTCTCCACTCGGGGTTATTCTGCCCACGAAATACCATCCATCCCCCGTTTTCGATCATTCGGGACCAGGAAACTTTTCTTGATAACACTCCAATGTTCTCACGGATTTTCTGATACGTATCTCATCATTCAAAATGTCACCACATCCAATAACGAGGAAATCAACTCGATAGCGAAAAGATGATAAAGCGCGAACAGCAAGAGAATGCGTTTTCAAACCCCATGACAAGCATGAAGCACTTTTCTTCACGACTGTCAAGACTAGAAGTACAACAGAGGACTCGTATGATTTATAGACACAAGTGGTCTCCCCGAGAGAGGCCAGGATTGAGCCACGGTTGAATTCCAATTGCTGGGGAGGCGTTATACTGTGTAACGCTAATAAATGCCACGATTTGAGTATCTCGCTCGCACCGCAGCCATCCAGATCGCCATCGCATCCGGGCGGTCACATTATAATCAGAAAGTGAGACTCAGGCATATATCAATCATATACAAGTGACTCCCGAACGATAATGACCTAATGAGCATGGGGGAAGCAAGTTACAAAACACTGCCATGATTAAGAAAAAAAGATATAGTTACTGACTGACCAGCCAGAGAAGTTCTCACCATCGTGAAACACCTCACTATCCAAGAATCCCCAGTACAGCTCTTCCTCTCGAGTCCCTAGCAAGAAATAATCTATAAATTATTCTCGCATACCAGTATCTACAACCTACCAACTACCTACTTCGTCTAACATCTCATACTATACTTATTCCATAAAACAAGGCGCGAGGAATACGACATGAAACGAGACAAAAAGAGAAAAGAAAAAAGAAAAACACTAGATCTCATCACGAGAGTAGTATGTGACTGCGCGAAATAACTGGTTTTGATACGTCTAGTCTAGATCCTCCCCGCGATCATAAGTAAACCTGTAGTCTAAGGCTACTACCTTGTCAATAGAAAACCGGTCGCCCATGATTCTAATCAGCTACGCGTCTCGCAACTACGCCATTACGTGTCATTACAAAGGTCTCTTGGTCTTTACTCTCTTCATACGCGGTGTAGGACAATGACTGATCGAGTAGTACTTTATATAATTCGAGACAGCCTGCCCACCAAAGCATGGCTCTCTCATCTTAGTATATTATTAGGCGTATCCTTGGGATTCAGAATTCCGGTACTTTTAGAATGTGAAGGAATTGGTGTATAAGATGGAAAAGAAGCGAAGGGGAAAGATAAAGATTTCCGCGAATGAAATTTCTTCATTAACTTTTCTCGATTTCGCAGTGCATCATATCTTATCTGCCAAGTTGAACGTAAGAGAAGAAAAAAGTATGGTATCATTCCTGGAAGGTATTTGAGAAAAGAAGAAAGATAAGGAAATATCCGGTGCAAGGTATATACATGTGCATAATAATGTATGCAATATGAAAGGTAGATAGGGATGCTTTCTCCGCGGAGATCGCAGAGAGAGGAAGGATGTGGGGGTGTCGAAGTCGTCGGAGTGAGAGTATTGATAAGGGGGGAAAACCTGAGATAGCCGCCACCACCAAGAATACAATAAAGCCGTATATAGTAGTACAAAGATAGGCGTAAGAAGTATAACATAGAAAAAAAAATAATGAAAAGGGCATTATTTCGAAAAGGACATTGAGTGGGCGATTTATCTTCCCCACATCCGTGCTGACGAGTCATTGATTCTCCCATGGTGGCGGTCTGAATCCTTGCTCGAGCGATCGCTGCTCTCTTCGACTCCATTGTCGAATGCAGGTTCGGAGGTGATCTCGATCGTGGTGTGCTGGTACACCTTGCCCATCGGAGTCAGTTCAACACCGGCAGTCTGCACAATGTTGTCGGTGGAACCGTCGCGCACGGTATGTTCGAGATCGTCGTCTTCATGGACGCCCTTGCGCAGAGCGCTGATATCTGTCCGGTTCATCTTGGGGTCCGCGGTGATGGTGGTCAGATGGTTTTCGGTCTTCCGGCCCTTGCTGCTCGCAAAGCGGTTGTAGCTGCGATCGTGACTGGGTTCCGATTCCAAGATCAGGTTTCGACGGGTAAGGGTGTACAGCAGGGCGTCGACCAGTCCGGAACTGGTGATCATGGCACCGGCAACACAGAAGTAGGCTATACTGGGGGAGTTGCCTTGCGCGGTCGCCATTCGACCTGCGGCAAGAGGGAGCGAAAGGACAATATAGGCGATCGGATAGATGACCATGTATCCGATAACGCGGCGAAGGCGCTTGAGACTTTCGATGTGACTGCTGCCCAGAATGGCGGACTGCTTGATCCGGACCCGGAGCTGGAACCACATCACAGCGTACAGACAGACCGTACCGAACTCGGCCAAGAAAATCCAGATGTAGTGCGTCCAGAGACGGATCGATTCGTAATCTTCGCTGATCCAGCACTAGAGGCGCAAAATCTTAGTTGTTGGCCCAATTCGATGGCAGAGGTTTACTTACCCAGGCACCTGATGGGATAAAGACGTAACGGCCATGAGCAGCAAGGGGGATGATAACAAGGACGGCCACAAAGATCCAAACTCCAATTACGAAGCTGACGAAGACTTTATGGCTCATTTTCCGCCCCAGAGCCACGAGCAGGAAGGTATGAAAGGCGATCGCCAGGACGAAAAGTCCACTTCCTGGGTCTCCTACCTGCAGCCAGAATCCCTGCAGGAAACAACCTGCCGAATCCGCGGATATTTTATCCTCTGCAATCCATTTGATGCAGATCAGGAATGCGAGCGCTTGCTGGAGATCGGCCAAAACGAGGTTGTAGATGAGAATGACATATTGATTGTAACCGATGTACCGCGCATATGAACCGCGCCAGAAGATGAGTCGGTAGCTGATGAAACAGATCAAGGCCAGTGTCGCTACGAAGGATAAAACTGCCATGACAGAGACTGCAATGAGACCTTTGCGCTGAGTGCTGGGGAGGGGATCAATGTCCAGAGTGACGCCACCGGGGCCATAGATCGTTCGGCGGAAGAGGTCTCGCCCCCCTTCATCGAATGCCCCCAGGGCACTCAGGACATGTACAAGACTCATTGTTGATCGGGTTTTGTAAATCGGAAGCCGGGGTGGGCTGCTGTCATTATTCTCTTCCTCAGGCGACGGAGAAAGCTGCAGCTGGGCCTGGGAGCCAGGGCGGTGGCTTTTGTAGAAGCAGCCCCCGATAGAAGATGAAGGGTTGAGGCGATCTAGAGAAGTCCTGAATTGTCGTATCTAGAATGCTCAAGAATGGGCACAGCAGTGGAAGGCCGATTTGTGTTCAGTTCAGGGGTTAAGCCTTCGCACTTACTTGCCAGGACTATCCAAGGATCAGTCGAAAAGTAAAAGAAGAGGGGAAAGGGGACATTGCGCGATGGAAGTAGGAAATGGACGAGCCACACACGCACAGAGACACACACATGGAAGGCTAAACTACCGGCACGGGGAGTGGATATGCTGTGGAGGGCCAGCCCTTTACCACGCAAAGCTTTTTTTTCTTTTCGCCAGAATAGTTTAGATTCTGTTGCCCATGAGCCTACGAAAGTAGAGAGTGCAAACTAGGAAGTCAATCAGTGTCTCGAAACTAGTCTACCCCATATCACGGTCTGGGCCGACGTATCCCGTGCTGGCCTATTGGCGAGAAAGCCCCCCAGGGTTGCCCCTCACGGAAGTCAAAACCAGGGGGCTCTCAACTGGGAAGGTCGACCAGGTCAGCACGTACTCTGGCCTATAGCGGCCTAGCAGTATCTTCAATTGGTTCCGGAAACCTTGAAGTTTGGATGGCAGACCCGGTGCCAAGCGTAGGGGACGAACGTGGTTTTTTGGTTCGGAATGTTTAGTCTACTAGCGGCTGGTACGGACTGGTTCCGGGAGCCTAATTTCGACTATCTACACAGTATCCAGGTAGATACGGAGGTGGAATGGGTTTAGGAGAGGGTATGATTATCTTGCCACCGGTCTGGCAACCGGCGGAGGTGACACATTTTTCAAGTATGAACTTCAAACCACCACTGTTAGGCCGTATAAAATCAGCCTATCAAAGGTGCAGGGTGTCAGGGGAAGAAGCTTTCAGACGGGGCCTCGGGTCTGCGAGGAGCATAATTGTGGGTTCGACTTGTGCCGCGGCCAAAGGAAAGCGGTCCGCGAGTCAAACTTGGGCCAAACAGAAGTGACCATTCTCCATGCAGTACCATGGCCGCGGGTACAATTTCTGTCACCAGAACTCCAGTCTTTTCCTTGTAAGCGATGTTGCACAGTGTGACAGACAAGCGACGAGGGCGGATCTCGACTAAACAGCTCTCTCAACAACAACAACAACAACAACAACAACAACACACCGAAATAGAAGAACAAAAGTAAATTTTCGACCTCTTTGGCCATGTTGGAGCGCAAATTTTCTCCCTGGCATAGCGGGAAACGCCCCAGTCGGCATCGCGTTAGCATCCCCGAGAGGGACATTGAGCGTGCCATGCCATTGATTCCAGAAGCCTGCAGGTCCCGCTTCGCGGATCGGCTTAGAAATTGATTCGGAGGATCCACCTGGTTACTACAAGTGTAAATCACGACGCTAGGTTGCTTTTCTGTTTGGGTAATCGATTACCTCTGGAGATAAGAAAGAGGAAATAATCACGCAGGAGCACAAAGGCAGGATCGTGGCGATCGCTGACTTGGACAGAACGATTGGGTCAAGCAAGCACCCGCCTCCAGCTGCACTGGGTCTCGATCGTCCCTGAGCGGCAGCATCGGAATGCCAGATGTTCTGGGTCTCACGGCTGCGAAGCGGTATCTGTGGGCGGAACCATGGAATGGCATGAGCGCACACGGCAAAGACCTTCTTGCTGATCTTACGTGTAAGATGCAATGACACCATGCAAATATAGAAGTGTCTCCGACTGGTTCTGAGTGTGTGTAATTTCATCAGTCGTTGTCAGTGCGGTGTTCTGCATGTGTGTTTTGTTGCGGCTAATCAGCAACTTAAGTGTGGAACAATTTTAATAAGCGGGATACGCTAGCGCATCCGAATAAGTTTCAAGAGCCGTCACCACTAACAGAGAAGGCATCTTGGTCGAATTGTGCCAGAGTTCACCTCAGGTGACGCGGCTCACTGGGGAACTACACTGTGGTTTCTTCCCATGGTGAGTGATCTGATACCGTCGCGGCTGCAATCGCACCAACATAAGTCCGTTTAGCGTTGAGTATCAATGGATCCCTGGCCACCGCATTAGGAGAGGTTGATAAGGAACCTTTTCACTACTAGTAGTACAATGTCCTCTGTGCTATGCACTACCTTATCATCTAATATGATCATTGCCTGGTATGTCGCTTTTGGAAATAGTGAAAGAGAACAACTGGTCTATACATGTTTTGGCTGCTCCCACCGAAGGTGTCATGGTCTAGTCAACGTCAAAAAGGACATAACAGAAGGTACAAAGGCTCCTTTCGAACACCGATTCACGGGTCAAGAAAACTTCTCCCCTCATCTTGGTGCTTCTTCGAATATCTATTCTGCAGTCTAGGAATACAGCGGTGTCCGCAAAAAGCTATAGCCAAACTGAGTGGAGATTCGTACCAGCCAACGGTTTTTAATCAACGCAATACCGGCTGTGGACCGGCGCTATTGCCCACAAGAGGAAGGTGTCGACGAATCACGCTCTCCCATGATTCCCACTGGCTTGACAAAAGTACTCCTTCCATTCTACAACCACGTCGGGAATGCATTGCTCATTTTGTCGAGCCTGAGGAGCCTCTGCCTATGGCAGTAGTCGTGTCTTCCGTTGTCATGGCTTGGTGTGCGATGCAGCTTGTGTTCTATCCAAGTGTATCGCTCTAGTGACGCTCCTCACTCCATTCGCGCCATCTACATCTGCCCTCGTACTACCAAGATCACCGACACATTTCCTTTGGGATTGGTGTATAAGTCCATACTGCTTCTTCATACTAGGTACGGTGCCCTTGCAGAATTCCTCGGACTAGCCTACATAAGGTTCCTTGGTACACACCTACGCTCCTTGGCTAATGAGCTTCTTCCATTGGTAAGTCTAGGGGAACAGGCCCCGCTGATGTATCCCCAAATGCTGTCCCGATAATACTACGTATACTCTGATCTATTCTGTTTGGACCTGATTATCATGGTCGCACACTTAACCCCTCGGCGCAGAGCCTCGAAAGCTTCGTGGACCCTGGGCAATCCTGGTCTAATCCATACAAGATGCGTTCACAACTTGGATTTATCAATAGGCTGATTGTCAGGCGTATCTTAATCTTCACTGTGCTTGACAGACCAGTGTAATACTGATTTGGCGACCGTCAGAAACAGTCATCTTGCCGGGTGTCAAAGTGCGAAGGCCCCCTTTCCAATAATGAGACCATCTCAAGCTGCTTCATGAATCGTAAGGTGCTAACTTGGGTGGTCTCAGGAAGATCATAGCATAAGCTCTGGGGGTTTTTGGCGCTAATTGCACCGAAAGGCCATACCAAAACAGCAAGATGCACCTGCCAAGTCCGGGCTATCATATGCTATCATGGGTAGGCTGACATGTCATCATGAAGATCATGGCTCTGTGCATGAACGTGCTCCCAACTTGTAAGTTCAATAGACTTTACGAAGTGGCCCGCTTACAAGGGAAACGGCATTGATTGTGAACACTACCGCGGGGCAGTCTATCGCAAGCAGCACCATGCCAGAAGGCATAGGACCCAGAAAGAAATCTTCTCAAGCATGAAATAGCAGTACTGAAAGGCTTCAACCAATGCAATCTTGACCCAACATGTTAGCACGCAAGTGCGCAAAAGGGGCAATGCTTCTGTCCAGGAATTTCGAGATTCGATCATATATGCCTGGCCAGTGCCACGTAGAACATGTGGACGTCAAGCAGGTACAGAAACCTTTCACGTGTCGTTCGTCCAGTTAAAGCACTTTTTGCTGATGTCTCAGAGTCAGCGCTGAACAGATCTGCTCCATGCTAGATCTTGTCGATCCAGCACATGCCTGCTATCACGAGAACAGCGAGTTCAGGTAGGATGTCGTCAACGAGTTTCCTTTTCCAGTAGACCGCGGCTCAGAATAGTGTCCATAACCACTGGATTATTACCGTTACGCTGGAACGAAGTTGTCATGGCCGTTAAGGAGGTTCCACAATGGGTGGCGATCACTATTATTGCTACCATGAAGAGTAGTGTTCTTGGCGCCTTTCGCCTTTAGTGTCGGCAGCCCGGCAGAACCAGGCATCACGTTCCGCTACTGCCAAGCGATCGACATTCTGGCCGCTCCCTACGGTAATTGTCCAGGGCCTAACTACCCGTCTTTCAGAATCATCTCGAACTAACAAAGACTTCGGCTCAACTTAATTTAGATTATCTCATCACAATAACTTTATGTAGTTATGCCTTGTGGTTGCCTTGGTGGCTGCTTGCTTGCTTGCATGGAAGTCATTGCCTCATGGGCTCAAGCTACGAAACCTTGACACCTGGGAAAGGGGTCGAATAAAATCTCTTCACCTCTTGGCAGTCTCCAGTCAAATTACTTGGCTGCCCCTCCATGCCAGCGTTCTGACTCGGCCCAGTCCCGTTTCAGGGCCCCGGCGGAAGGCCTCCAAGCGTCCAAGGAGCCATTCATACGGTGTGGGACTCATCGTCTCGAACAGCCGAAGTCCCGTGAAATCGGTAAGCGCAGCCCGGTGTCAATCATCAGGAGGGGTTCTCCTATATTATGTACAACTGCGTTATGCTACAACGCCCGAGCATTGTTATCCGCTGGTGTCAAATGACCTTCTGGCAGAAAGAGAGTAAGCCGCAGATGCTATGTGTCTTGCCTAAACGGCCGATCAAAAAGCAAACTTGCTCCCGCCTGGGCAGTCGCGTGGAAAGACATACTCTCTCTGTTCGCCAACATGCTCTTCACCTCATGTCTCACATGGCTCGGTGATGTGGAGAATAAGTTTACAATTGCAAAGACTCTGCTTCCTATTGCTGTCTCGCAGATTCCTGCTTTGGTGGCTTCTACTTTCGGGAGCTAGTTCCACGAATGCCGAGACCTTACTATTTAGCGATAATGTTCCCACCATGGAATATGGTAGCTTTCGGAATTCTCCTCTCCAGCAAACGACACCAATGACAGCCCCTCACAAAGTCTCCGGCCGGCCACCGAAAGTCAACTGCGGGTTTAGCTTTAAACAGATAAGGGAATAAAACAAAGAACAAGGCGGGGATTAACTTCGATAAAACTGCAGGGCTATCGCAACTAGTGTTGCCCTGTTGATGGGCTAACCCGGCCTCCCCTTTTCGCCCCTCTTCACACTCCATAGTCCATCAAAACCCAAGATCAAGTCGAGCCGTGCTTACTCGGAAGAGTTGCTGCCGAAATTCTATTTTGTTTTTCTCCCTTCCCGGGAGCGGAACCAAAGAACCTTGTGGCTACAAGATCCATTTTCTGGATGAACCATGGATACTCAATAGCTGATCTTGAACCGGATGCAGTAAGTCGCACGAGTATCAAGCAATTGGAACTGATAAGGTAATGAGAATGCACGGATATCGAAGCTGATCCGGAAGGTCGCAATCGTCCAAGCAATGGAGCGCAGCGAATCTGGGGTGGAATGCTCCGACTCGTGTCAAGATAAGGAATAACTGAGTTGGGCTTAGCTTGGAGCACACTTTTATGCCCTGAACCTTATGATGATGAGTGAGAAATTAGTTGCTATGAAGAAAGGAGAAGGGACAACTACCCCTATAGCGACTCTGACCATACCAGCTACCTCAGCAGCGTTGCTAGGCTTCCTTGGTTTCCTCTGCGAAACTAATTGAATCACTGATCCAGAGAGAACAACACACGACTGAGACAGCCCTGGAGCAGTACCATAGCAATGCCATTGCTACATTGCAAGTGCCTCTCCCCCTTGATTTACTTACTAGCTCCCTCTCCGCACAGTAGTATCTGTTGTCGTCGAGGGGAACCTTTCTTAGTATGGAACTTCGAGAAATGGAACGCCTCAGGAACAATGCAAGGAAGCCACCACAAACACACAATGCGGGGTACAAAGGACAAGAAAGGAATACAACCAACGAGATTCAATCAATCAACGTCTGAATCTTTCCCCGCTTCGTATTCACTGATTTCTATCCTTCGTTGGTCTGTGGGAGAAAAGGAAAGGAAGTGCGCCACCGGATTCCCCCACCTCGTATAACCTCCCGTCTCGTTTCTTCCCCGCAGAATAAACATACATTTCTGGAATAGTGCGGGTCGAAATGGACTTGCTTACCTTGCTTATGCGCCTCATCAAAAAGTCGCTGTGTGGTTGTTTGAGAAAATGGTGTCGAGCTCATTGCTACTGAAGAGAGGACTGAACATATAATCGATCCTAGATCATAAAGACTAGTTATTTGCAGAGTAAGAGAGGGTATTTCTGATTTCAGTAATATAGTTGTCCCTAGTATTCTCCTGTAGAGTGTTCACTATTTTATAAAGAACAACCAAGTTGACGAAATTATATGGAAGAACTAATCCGGCGAAGAAGCATGTTCGAGGAAATATCCTTGGCAAATAGTTATATACTATAGAGTCCAATGACTTATGAAACAATTCCTCTTTTTCCACAAGTACTGAAGTTCCTGGTAGTTCTTGCAAACAGTGCCTCAAGTCGATTTACACACTTCACTTCATGAAGATATATTTTATCTCCTCAGCCCGCACAGAAATCATATCAGTATCATGTATTCACAGTTATTCACTAGTAGGTATCCATGCTCAATCCAAGAATACCTGATCTTTGAGATTATTCTGGGAATATAGGAACATTGTTAGTGCATACTGATATATATATACACAAGGTGAGGTGTGTAGTATAGCACTAACATCCCATATAATTTACCGACTGAATTGGAAATAGTACTACCATTAGTGAAACCAGATATATATAAGCTACTACGTAGTAGTTGATAGCAACCAATTCTATGTGAACAAAATGTTATTACTCATTATCCAAATTGAAGTTCGATACTCAGCATTCAAGCCCCGGATAAAACATCATTAAGTGTGAACTATACGATAGATAGTACTTCGAGGGACTACTATATTTCGGAAGGTTTTCACCCTATCAATTGCAGTGAACTAAACATCTATCAAATCAAATTCGCACGTGGACCTCTTGCGCTGCTTATTACTTCTGTGGTCGAGTAGTAAACCGTAGGTGGTGGGTGTGTTATGAAGAAGAATTTCTTAATTGCTATGTCATGGTGGACTAAGTTGATGGATATTCAAACAAGTGTTGCCTAATGCTACTATCATTCACAGAGGAAAAGTGGAAAGAGAATAGGCAAGATATTGAAGTCGAAACCAGATGGTATAGACCACAAATATACTATTCAAGCACAATATCTAACTATAAAGGCACCTATATGCAGCTGGTATTCACCGATTCATAAAGTCATAACATCAGGGGCGTATGTACAACGAAGCCATTATCGTTGTCAGCAATTGATGGGAATCGAGAAAAAAGAAAGCCGGAGGAACAGGAACAGAAAGAAAGAAAGGAAACTTCGTTAAAATACATAAACATTAGGTGTCGTGCATGTCATTTACATACACACCCGCCATTTCGACTTCCTCAAGTCTTCAATGCGTTTAAACATATCATTTCATTTCATCTCGTCGCAATTCATGCATTCGTGGTTCCGTGCGCTCGTGTAAATGTCGTCATGACGCTGAAATAATTGGAACTAAAATAGAGAACCATGCGGATGCGTTTGTGTTGTTCAGATTGTTTTTCGTATGGGCTGAAGAGAGTCGGCCACCAGTTAAAGGACTATTTCCATAGTTCAATCATCTTCTCCGGGAGCCTCGTCGACTGTCGTATACTTCTTCCTCGTCTTCCTCCTCAACAGGGGCAGGTGTCCGTCGTTCAGTACGGCGCTTTGGACGGCGTCGGCGGTTGGAGCTGATGTTGCTTGCCGAGTCATCTGGGGCCAATGATACGGCATCGTCCAAAAAGTCGTCGTCTCCACCATCATCCCATACGCCTAGGCCGGAGGCTGGAGTTCCCAGGCGAGCCTCCACGTAGGAACCGCGACGGTTCTGGTTTGCAATCGAGAGCCCTGCGCCCCGTTCGCGGAGCGCGCGACGCACCACCTCTGCCTTGCAGTGAAGGGCCTCAAAAGCATCTTCAAGGGCCTCCATACCAAGGTAGATGTCCCGTTCAATCTCCGCCAGAGCCGCAATTTCCATTTCCTCGTCCAGGGCGATCGGGCCACCAAATGAGGCTGGGGCAGGCGAGAGAGACGGGCCATATGGCTGGCTAGCTGGTCGGATCCCTCCGTCAACTGGGTTTGGCGTCGGGCCACGCGAAATTCCGCCGGTGGTGAACGGAGTGTTGGATCGACTGTAGCTATAACGTGGTGGGGTTGAACCTGGGGCGCCGGGGAAGGCGTCTTCAGCACCACTCCGCAGAAAACCATCAAACCGACCCGAAATAAGAATATCCCACTCGTCGTCACTGATTGCTGCCAAGGTGGCGAGAACATGGTGCATGCCTGGATTGTTAAGCATGTAGATGGCGGCTTCGGGATCCCGCGGAGGGGAGGCCAATCGGTACAGCCGCTGGATGGCGAGCGACGATGACACCAATGGTGCGGGTCGGGGACGCGGTGGTCCCTCCGGTCGTGGTGTAGGCACTGTAGAGCCGAGGCCGAGAAGAGCGGAATATAGTTGACGTTCGTGAGGTCCGAGATGGGTTAAAATGGCAAAGGTCAGCGTTTCGTCATCTACCTCTTCAGGCGCGCTCGTGGCCTGACCGGGTTGTTCATTGAGCCACTTGTCCACAGCAACTTTCGTCTTGCGCGACTGACGAATAAAGTGATCACGATACTCCTCCGGCACATCAATGTCCAGCTTCTGCATCGGAATATGTTCCTCCCCAGACCAATTCGCGTCAACCACGGCCGGATTCAATATGAAAGCCGGCCAGCTGGGAAGTTCACGACGGCCGGAGACAAGCTCCAATACTTCACCCCAGCTGACGCCTGACGGACGCTCTTCCATTGTCCCATGCTCACACATCAGACAACTGCAGTACTCGCATGAAATGTCACGGGCAAACACCGCTTCCAAGCGATCGAGCAGGCGGCGCGCTACGGACCGATACCCCGTGGCAACCGCTAGCGACCCGTTCTTAGCCATTACATTACTGTAATCCTCAAGAAGCCGGTTGAACGGCTCAAAAATCTTGGTTGCTGCGGATTGAGAAGGCGATGGCGCATACGGCGAGTTTTCGGGAACAGAAGGACCGAGCATAGACTTTGGAACACGATGGTCTAGCCCACCATTCTGTAGAAGATAGTCCACTTTCGGAATCGAGACAGGAACTTCGGGAGGAGGCGGCGGTGGTGGTGGAGCGCCGTAGGCAGAGCTCGCCGTAGGGGGTCGTCCATAATCATAGGCTGCGTCAACCGGTGTACGAGCCCCAAAACTCGGGCGCGATGAGGTCGACGATCGCGTCTGATTGCGTGATGGCGGCTTCTCTGGACTCTTCGGCTTGCGAGAAGTTGTAGACTGATGAGGCGGCGCAATGGTTGCGTCCGATCCATTTGCGGAGTCCGGACCAACGTCGCGCACTGTCGCGGGGGAGCGAGGGGGAGTGGCATGGCTGGATGACCGCTTAGGGGAAGCCGCTTCCTCTACGATCTTTGACCGAGTCGAATTGCGGCTGGCCGTCCGTGACGGCAAATCGGTCTCATAGCTGGAGCGCTTTGGTTTCACTGTCTCCGACCGTGTTGGCTTGCTCGTCTTGGAACTGTCATCCTTCTTCGACCGCAGACTTGAGGAAGACCGCGTGGACTCAGCTCTAATCCGAATCTTTGTTTTTGGCTTCTCTGGCTTCTCCTCCGCTCCCTTTTCCTCCTTACTACCAACTGTGCTTGCCTTGTGTGATTGCTGGTCCACACTCGTCAGCGGCGGACTGGGGGGCGCTTGGTTGTTATTATCGACACGGTCCTTCGTATTTCCATTGCTACCTTCTTTACCTCCCTCTGTCAGGTCGGTCGGATCTGGTGTAGGGATGCTCGGTTTGCCGACGACTTCTTTGCTGTGGGCTTTGGAGAACGTCGGGTATGGCAGGCTGGTCCTCGACTCGAGGAACGAGGCTGTGCCCGAGCGGCTGGCGCTGTCGACCCCAGGCATGGATGACCGGCGCTGTTTGCGGGAATTGGAAGTAGATGTGGAAGGGGTTGAGGCGCGGCCCGTGGGAGCGTCGGGGTCGCGATCCTTGGTTGAAGTGCGGGAGGTTTGTCCGTGGGACGAGCGATTCTTGCGTGGTCTTGATTTGGATGAAAGGGTCGAAGATGAAGAAGTCTTTCTCTCCCGGTCCCTATCGCGATCTCGTTCATTTAGTCTCAGCGGTAGAAACATCATGTGGAAGAAGGTGGAAAGGTTTCGAAAAGAGGTGAAAGGAAGGGTGGAAGACGGCAATAGAGCGTTGTCGTTCTTCCTTTCCACCCCTTGTTTCCTGCTCTCGTCCCCACTGTCCGATCGGTTGATATTTTCGTCTAGTTACCTCGTTTCAAGAAAAAGTAAAGAGAAATGACGGAGGAGTCGTCAGCTTCCCAAGTGAATGTCACGAAAGGAAGGGGTTGTCGGATGACCCGAGACCCGATTGATGTTCGTCTGGCGCTTAAGAGATATCGAGGAATGCAACTCTCACTGGTCGAATGCCTGACTAGGCGCTTGTGCCAAACCACCAAAGGCGCTGCTGGAGGGCATGCAACATCCCGTGGGCGGCGGGCGGGGGGGAAGACGAAAAGAGGAAAGTGAAGGAGATCTCGACGATTAGCTAAGGTGACAGAAGCGAAGAAGAAGGGAAATAAAACAATCAAATAGCGAGTAGTTCAGGGACGGTGCATAAGGGAAAGATCGCGAGCCCGATGGATGGACGGGGGATTTTGCGGTGAGAGACGGGCTGGCGGAGAGGATCCCCGCAGCGATTCGGTGGCCGTGGGATTTTCCCAAGTTTAGCAGCACTAGAAGCTCGGAGACCACCGGTGACGTGGTGCTGCATAGAAACCCAAGTGGGAGCACAGAAGGAAGTACAAATAGCAGCAAGGACCATGCCACCGCGATGGGCTGGCCTGGATGCTGCTGCCTTGAAGGAGGGGATGGTGCCGACGAGGATAATGCCTGGAGTGGTTCAGTTCTCACATCCAATGACTTTTCCAGCAAGAAGATCAAAGTTCACGATCCATTGCGAGGGGCGTGATCCCGTTTGCCTCAGGCAACATGCTCGGCTTCTGCCTGAGGCAAGGATCGATGGCTACCCAATGACTCACTCGTCAAGTGGATCAGCACAAGCGAAGCTGGTATATCGTATCCAAATAGGATAGAGCCTGTTTTCGTGATCACGATGCATCAGCAGTATGAGAGGGACTTGCAGATCAGCTGCGGGGTTATCTACAGTATCCCGTTAGTTCGTAGTCATTTGATAAACCGCATACTACATTCAAAGACACGAACTAACACCCGTACCTTAATATGGAGAGCTACGGAATCCACCGGATCACGCAATCGAAAACAAAGAAAAAGAGCAAATTTGTTATCGACGGGGTATCATAACGCTACTGGACCGATCTAAGCGTAGCAATAACTCCTCATCCCTAGATCTCAAGGCCTAACTCCATGCTGTCAATCCATTCGACGCCTTCTTCACAGGCGACATCTCAAGAACCCAATTCCCATCCTCTTCATGAGCCACCCCTCCTCGACGTGCTGCTCGCATCACTCGTTCACTCGCCGGTGTTCTCTCCCCAGTGTGTCTATCCCACACCCAACCCTCCTTTAACCACATCCACGTCAAGTACGCCCGTAGCTCTTTGTCTTGCGGCAACACTGATTTCCATTCCGGACTGAAATGCGCCGTGGAAGCCCCATGTCCTCTCCAATTCGAGGCAAGTCCCCGTAGTTCGTCACGGCAGAATATCCTCCAGCTGTCCAAAGAATAGGGCCCGACACCAGGAAGATGAGCAATCTCCATGCAGGCCGATGTCACGTCCATCTCCCTTGCAGGGGTAGTGAAGTTTGCGGTAGCGCTTTCCTTTCGTAGGTGGAAAGGCCAGCCAGGTCTGGGCTAGCGTAATGCACTTTTTCGCTCGCTGGTTCTGGAAGCCGAGGCAATGTATCATAGACGCCAGGGTGTTTGTGTCCGTTGATGCCATCGCCTCCACTGTTGGGAATCGATCGAAAACCTTGAATAGTACTGGGAGCGCAACGCCTCCACGGGTACGGTTCAAGAAGATGGTGGCAATCAATAGACGGAAAGGATCGTGGGCAAGTTGCTCCTGCACTAAGCCGAATGATGGCGCATCGATTGGCGGAAACGGAAGACATGAATCAGGGTCGACCAGAGGTTTGGGAAAGTAAGGTGATATCTTCTGAGGCCTCAAACGTGGTGTTCTAGGCAGCACAGGAGCACTCCCCGTTGATTTTGCTTTAGTCGGTGTGCTTGGCTCTACAGCCTCTGATGCACGCTGTGCTTCTATAGGTGAGACACTGAGAGAGTAATCAAATGGAATATCATCGAAACCGCTAGGTACATCACTCAAGTCCGAATCAGTGGAAAGAAAGTCTGAGGAAAGATTCAGCTTAGCTAGGAGAATTCGGGTTTCTTCGGGTATCTGATCAGGGGCATTCTTTGAGGGGCCATTTCTTTTCTCTTCGCAATGCATCTTCCCTTTCTCCAATTTCTGAGGAGCGATGAAATACTTTGACCTCACCTCATCGCTGGTGGTTGAACTTTGCGAATCATTGGTATCTAAAAATCCTCCAGGTTCCAGAAAGCCTCGTCCAACATAGAAAGATCATCGACCACTTTTGCATTAGGCTTCGTCGTTCGAGGTACTTCCTTAGCAGCACAGGCTTGCTGAACGCCATCTGCACTCGTTGACAGTGCGACATGTTCGGTGTTCGTAAGGCTTGCGCGAAAAAGTTTCTTCTTTCGTTGTTTGCGATTATCACGCTTCCTTCTATTCTTTTCTTTCTTGGACAGCACACGATCAGAATGCTGGGTTCTGTCGCCTTCCAGAGCTTCAGGCTGCTTGATATGTGTAGCCGAGGTAACTTCATCTTTCGCCGAAGCAAATTGGGCTGGTCCAATCTCCTCCTCCTCCTCTGAATCACCAACAGTGCGCTGGCCTGGGGATTGCGGAGATAAGTGGGGAGTCATGGACCTTTTGATTGATGTTTGCTGCGATGGGAGTGTTTCTGGAATCGCCTCCTCGGATTGAGTAGACTTGCTCTTAGCGGAACCTTTTTGGCATTCTTCCTCGGAATGTGGTGGTGATGGAAGTTTTTTCTGCGCATCGTTGTGCTCATTCGAGGCCTGTCCAACAAATGGTGATTTGACCGGGGCATCCTGCTTGGCGAATAACTCGGGACTTTCGTTATCACTCGGGCATAGGTCAATGGTAATTTCAGGCATGCCCTTAGCGACATTCGTAGTTCTTTCCCTGCTGACTTGAAAATGACTCGAAGGAGACTTCGCGGTCGAATGGTTCGCATCCAGATCAACGGCTTCACGCTTATTACGGTGTCCGTCGGTGATTGGCTCGAGTGACTTTCGTTTCTTCGATGTAGTCTTCTTTTCCTCCTGTTTCGACGTTGTTGCTTGATCATTGCCTGTGCTGCGCTTCCTCTTGTCGTCCTTGATAGACGACCTTGATCGACTCTTTTGCGTACCAGTCTCGTCCTTGATCTCCTCGCCAAAGCCAGAACCATCCAGACTCATCTGGCCATTTCCAAAGAGCTCAAGGTAGATCTTCTTAACATACGTAACAAGCTTTCCAAGATCAGCCTCTTTCATACCAACCGATAGACTCTCTCGACGTATTTCACGAACGAATTTCCGTCGCGCAGATCGTAGCACAGGATATTCGCCTTTTTTCATGAAAGGGTGTGAGCTGATGAAGGTAAGAAGTCTCATCCTCTTGTCTAGGTCCACAGACGCGAAGACGATATCCTCCTCGGAAGCGGCATCCAGAGTTTCGCCATTATCGACGATCGTGTGTCCATCAGGCCCATCCACATTCATACCACTCTCGTTATCGTTTTCATCGTCAATCGAGTTCATGCGACTGATATGTCTCTGTGCCGCCTTCTGGGTCTTCGAGCGCCTTTTACTTGGGAAATAAGGAGAGTTCACATATGCAATTTGCGTAGTAGCGGTAGATGCCGAGGTGTGTTCACCCCCACTTTGCGCCATGTCATCATCTCCATTTATACCATCACTACCACTATAATCGTCAAAGCTGTTCTCAAAGCTTGCTTCGTCGGAGAGTATCTGATCCACCGTACGTTGGTGCAGCTCATCGAACGAATCGTAAAGGTCGACGTTGATATGTGGAGGCGAGATCCGGACCAAGGGGAACATGGAGACACCTTTGCCACCTGCCATGGCTGCGTTGTGTATGTATTGACGGTCTATCTGCTATGGCGCGTTCGGTAGAGGCTGACTGGGTGCGTATATCAAAAGTGCAGCGGTATGTTGGAACAAATTGTAGGAATAGAGGCGCATGGTCAGGAATTCGACAAGGAAGAGTCAAAAGACTAACACGGGGAGAAGAGAAACAATTAGTGAATGAATACCTCTCTCCCTCTATCTGCAGGAGATCCACTCACAGGAGTAACACCAATCCACCATATCCAAAACCTCGCGACTCCAACAGCCATATGTGCAAGCTAAAGCAGCCACATCGACCGCGAATGTGAATCAATCCAGCACGGTGTGTTTTCTTTAAAATTTGCTCATAACAAGAACTTCTAGAACATCCAATCGGTCAGCAAGACAGAATGCCAGGCCATTCACGCCGAACACAAGGCGAGGGCAAACTGGAAGCAACTAAGCACACATTCCTCATTCTGCTGGCGCGCGCCGACGCGGAACCCGGCCTGCGCACGGGCCACCTCTGATAGATCACGCCCGCCATCTGATGTGTCCCGCCCCTTCCATGTCAGGTCCTTGCGTCTGTTACAGACTCGCATCAGACCGATCGACTCGAGGACCGAAATGGGAGTGTAGGTTACAGGGATTGTAGTTGTAGTACTGCTCTACTCTCCTCAAGTATTCACACGTAGTGATGTGGCTAGAAAGAGTTTCATACCGCTACAATGTGCGAGATATAATGCGGGGCAGTCGAGTGGACGTTTCCTTGCTTCGAATAATATTACCAGTGCGTTCGAAGCCAACGAACAGCGAAATACAACGGCCAGTGAGAAGACACGAAGGAATGAAGGGTATCAATAGGTGCCTATCTACCGCAGTTACACCAGGCCATTACTATCCCGCCAGTGCCATACATGCCTCGGAATTCATCATGATTCGTTTCAATACTTAAGTCTAATGCTATATAGTATACTTGATCTATCGATGCAACCCAAATCGGAGTCTGTAAATCCAAGACCGAAAGTATCGCTCACAAAACCCTCATATTATATGTATAGTCAAAGTGCACATATGCAGATCTTCCGAACTAGATCCCTCAAACAGCGAACCCTCCAGAATCAGCCTGTCTAGGCTCCCCTGCAGCGTCAAAAGTTCCATTCGGTAGAACCCGAATTGCCTGCGCCGTGCTCTCCCCTGGACCAACCCAGGTCACATTGTGACCTCTTGCCTCCATGAAGGACACGGTCTCATTGTCATAATCGTACTCGAAAGTGACACGATTCGGGACCAGTTGATCATGAAGGCGCGGCTGGGCCAAGGCTTCTGCCGCTGAAAGTCCTTCGTCGATGGCGTGTATAATGTTCTGGACGGTGGCAGTAATAATCCGACTACCTCCTGCCGAGCCGGCTACGAAGAACACTGTTCCGTTAGGGTGGGTCACAATGGTTGGGGTACAAGAGGACAGTGGGCGTTTCCCGGGTCGTATAAAGTTTGCTTCAGAGGGGATATAGCCAAAGGAATTGGACGAATTAGGAATAGAGAAGTCTCAACTATAAGTCAGTGACTGCGGTGAACAGAAGCAAGTATGAGGCATACCATCCATCTCATTGTTCATGATGATACCAGTCTCAGGAACCATAACTTTGGAGCCGAAAAGCAGGTTAATGGTCGTGATCGCAGAAATGGCAAGTCCACTGTGATCAATGGCTGCAATATGTGAGGTACCCGGTCTACACATGTCAGTTGCCTGATTATACTATGGTACCAACCATAATCACCCACGTTTCAAGACTCTCATATCCCTGCGGGTCGTAGGCAGACACGGCCTGGGTATGCTGGTCGGATATATTCTTCCGGATCTCTTCAACAGTGGAATCCGCTAGCATCATTTCCTGGTACGTGTCCATGCCATCGAGGAGAAACGGATCCCCTAAATTAGTCCTCTATATTACAAGTTAGCGCTCCCTCCACCAATTCAGCTGACTGGCGGTTGAATAGAGCGGATAAGCATACCAATCCATATCCGAACCGTATAGCCTCGTCCATTCGATGGGTACTCAGGTTCCGATTATCCGGACTGAAAAGGTCATCGTAGGTACCCAGAACTTTGAGAACGTTCATAGCCACGATACCACTTGATGGGGCCGAGGTGCTAGTAATCCGATAGCCGCGATAGTCAATTTCTGAGATGTTTCGGATAGCGACCGTGTAATTGGCCAAATCCTCAAGCGTCATTGTACCGTTGGCTTTCTGTACCGCATCTATCATAGTCTTCGCGATTGATCCAGAGTAGAAGGCATCGGGGCCCTCGTTTGCGATGGTCTCCAGTGTGGCCGCATAACGTTTCCGCGTGATAGTGTCACCAACACCGAGCCTGGTTCCATTGGGAGCAAAATCGAGCGCCCAGGTAGGATCCTGAGACAGAAAGTCTTCGCCGTCCCCGACAGCAGCTTTCATATAGCGGACCAGGTCCTGCCCGACTGGCCACCCCTCCCGTGCGGTTTGAATTGCAGGCTGCACAACAGCTGACCAGGGGAGCGAGCCATACTTGCTGTGGAGATACCCAAGACCACGCAATTCCCCAGGAACGGCACTTAAATTATATTAGATATTGCAGCATCCAACAACTTGAAGGTGCTCACCTTGCAAGGCCACCACTAACGGCTGCCTCTGTGTTATTCTCAAACATATCCTGAAAAGCTGCCGCCGGGGCAGTTTCGCGAAAATCGATGGCCTCGAAGGAGCCTTCAGGGGTCTTAACCAGCATGAATCCACCTCCTCCAATTCCACTATGGTACATGCCTTCCCGGCTATCATCAGGTCCAAGCACTTCTCCAGTTATCACAGGCCAACTCACCAACAGTTCCGACGCAAAGCATTGTTGCAACCATCTGAGAGATTGGAGTCAGCAGGGTGACGCACGACCGACAGATCAGCTAGATCGTTACTCACCGCGTCAGCTGCATTTCCACCAATGTTTATTATATCTGTTCCATGGCGACTGCAGATAGCACTTTCGCTCGCCACTGCACCGCGCTTCCCTTCCTCCAATTCACTCGTTCGGTCAAACCGGCTAGTCGCAAATTCAAGAGGTGAGGTGAGCACACTTGGCAGATGTATCGTTATTATAGTTAATAGGAGCGTCGATAATACTGTGAACTTCGCAAGGCGGAACATAGTTGAAGTGCTGAGTCGCGTGTCGTGTAACAAGGTCCACTGCGATCGCTGGATCGGGGTCTCCCAGGTTTCAAGAAGTGGCTGCAGAAACAGAGCGGATCAGAATCATAATCATAGCGCAAACTCGCACGAAAGAGGGGTCGGTGAGAGCAACTCGATTTTATTACCTGTTTCTCCGCATCTTGGCTCGAACTTTGCCTTGACTGATAGGTCTCCATGTCGCAAAGACTTTCGAAGTTGGGATGGGTAGGGCCAAAGCGACAGCGCAGATACGTCGCCGGACTTAGCGGGTGCGGAGGATCAGCGTTGGAAGACCCTTGTAAGCCTTGTGCGCCAGAGTCAGGGCGTCCTATTCGCAGACACGCTACCCTAAGAAATAGGAGAGGGGAAAGAGGACCTGCCCCAACGAATGCAGGGAAGCAAGAAATAAGGAAAGCCTTCACCCCCAGCCATATCGGGGACAGTCCTGGGCCGAGATAAGCAGCGAGGGACTGTGGATGTCGCCCTGCAATCAAGAGACGTGACTGGGACTCCGCACTCTTGGGTCGTGCTTATCGAGGGCGGTTCCGCCAACGGGAAGTCAGCCGCCACTCGCGGGCCCAAGTCACGCGATAACGCTGGCCGGGTTCGGCTTGCCCGACGTAATGAGCCGAACGGTGGCCTCTCCAATTGAAGTGCAGCCATCCCGCCAAGGCCGTTGAGGTTCCCCGGAATGTCGAGTCATGGTATGTAATCAACCATGGACTAGACAGAACTCTTACCTCACATCTTTGCTTTCAGTTTTGACTACTATGATAGTGCCAGATCATTGTCGCTATCTGTGCTTTCCTTTCGTATATAGCAGAGCTCGTGCGCAACAATTTTCCGTGTTGCTCCTCTCACTTTTAAAGCTCCACAGCCTCCTTTGTCCAGGTGATGGTTTCGGTCCAAATTGGGGGTATATCTTCCTGCGATTGCAGGACTGTTTCAATAAGACGTCGGCCCCAGTCTCGGACAAACCACTTGTCGGAGAGAAGGTGCAATCCGACCCCGTAGTGTAGAAATAGCACCCGGCCCACCCAGTCTCCACTTTTTAGCAGAGCAATGTAGTCTTCGCTGATGTTTATGGGCCACGCAATAATGCCACCGTTTGGGCCGCCGAATGGCCATCGTTTGATGGCTTCATGAAGAATATCCCACGTGTTTTGGTACGTTGTCTGATTCGGCCCACCAAGGCTGGTAAATTTGTCTTGCACCCGCTGCAAAGACTCTATAATGGCACTTGTGAATGTTAGCATCCGTTGGCCGAGTTCTCGCGAGGTTTTGAGATAACATACCTGCGTAGTTTGATCTGGGATTCCTGTACGCTAGAGAGACATTAGCACTCTACTGTCATGGAAAGAAAGAGGGAAAGCAAGTACTGGTAGGGATTCCCATCTTGATCGATCTCGTCATCCTTGTACTTCAGCCACCCTTGGAGGTCACCCCGATATTCCATGCCGCTAAGCTGTTCAAAAAGAAATGCACATCCCGCTATGAGCTGCCGGATCTCCAAGACATGGGACAAAGGCTCGAATGTATGCTTGTCCTGGGTGACACACGGGTAGGCCGTTGCGCAGAGCATAATGAAGATGGAGCACAGGAATGCTGGTGCGCAGTTCTCGGGTGTCATTTCCGCGAGTACACGGGTGAATGCTGAACAGGCTCTGTTCTGGTATTTAAGGGCAATCCCGAGCCATGAACGGTTATCATGAGTGTTCAGGTACGCTAGATGAAGAGCAGACATTGCTAGTAGACTGTCTAGCAAGAAGGCATGAGAGACCGCGATCCGTGGGACAACCACTTGAAAGTGGTGAGCATCTAGACGCCCTTGACAGAGTGTGATGTATGTCTCTGTTAGATAGTGGTGGAAGAGTTTCATCTCAAGCATCCTATCCGATTGCGGTTCTCCTTCGGGACCAGGAAACACATCAGGCATATCTTGGGGTGTGGATGCATGCTGGCTATCCGCTTCACTAGACGGAGGGTATGTGCAATCAAGTCTTCTTTTCTTGCACAAGCCACATCGTGGTGTCTCTTCGTCGCACTACTCCGTGAGTCAGCATGAAACCGATAGCACGCATGATACTGCTGGAGGAAAACAGCATGTATAATGTATTTATACCGACGACTGCGACGGCATAGGGACCACCGATCCCGGAGAGTGGGAAGAGGTAGCGAACCAGATTGAGAGAAGACAACCGGGAGAAAATAAAGGAAGTCAGACCTTCACATGCCGTTTCTTACATTGGAGACAACCCTTCCGGGACTTGGTATGACTGCGGCGGGAGGGCATTCGGAAGAGTGCCAGGCACGGAAGGGGAATGACGTAGCTCGTCAAGGGCGAAACTTATCTAGTCTCGGTTAAGGTGGAAGCTGCGCGACGATAGTACCAGTAGTTTCTTGTTGTGAAGAACGGGTTAAGCAGTACTAGTAGTGCGTAGGGCGAGAATATCCAGATTGACCACAGCACACAGTCCGATGGCAAGAGGATCGATGCAGCGGACAGACCAAGCCTAAATGATAGGAATAGAATGGGAAATGGCTGTTGGAGATGGAACGATGGAAATAAGAGAAACATGAGCTGCGGGTAACCCGAATCTCCATCCACCATCCATCGGGATCGGGACTCGCCGTTTAGGGAATGGAAGCTGGTGCCGGGCCTGAGGCCCTTGTGGCAGGTTCTGCCGGTGTCAGCTTATCTAACAAGACTGCTGATTGGTGGTGGCTTGCTGACTCAGCTATGTACCTGACATGGGCGGATCCTGTGGGAACTTATTTGTACAAAAGTATGTTATTCTTAGAGGGACTGGTCCACAAGGACCATTCATTTGCAATGCTTTTTGGTCTCCTTCTATCCGCGTGGATGCCTGTTTCACGATTGACCGAGAAGCCTGTTACTGAACTTGCCGGGTAGGCTCGAGAATTCTTAATTCACTTCCTATACAGTCCGAGGCAGCAGCAATTCTTCATTATCCTCCCCACTCAGGACCCCGAATGGCTCCACGAGGGGAGGAAGAGAGTCGTCCGGGCTTGACCGTCCTACGCCACCGTATAGGATGTAGTATCTGGCACTCACAGTCTTCACTGTATCTGTGATTAACAAACTCCCTCTTTCATCTGTCCTGCTCGCGCATCGCATGGGGTTCCATTAGACAACTCGTGTGTGATATACTTTAGTCTCCATCGAGTTGGTACCACCTGCTGCTCTACATCTCTAAAGCATCCCTGCCTGCAAGATGGTCTTTCATCCCTAGTCGCAAAGCATTCTTATCATATTTTCTTCTTGGGCATATCCTCATGCTGCACAACTAGTGGGGCTCGCCAGCTGCGCGGTCTCCCACTACGGGCTACTAGCAGCCAATTCAGTCCGAAATGCGGCCAGATCCCTGTCAATGCCACGTGACAACGGTGGATGGGGGCCACGGAGCAGGATGAGCTTTACAGAACACAAATCAGTCAAGATAAAATCTCAAGCGTTGCATGGTGCCTGTGGTCCTGATTGGGTTGACAATCCACAATCCGCAGCTCTACAAACAAGAATGAATGCGGAGACCCCCTCCCCGAACCAGCGACTGCGGGTGGGGACTACCAGATCGCGGAGGGGTTGCATTACATGTCGGTGAGCGAGGAAGCCCTGTGTCCTACCTGCTCCCCCGGCTCAACTCACTTACTCCTAATCTTGCGGCTACGGCAGAATTCGTCGCGTCAAATGTGATGAGCGGAAGCCGGCTTGTTTTCGGTATGCAAACATTGGGAGATCCTGATGCTTCCGTCGTGAAGAACCCCCACACTGACCACCCGGATAGATGTACCAGTACAGACCGGAGATGTGATGGTTATATGCCCATGCCTTATTCCATACGCATCACCAAACAGCTGGCACAAGTTACTGCATTTGTCAGTCCAGCCGAGTCCCGAGCCCTCGAGTTCTTCTTTCGCAAGTCTGCAGCGCACCTGGCTGGTTACTTCAATGCTTCGTTCTGGACCCGCACGATTCTACAGCTCAGTCTGACCGAACCCCCGATTCGCCAAGCGATTGCTGCGATTGGCTTTCTCTATGAAGTAGAGGGGACGTCCACAACTCCGGGAATGGCACATCACTTGCTGTCTCACCGGTCCGACTTGGCGCTACATCTTTACAACCGGGCCATCCGTACCACCATTGATAAGTTTTCATCAGGAATGGACGTTGTACCCCTAGTCATAGCAGCCAGCATTCTGTTCGCAGCCCTTGAGTTCCTCCGAGGAAATGCTGCCGTGGCTGCATCACATACCAGAAGCGGGCTTAACCTGGTGCGGTCCTGGCGGGAACATCGAGGGCGATTCCACCACACGAAGAGTTCTCGGACACATTGGGTAGATGCTGAATTGGCTCCAATATTGAACTCATTTTCTCTGAATACGTACGAACGATCAGGTCTCAAACACCTCACAAGTGCGCCACGAGAAAAAGTGCTTGTCAATCCCGTGGATGCTCAAGGCAAGCTCTTAGTCAATTGGCGGTTCCAAACGTTTCATCAGGCACGCACCGCCCTCCTTGACTTGATGCTTTACCACATCGGGACTTTTCGCGACTGGCAAGATCTGGCCAGACTGACGGACCTCCCGTACTCGCCCGTTCTGCGATGGCTCGATACTTTCGAACATGCCGCCCAGCGATGGATGGCAAGCTTTGAATTGCTAGTGCAACGGAAGCAGTCGGCATGTGGACCAGCCATGGATAATGAGATCGATGCTACTCGCACGCTCTGGTATTGCCTCCGTCTAGGACTCGGTCGGTACCGTGTGGCCAATGAATGCGGCTGGGATGACTTTCGCGCTGCCTACGAGGATATCGTCTTGATAGCCGAACGTCTGCTCAATGACTCGGAACACTACCCGGATGATGTATCGAAAACGATGAGCCTTGACGTACAGTTGTTGTATCCGTTGCAGGCCGTCGCCTGGAAGTGCCGCTGGCCGGACCTTCGCCGTCGGGCCCTGGATCTGCTACAACGACTTCCGAAGCAAGAGCTGTTCTTTTATACCCCGAACTACCACACCGTCTGCAGCCGGATCATGGAACTTGAGGAGAGTATGATGGGCGATGACATGCTTCCCCCAGATCACGTCCGAATCTATAGTTTCACCATCACCCCTACCCCCGCCACGACGGCGGACCACCCTATTTACTCCGTCACTTTTACTACGTTCCCACATGGCCGAAGTAGCGAGCCACACTTTCACACCGAATCGCTATGGCTTCATCCATCGCAGGCGGGGGTCGCCGCAACCATTCCACCTGTTGATATGATGCAACGTCGCGACTGGTCACCGGTCGCTCAGACGAATACTCACACTCAGCTGTCCTCAATACCCGCAACATGGATAATGTAGATAACACAGGCGCCTGACGATAGCCCTCAAACAGAATTTCTAGCCACATAGATGGTTAACTTTAGCAGCCAAGCAGAATATATGTTCAACCATTCCACATGGATCTTTACATCGAACAAGTCGATACGTATAGTACTTTGACGTTATATTCCTAGCGAGTGGATTTCGCGTCGGCGGTCATTCAAACTGGAATAATATAACATATACAGGTAACAGTCTGAATACGGTCAACTTGAAAAGCAAGGCACTAAGGCGGACACTACCAACTGAATGAAATGTTCCAAAGGTACTTGAACATCCTACAACGTAAATCAATGAAGCAGTGGTCCTATTACTTACCAATCACTTCAAGCTCACTTCTTGATTTCAACTGCACACAGTTCTCTTGTTGACCCTTGACTGTTCCTGCATGGCCCTAAGCGCCTCTAATAATTTCTAATTTGGCATATAGGTGCCCCAGTCCGGGTGGGTTTCAGTGTTATCGCTAATGTTAATATAATTATTCATGTCCACTCCGTTGACTCACCCCAAACCAAGGCGGAAACTCAGAGTACTCCTTTTAACAGCACTATTACAGTGGATATGATATACTAACTTTAGGAACATCCCGTACATGCGATGAAAAAAACCAAACAAACAGCCGGCGACAAATATGTTGAATATCTGGCCAGAGTATTCGGACATGTTCAGGAACTGTCTAGCGCTCGCCAATCGACCCACTTCAGCCCCGTCGAGCAAGAACTGCTGTGATACCCACAGCCATAACCCAGCTAGTTAATATGCTAAATACGTTTCTAGCTCCTGGTATACGCGTCTTCAGGCTGCAGCACCAATCGAGACGCCGGGCCGACCAATACTAGCACTATGTGGGCTTGGTCAATCTGCACCATAATCTAGGCCAGAGGCGCTTGCTTGAAAAAGGTCAAGGGAAAGAAAAAAAAAAATATAATAAACTAAATACATAGTGCTTAAATACATTAAGAGAAAATAGAGCGTGACTAAAGTGCCCAAAAAATGAACGAGCGACCTGATTTGTGCTCTTGTTATTTCCTGGCTCGATATTAGGATCAATTCGTTATGGAGCAGACGCGACGAGACAGCAAACAATGATCCCGAGTCATCCCAGCAATCCTGGAAATGGCCAGTCCGTGCGAAATATGCGACACTCCTGTCTTCTCGAAATCCATCGCTTGCTGCACACCCCGACGAGGAATGGATCCATGGTGTCCTACTCGGTACCTGGGCCACCGGAGGCATCGCGACCTTGAATATCCTGCTGGCGCTCATTGCCATTGGCATGAGCTACTCTCAAAGCGCCAACTCGCATAGTTTTCTTACAACTGAAATGTACAACGGCAATTGCACTTTGTCAAGTAGATGGGGAACGGGCATACATATTGTCATCAATCTCTTGTCCACTACCCTACTCGAGGCCAGCAACTATGCCATGCAATGCGTGTCCGGGCCATCCCGCACGGATGTCGACAACGCTCATAAAAAGCGCCGTTGGCTGGATATTGGTGTCATGAGCTTTCGGAACTTTCGTGTCATGAGTATCAAGCGGAGACTCCTTTGGCTGGTTTTGCTCCTCAGCTCAGTCCCCATTCATATGATGTCAGTAGCAGAGACTCCTAGCTATGTCACCACTAACCTGCGTACAAGATATAACTCGGTTGTTTTCTCATCCACCTCTACGCTCGATTATGGCATGATTCTCATCCCTGATGATTTAACACCAACTGAGTTCCTGGTCGGCGGGGGAGAAACAAGCGCCTCCGTACAAGCCATAGGCAGCACGCCGGAGCTGATTCAGACTGAACTCTTCAACGGTACCTTTCAGAACTTGAGTAACGCTAAGTGCTTGAAGAAGTATGATGTAAAATACGACACGCATCTCGGGACCCTGATTTTAGTGGCTGAGCGAAAGTACTTTGGCAACGCAAGCAGTCTTCAAGGGACCATATGGGGCGTCTCATCAGTATATGAGTACGTCAAGATTGTGGGGAAAAGCAAAGCCGGGAAGTCAATTGATGAAGGGCAGTGGACAGCCGAGGGAATTGAATAGGAATCACGAAGCATCAATGTTCCTGGCACCCTTCCGGAATTCCCTATCTCCTACTGTATGAGCAAAACCATGACCCAGCGGTGTCGGCTCCTCTTCAGCCCGTCAATTGCGCTGGCCGTGATTCTGTTCAACCTCACCAAGGTAGTCTGCATGTACCTAACTGCCAAAACGGACCGCTCTGAGATCTTCTTGCGAGTAGGAGATGCCATATCCTCCTTCTTAGTCCTGCCAGATCCCACAACTAAAGGCCGCTGTCTGATGTCCCGGGCTGATATGGCTCGAGGGCCGCATCGATGGGAGCCAGTGCCCCGGTGGAAGGAGTCCATACGAAAGAGGATTCGCCGTGATTCAAAGAATCTGACAGAAGACATACCCATTGAAAACCGTCGTATCTTAGAGCGGGAGGATTCTTCAGAAACCTCCTCCCCGAGAACGCTACCACGTCGAAAACGATGGTTTCGAGCAGCCAGCCTGTGCCGCTGGGCGACTGTAATAAGCATGTTAGTACCCCATGCCTCAGGATATCCTCATTTAACTAACCCATCCACGCAGGTTCACCCTCTGCTTCCTCATCTCCTACTTCATCTACTTCTTCATGATCATCGACGGAGACGGCTGGTCCCTCTCAAAGCAATGGAACCTGGGATTCGGCTCCGCCAACTCCGAAACCTATCTCGGCTTTCAAGAAGTCAACATGATCGTCCTCGTCCTCCTAAGCAACACCCCCCAACTAGTCTTCTCAATCATCTACTTCACCACCAACAGCCTCCTCTCCTGCATGCTTGTCACAGCCGAATACAACGACTACGCCTCCGAGCGCAAACCCCTCCGCGTCTCCTGGCCCCGCGGCCAACAACGCTCAACTTACTACCTCGCCCTGCCTTACCGCTACAGCATCCCTCTTTTCATCATCTCTGTTACCCTGCACTGGCTCCTCTCTGAAAGCTTCTTCTACGTCAACATAACTGCGTATGATGTCTTCGGCCATGAGGACACGACCAGCTCTATCAGAGGATGCGGCTTCTCTCCTATCGCCGTTTTTTGTATTATTATCCTGGAGGGCGTGTCGTTTTTCTCACTACTAGCGCTGGGGATGAGGAAGTTCCGGACCCGCATGCCGATTGCGGCGCATTGTAGCGCTGCTATTAGTGCTGCTTGTCATCCCCCGCCTGGTGATGATAATGCGGGGCTTAAGGCTGTTGCGTGGGGCGAGGTCGATTGGACAGGTCCCTTTTTTGTCCCGATAGATTTGCATTCTGATTTGGGAATGGAGTCCATGACTGAAGATATTAATGTAGGTGCAGGTGGTGAGGGAGCAGACTATGGTCATTGCACGTTCACCTCGTTTGATGTTACGATGCCGACGAAGGGGAGGCTTTATGTATAGTTGATGTTGCTTAGCTACATAGACAGATCAGATACAAGATATACTACTACTACTACTACTACTACTACTACTACTACTACTACTACTACTACTACTACCACGCTCTTGAAAACTTGATGCTGTTCAGTAACTACTATACATCCTGGCATGATAAAGCTATTACAGTTATACGAATCTTCTTTCATAAATTCATCGTCAATTCATCTTTCTATAATTCTTTTTCTTGTGTTCGTCTTTTTTGGATTTCGTCTACAGTTTCACCACGTCTTTGAATACCACTAGACCAGTACATTCGCTTCATGAAAACGGAGCGGTTACTTTACTCTCCTGTACACACAACATCATATACAACATCAACATCAACATCACCATCTCTATCTATCGTTTCCAAGCTCCAAACCCACCATTCAACAAACAACGCATCTCATCCTCACAATCCTCGTCTCATCTCTACCACTACTAACAGTACTACTAGACTACAACTCCATCCCTCCCCCCCAACTCGGCGGCCCCTCTCCCACCCCCATCCCCCACTCACTTTCCTCCTCTTCATCCCCCAGCTCAACCTCCAACACTCCCCCCTTCACAAAGAACTCATGCCCAATCCAACTCTTCGCATACACCTCCCCATCCAACCACGCTTTCCTCACCACGGTCCCACCCACCCCAACCCCCGCATCATTCTTCACCCTCACCACCGCCTCTCTCCCCATAAGGGCATTCTTCACGCTGACCTCCTCCACAAACGGCGCCGAAATCAAATACACATTCTGACCGGGATTCGGAAACAGGCCCATGAGGCCAAACACCGTGAACGCCGCCATTGCCCCCGAATCATCGTTTCCCGGGATCCCGGAGCGGGAGGCATTGAATTGCGAAGGGATTAAGCTGTGGATGAGTCGCGAGGAGAGGGCGGGTCGCGAGGCGTAGTGGTATTGGTAGACGGTTAGGAAGACAGGCTCGTTGCTGTAGTCTGCTAGAGCTGTGGAGTGGAAGGTGGTCAGGCGGGATGTGAATGCTTGGGGACCGGAGAGGTAGTGGGTTATTAGGGTGGGGAGGTCGTGGGGGACGTAACTGTTATTTATCAATAGTTCTTTGGTCAGTGATGAAGTAGAAGTATGGGTAATGGGTAAAGGGTAATGGGGTAGGGGGAATACAATTGATATTCCCAAATACTCGACTCAAATGTCTCCGAGGGATTACTCGTCAACGAGCACCATGTTGCACCAGTGGCAAGCGGACTACAATCCATGGGATCCTGATGCGCCCATGTCCCATTGCGATATTTGGGTTGGAAGAACCCTACGAACCCTGTATCCGAGCCATTGGGGAAGAAGGAGCGTTGGTCAGGTTTAAATAGATTCTTCCAGTTTGTCGATCGAGTAAGATATTTCAAGTAATCGTCTGTTTTGTTTAGTCCGCGGGCAACAGTCGCCACGCAAAAGTCGTTGTATGCGTATTCCAGGGTCCGGGAGATGCTGCGCGAGTTAGTGCCGAAACCTAGGTAGTCGAAGTCGTGGTAGGGGATGTAGTTCAGGTTCTTCCAGCTCTGGAGCCCCCCTCGGCCCTGGTAGGACCATTCCAGGGGCTCGTTCTCGGCGTCGTTGACCATTGCCTCGTAGGCGAGATCCCAGTCGATGCCTGTTAGGTTCTTGACGAAGGCGTCGGCGAGGACCACGTCTGCATTGGAGCCGCCCTGGGTCCAGCCCTTGCAGAGACTCATGCGGCAGTCCGGGAGCCAGCCTTCGTGGCGATAGGTGTCGAGGAGACTGCGGATGATGCGGGATTGGGTGTGGGGGTCGATGATGGTGAGAAGGGGGTGTTGGGCCCGGAAGGCGTCCCAGATACTGGAGACATCAGTATGTTGCCTCGCAGAGAGATGCTTTGGGTAGGTATTACCAATAGAAGGAATCAAAGTAAGGCTCATCGCTCTCCCAGAGGGGATTCTCCCCCGTCAAATCCTGCGGATCCAGCATAGTCCTATAAATGCCCGTCCAGAACATGGTCTGCAGCGCAGCACTCGCATTCCCCGGCTTCATCGAAACAGGGCTCAATTTCTCCCTCCACGCATCCTCCGCAGCTGCTCGTATAGCATCAAAGTCCTCCAACGGACTAGGAATCTCTATTCTTGCATTCTCACACGCCTTCTCCGTACTAATATAACTCACCCCAACCCTCACACTCACCGTCCCATTGTCAGGCCTCTCAAACCTCACGAACCCACCCGCCTGAAGATAAAAATTATTAAACCCCCTGGTAACAAACAACTCCTTCCTCTCCACTCCACCCGCATCATTCACCCAAACCCCGGTATCTCTCACCCTCGCCCCCGCAAAATCCGCACATACATACGAGACATACTCCCCAGCCCCAAAACTCGGCAGAAATGTCCCATTCCCCTTCATCTGCCCCGTGTGCTCATCCACACTAATCGACGCATTCTGCCTACTCTCCCACAAATCTGTCAAATCCAACAACACCATTGGACTCAACTTCTCCTGCCCTGTATCGGGAAACTGGAACTGAAACAGCGCCGCATGCTGCGTGGTAGTCATTTCAGCATGTATACCATTCGTCAGAGTTATGGCAAAGTACCCAGGTCGCGCAACGACCGAGTCATTCTGGTAGTGGATGGCACGGGCGGACTTGGGAAAGGGACAGTTGTCGAGGAGATCGTCGGCGCAGTATTGAGGGAATAAAGGGAAGTTGCCGAGGGAGGGATTCCCCCCGGTGCCGGAGTCGTGCAGGGCGGAGAAGCCGGTGATGTTGCTGTTGTCCGGGGAGAAGCCGGCGGTGTTTTGGCCGTCCACGTCGGCGACGGCTTTGGCCATGCCGTAAGGGAGGGTCGCACCGGCGAAGACATTGCCGCCGTTGGTGGTGCCGATGAGGGGGTCGATGTGGGTGAGGATGTCGGTGTTGGGGTCGGTGCTGTGGGTGAGTGGGATGAGAGGGAGGAGAGGGAGGATATGGAGGAGAAGGTAGGGCTGGAGGAGGGGGCGCATGGTGGGGGTGGATGGTGATGGTGATGGTGTTGTCTGGTGTTAATTCTTCCCTGGAGGGAATGAGTTGACACCAGATATGGGGAACAGAAGAGAGACATCGTGGAGAGGGGAGATCGACAGAGGGGAGAGACAACAATGCAGGGAGACATTCAAGGATAAGGCACTTCAAGCGGGGTTATGCAGGGATCGCAGGGATAGATGCAGACAGAGGATAAAGGATTGAACCTTGAGTATTAATACAGGATATTATTGAAGTTAAAATAATGAAATTGTAGGAAAGTAAAACACCCAAAATTCCTCTCACAAATACCCACCCACAGATATATCAGCACCACTAAATCATCGTACCCTTGTTCTGCTTCCTATCAACCCGATAATTCTTCCAAACCGCAATCGCCGGGAATCCCAGCACCAGAATCGCCGTCCCAGCAACAGACCCATACATCTGACTTCTTCCCCAAGCATAATCCACCGCATTCCTGGTCGGTGATCCCACTGGATACTCCATCTGTGCAGTATACCCACCCAGATAGATATCCGTCGCATTCGCCTTCAAATCCGCAGGAAGACGATTCTCCAACGCCTGCGGAAAGATATTGGTATACACCGCCGCAGCAACAGCATACCCAATAGCGCCGCCCAGACTCGAAAACAGCCCCAACAGCGACAGCATCATAGGCACACCTTCGCGATCCGCAGCAGCCATCACCGCCATATCATCACCAATGACGATCGTGCCGCCGCCAAAGGCAATGAAGATCTGCGACATGATCACGTAGTTGATGTCGTTGCTGGCTTCGCCGCGGAAGTGGATCATCAGACCCGCGCCCAGACAGAGCAGCGGCAGGCCGAAGCACAAGCAAGTGTACTTGAAGTGTTTGGTGTAGCGGATCCAAATGCCAAAGACCACGCCCCAGAAACATGATCCCACGTTGTAGATCTGCGTCATGTAGCCGGTCATTGACACGCTGAGATTGAACACCACGATGCAAAAGTCATAGAAGTACAGGTCCCAGCAGTAGAAGCTGAAATAGGACACCGCGGACATGATGCACGCTCCCAGCACAGTGCGCTGTCGCAGCAGCTCGTACCGCACAAAGTGCTTCCGCGTGAACCATTTCTCCCACGCGGCAAAGACAAACAGCAAGATGAAGCCAATGACGACCATGGCGATGAATTTGGCGCTCTTGTATTGCGCGCGTCCGTACTGTTGCAGACTGAAGGGAAGAAGGAGCAGGACCCATGCGGCCATGAGCAGACAGGCGCCGATTACTGGTTCGTTAGCATAAAAGCAAATGGAAGGGAATTAGGGCACGACGTACAATCAAACTCATGAATATAGTGAACAATTGACTGCATCGTCGTCCTTCCACTCTCCTCCTTCTTCAGCAACCCCATACTCTCCGCCTTGCGCTGATAATACTTCAACAGCACCACCAACGGCGCAAACACCACCGGCATAACGATAGCAAACACCCCATACGCCCAGCGCCACGTCGCCACCTTGAGGAACGACTCACCCGCCAATGGCCCCGTAAACGCCGTGCAGATGAACGGGGTGCTAGCAAACGCAAACGTAAACGCCCGGTTCTGCAAGCCCGAGGTGTCGGCAATATAAACGTCCAGCACGAGATAAATACCCGAATAGCCCACATAGAAGAGGACATAGCCCGCGGCATAGGAATTCGGTCCGTCGCACGCGGCCAGCACAATCAATCCAATGGTGTAGATGACCACCCACACGACTAGACCCTCGGCACGGCCCCAGATGTTCAACGTCTTCGCGATCGGCAGCTTCAACACGCCACCGATGATGCTGTAGAGAATGCTGGCTGTGCTGACTTGGGGGGCGGCTTTGAAGTCGGCGTAGGCGCGGTTGATGACGGTGCCGCTGATGGAGTTGTTGAGGGCCAGAAGGAAGAAGCACACCCAGATCCTAGGCTGTTAGATAGATTGTACAGCGGTGTACGGGAATGAAAAGGAAAGGTAGGTAGATACCAAGCATAAGTAGCATATACGGCCTGCTTGCTCCAGACTAGGGCCGCCGCTTCAGCTTTCTGCACACCTAGCTGGGCATCCTTGGTGACCTCGTCAGGGTGAGTTTCCACTTCTTTTTCGTTTTGCGCTTCCAGACTCAGTTGCGACTGGTCTGAGCTGGAAAAGATGCCATCGCCATGGCCAGAGGTGACTTCTTTGCTTTGGGACTCGTCGGAATAAGAGACCTCCTGGTTGGTCTCAGTGGTCGTCTTTTCCTCCTTGGTGAAGCGCATGGTTACGAAGAAGAGGAAGAAGAAGCCTTATGCTTCTTAAGATTAAGAGTCGTATATGACCCCTAGTAAGCCCAATCGCCACGCAGAATAGAAGGAAAGAAGGGATGGAAATCAAATCCAGGGATGCCCAGAAACCATCAGACACAGACACAGTCAGACGTATTTGTATCTAACCAACAAGACACCCAAAAAGAGATAATTTTCCACTTCCCGCACGAGACGCGGTGCAAAGCAGACAAGTGAACTAAGTCAAGAAATGAACGAACGGCGGGGGAGCCGATCCCTTAAACCCCTAGACTGACTAGCAAAGTATCTGCCAGCAAATGCCAAAGAAAATAAGCGAAATAAAAATATCCCACTGGCCCGATCTGATAACCCACGACGGATCAGATAAACAGCCCCATCGACACCAATCATGGCTGCGAGTGACAAGTGCGACTCGGTTCGTGAAAAAGTTTACTGGGTTTGTTGGAGGCTTTGATTTGCTCGGCGATCGCCAGTCCGGATGGTACGGGTTCAGCTGAGTGTTTGTCTCACTCACTCACTCACTTTGTTGCTTATGTATTCCCCAGAAGGAGTGTACTTTATTACTTCCTCGGGCTGTGATAGAATGTTATAGTTCTAGAGTGATAGATTATGATGATAACCCCTATCAATCTGATAACACCCACGAAGATATCAGATATCCTGCCCGAAACTTACACTCACAAGTGAAAAAGAGTCGAATGTGAATGTGACCAACACCGACACCCGATCGTCATCAACGGGAACTCCGGGTGGAGTACAAACAGCAAACAGAATCTTAGCTGGGTTTCCAAATGCAAATCAGACCCAATCCAATCCAATCAATTCATCTCTCGGGGCGGCCGTCTCAGCGACTCGTCGTATCATCATGGGGATCATCCCACGTTGTCGTACCCAGGACACGAAAATCCTCCGATCCCCTTTTCATTGCACATTTCATTCCGATGAAGACAAAAAAGAACCTCAATCACCATCGAATATCTTTCAATTGATTGCACTCACTGCAAAGACAACCAGGGTACAAAGTAACAATAGCAGAATCTGCATCAGGGTCCAGTACAAGGATCAAGAAGCAAACTCCTCAAGGGTCCTGCCCACCCACACGGCGCAAAGCCAGTGAACTGACTGGATGGACAACCCCGTCGTGTGGGCCCACACAACATGCAGCATGATTATTCCAGTAAATTAAATCTCTCAGCCACTCACCCAAACTGACATGGGGCGGACGCTAAACAAGACGCACGCATCACATCGTATTTAGACTCGCTAGACTAAGTCACAGAAAGAGGAGAGTGCATTATGATCCGCGTATTCGTGCCTGACTGAAAGATGAAACTAAGATCAGCAGTTTGGGCTTTTTAGTACCTACTTAGCTTCTACTCTGCACGTCCAGTCACAGTCGATCTAATCTTATCATCCATCATATCTGATGAATCCTATTCGATCCTGGGGTTCTTTTTTCTTTCCGATGGCGAGTTCGTGCATGGGATGTAGATTACGAAGTGCGGGTGAAGCTTAATTCATTAGTAAAGTAATGTTTAAGGAAGAAGTAAGCACTTCATGGTTTGGTCTTATTGGCATGTTGGTGCTCGGGGATAGCAATTGGCGTGGGTGCTAGTCAATGGGGGTGATTGTATTTGATTGTTTTATTTCTAATTCGTATGCGAAGGGGATTAAGATTGTCCTGAGCATTATATAATAATTTTTCTCTCTCTTTCCTATTTGTTATTGCTTTTATTAAACTGCAGCATTCATTTTTGTTTTTTGTAGCACGAAAACTACCCAGCCGCCATATATGCACGCTAAACTTTGCAACAATGGCATTCATCATGAAAAAAGAAACCGCAACACCAGAACTATTCCCAACACTAAACCCCTAAACAAGGTTTGTGAGAGCTTGCTGAACAGAGCATCACACCTTCATTTGCGTCCATGCATTAAGCATCTCCATCCCCACCAACCGAACCCTCCTTCTCTCTCTCCACCGACGACCCCTGACTCCTCGACCCCTTCACTCCCGATCGAAGCACCAACTTCTCCTTCTTAGGCTGCTGTAGCTGCAGCGCCGTATCCCCGACGTCCCGATCCAGCGCAGCATACATAGTAGAGCTAGACCACGGCGCCGCAGCAGCTGGAGTAACCGTACCCGAAGTAGACGCAGGAGAGGGAGCAGAACTCCGTCCCGCACCAAGAGCTGGATTGCTTCTCTTCGAGGCAGCCACTTGTGCCCAGCCGCCCTCGCTGGATCCGTTGCTATGTGCGCGTGCCGCTTCGCGCTGAGCTTTGGCCTCCGCGGCGGCGAGACGCTGCGCTTCTTGCTCCTTTAGGCGCTGGCGATCACGCAGCTTAACGCAGTCGCCCACGCTCATGCCGCCGATGCCAATGGCTGTGCCATTGCCGGTGCCGAAGAGGGGCGGGGTCCAGAGGGTGGATTTCAATACGAAGACGTGGCGGTGGGGTTCCGGGTCGAAGCTTTCGCTGGCGAAGCCCCAGTCTGCTGCGAGGGAGTGGGTGAAGGCGCGGAGGGATGATTTGGCGGGTTGGAAACGCGTGGAGCGCTCAGTTGGTGTAGTGGCTAGGGTGTGGAGGGTGGATTCGATGATTTGCAGGGTGGAGAGGGGGTAGGAGGAGGAGAGTTGGATGTAGATGTCGAGGGTTTCGGCGGAGTAAGGGAGGTTCGTGGAGGTGAGGGATTGCGAGAGGGTTGTTGTTGGGTTGATGTCGACTCCTAAGGCGGAGGCGAGAGACCGATTCCGTTCAAGACGAGCGCATTCATCGTCGCATGATAGCGGTGTCACGGCCGGGCCGCGCTGCGCCTGCTGGAGCTGGCCCTTGGAAACAACGGCCTTGGCTGCGTTGCAGCGACGTTCCTGGCGAAGTCGTCCACAGTCACATGTTACCGTGATCATGGACTTGCAGGGCGTCTTCTCCGGGCACGGGTAAGGGGCATGGCATGGGTCGGTGCAGGGGTGGCCACACATTGTCTTTGTCTTGCCGCATGCCTGCTGGCAGGGCTTCGTTGCATCCTCGCAATCTCCGGGCCGGTGACAGTGTTTCTGGCAGGTATGGGAGCCACATTTAAGCAGCTGGCCGCAGACCTGGCCGCAGCGGGCGTCAGCAAGCCAGCAGGGCTGATTCTTCAGAACCCGCTTGCCGCAAAGGCAGGTCTTTTCTGTCAGGTATGGACACTTAGGACAACTTTCGTCGTCGGTATGGCAGTTGTGGGACGTCTGAGGATGGCCACACGGCTTGGGGCGCTCGCAAGGGAATGAGCATGCCGGGGGCTTTGTCCCGCAGGGCAGAGGCGGATGCAAGATAGATCGACCGCAGTTACACGGGATCTCCTCGAAGATAGCCTCTCTGCAGGTGTTGCATGGCCCCTTGTGACAGATCTCCGGACATGTGTGCCGTCCGCATTTCAGCATACGGCCACAGACCCGGGTACAGATATGCTCCGCCTCAAAGTCCTCGTCACTAGGTCGCAGATGGGATTTGAGCTTCCGGCGGATAGCCTGACGCTCGATAGCTTTCTGCTCTCCGGGACAGCATCGCTCAGTGCACGCATGACGGCCACAGTGCAAGCCGGCCTTGCAGATGCGGAAGCACTGCGGCGGTTCCATCTCGCCCTGGGGACACACTGTTGTGAACGTGTTGCGTCCACAACGGCACTCGATGGGCACCGTCTGGAAGCAGGGCCCACAAGCACCGGTATGGCAGACCTTGGTGCATGGATGTCCACAGGCCAGCGGCTTTTCACACGCCTTCGTGCAATTCGGGATCGGATCCTCGCAAGACGTCCGAGGTGAATATCCAGCAATCTGGTCCAGAGGTGTCTTTCCACAAGGGCAGTCAAAGACCACATCCGGAGACCGCGGACAGTGAGCAGGATGTGCATCTTGCGCATGGCAGCTCTTCTGGCAGAAATGAACGCCACAATCAAAGGGGCGACTGCACTCATCTCCACAGCTAAAGCAGCCAGTCCACTCCTCAATGTCGTCTTCCCGCATCAATTCACTATCCAACTCCTCGTCCTTCGAGCTGCACAGCATCTCCGTCTGTACCTTTCCACAGTAACACCGTGCTTCGATCCTCTCTTCACAAGAGCCACACAAGCCTTCATGACACGGTCGGGGACAAGTATGCTCTCCACAAGGTAACAAATCACCACAGATCTCGCCACAGCTCCAACCATTCTCATAATCCGTATCTTGGCAACGCTTCGTCGATGAGTTCCTTCCACAAAAGCAATCCTGCGTCGGCCCCATAGCTGTACAAGGCGCACAAGGGCCAGCATGACAAGTCGCATCACACGGATGGGGACAGCCTTTGCGCGTCCTCGCGCAAGTCTGTCCACACGAATGTGGCGGCAGGCCGGGAAACGAGCGCGGATCCACCTCCTTCTCACACCAGCAAGTATAAGTCGAAGGGAACACCTCCTGAGGCAGATTGCAACCAGGACAGCGCCACGAACGAGGCGCACTACTCTCCCCATTCTCACCATCCTGTCGCTGAGCAGCCGCCGCCCCCTCATTCCTTGACCACTTCTTCACGCAGCTCAAATGGAAGACTGTCCAGCAGAGCCCGCAAGACCAAACACGCGATCTTTTCCCCAGCTCGCTCGTGCAAATCGGACATTCGTACAGGTTGTGGGCAATATCCTCGTGGATCCGGGTGGCGATATCGGGCGCCGTTGATTTCGTCGTAACCTTCGCCGGAGGCGGCGGGGGCTGAGATCGAGGCTGTTTCTGAATATTACTACCGCTATTGTTGTTGTTATTCTTCGCCTTTGACTTTCCCTTCCCTCTGCCAGTACCAGACGCAGACGCTGCACCCTTGGGAACTTCTTCCCCTGACTGCTGCTGCTGCTGCGCCGGTGCAGCACCAGGCACAAACACAGGCGCATCCGCTCTCAGCCCTGCCTCATCCACCCCATCACCACCCGGTATCGCTTGACCATCCTGCTCCTGCTCCGGTCTCGTCAATCTTCCTCCAAAGATCCGTCCAGCGGGGAGTGTAGCCTGATCGCCACCGCGTGGCCGACGACTCGCGCCTGCCCCTCTTCCTCCTCTCTTGTTGCCTCCCCTCGGTCCTCGTGGCGGACGTGGCGCATCTCCGTTCGGCGTGGTGTCCGTAGGCGGCTGGGGTTGAGTGCGCGGGGGTGCGTCTGGGGCTGTCTGAGTCTGCGTTTCTGTCTGTGTCTGAACCTGAGCTTGGTTCACTGTCTGTCGACCGCGGCCACCACGGCCTCTGCCGCGTCTGGGGGGTCTCGGGCGCGGGGTACTGGAATCAGGATTGGAGGCTCCGACAGCCACGGGTGCCGGAGCTGGAGCTGTAGAAGTAGCGGACATGGTCTCCGTCTCCAGGGTCCTTGAGAGTGGGTGGGAGGTTTGCGGTGGCGGTGGTGGAATGGCAATCATGCACCAGCGCTAATGGGCGATAAACCGCCGATCCAGATAATAACAGACTAAAAAGAAAATTGATTAAAGGACGAGAACGAGGGAATACAACAACACTTCCTCGATGGTAGACAAACTACCCGGGCAAAACAAAGGAAATGAGAGTAAGAAGAAGAAAAGCCTTAGATGCTGAACGAGCAGATAAGTGTAAGCAAAGAGAAAGCGATCGAAGGGATGGGATTCAGTGGTGGTTCGGTTTGTTCCTGAGCTCGGAGGTGGTTCGGGTGGCGAGATGAAGATTTGATGGACGGTGGCAGCTTTCAACGGGTCATGTCCCACCCAATGAAGGCTTGTGGGTTTTAACTCTACTAATCAACTATCTACTATGCATTCATCGGGTGATTTCAGGGAATAAACCTAATAGGGTTGTACGCAGGGGCCCATCAGCAAGTGACTCATGCTGGAAGGTGCTGCGCCATCGAGTCATTCTGTATCGCATATTACTCATAGTGGGACCGCATAATCTACTCCGTACTGATTCTAGATCCGAGGACCTGATGCAGGGGGGAAATACTACTGATTGCCAGCCAAAACATTATCGGGAATCAATGAAAGACAATATACATATCGAAGTGAATCTTCAGAAAGCCATCCACACATCACAATCGCTATGCACGAAAAACATAGTGCAGTCAATAAAAGTCAGAAGGAAAGAAAAAAGAAACATTTGCCCCTCATGCCATGCTCGTATTACCCATCAAAATCAGAAGAAAAGCACCACTTCACCCCGTTCGTTCTGCTTCAAGCGCAGAGTCCGCCACAGCTCTTTCTCGTCATCGGCTCTGCGCTCCCGATCCGCACGGCTGCGGCCTTGATCCCGTCCACGGTCGCTGTCGTCGAATTCATCCGTGAAATCGCGGTGGAATCGCTTCAAAACCTTGTTCACAGAGAACCCACGCGTGCTTTCGGGTCCCTTGGTCACCAATGAGAGGAAGTGAGTGGCCATCTGGCGCTGCAAGCCATCGGGGACGCTGCTTTGCTGGTAAACCACCACTTCACGGCCGTCATCGTTATGGCGAGAGTCGGTGTGCTCGATCTGCTTCTGACGGCGCGAGGGCCGATCACCGTCCGTCTGAGCGCTACTCTTACGCTTGCTTTTGCTAACATCAGACTCGGCCTGGCCGTTCGAGGCGTTGCGAACCTTGGGCAACTTCTTGGAACGACCCTCGTCTGGAGACCCCCGTCGGCTGGCCCGGGTAGCCTTGCCGGAGGTTTCGCGGCTGTTCACGCTGCTTCCTGAGACCGACGATCCGCCAAACATCGACGACACAAGACGTTCAGCGCGGTTCTTGATCGAAATCCCAAGCCCATCACCGTTGCTGTCCTTGTCGTCCCGACGAGAACGCTTAATGGGTGACGAGGGATCCTGATAACGCCGACGAGGGTGATCTTCTCCGTCCTGAGACGGCGAGCGGAGCATCCGATCCAGGCCACCGGTCAGACCTGAGTGCTTCAGCATGGGTGTGCCCGGGTTGTTCAAAACGCTGGACGGCGCATCCAACATGGGTGTGTCGGCTTCATCCATGTCGTGATCATCGGTGCGGCGCTTGCGCTTCTTCTCACTGGTCGTGCCGTTAACTTTGTCCTCGCCGCGCAAACGATCCTTCTTTTTCTTTGGTGCCGGAGTCATGAACTCCATGGAGGCGTTCGGAGCTTTGCCGTCGTACACGGACTGGTTGATGGGCCCAGCTCCGTAGGAGTAACCATTCTCCTCGTAGGCGACATCGTAGTTCTTGTTCTCTTCCTCCGCATCGGTGTCGGCGCGAGTCAGAGATTTGCTGGGCTCGAAGACGGAGGGAGCATTGGCGACCATCTTCATCTGCTCTTTAGATCCGCCCAAAGAGACCTTGGACGCGTTGGGGGTCTTTTCTGTCACCAAGTAGTCAAAGACATTGATTTGCTTGTCTCCGTTCTGCGTAGAGGCTCCCTGGGACTTGTCGTTTTCAGCCATTGGGGGAGTAGGAGCCGCAGGCGGGTTGTCGGTGTCATTCGCATCTTCGACATAGGGGGCGCGGTGACCATGAGCGTTGTTTTGCTTCTGATTCTGCTTGCCATTGTTCTGTTGCGCCTTGCGTTGGTTCTTCGTAGGCTTCTCCCTGTAGAGTGCGCCCTGGTACTTTTGCGCCTCGCTCATACACGACTGTAGAAAACAGGTCAGTCACACGATTCTTGTTCACGAGATGCGCCTGCACTCTCCCAACAAAAGCCCGAGCGCTGAAATCCTCCAATCAGGAAATCAGACATAGCGCAGAGAGTTCCGACCCGATGGACGAAGCGCAAAGTATATAGTTCGCGGCGAAAGAATAAGCGGAGGGGTAGAAGTTCCATACCGTATGCGACCGATACTCAGTTCCGTAAAAGTGTACCATGCAGTCGATGCAGGTGAAGGAGGCGCCGCGACATTGGTTGCGATGGGGATCAAGCTTCTTCTTGGTGAGGACATCACCGCAAGCCTAGAGATTAAGAAGAGGCAGCGAGTTAGCATGATTTCCAATAGAGTCCCGCGCAGGTAGCAGCTCGTGACAAACGAGAGATAAGGACAACTCACCTCGCATGAGAAGGAAACCATATTGATTAACCCGGCGATGTAGTGCGCGTACTATTCAAGTGTCTGCACGAGTCGGGACTTCCGCAGCGATATATTGAGAACTCAAAGTCGCAAGGCAAGAAAAAGAAGAAAAGAAGGCAATTGAGAAGGGCGCTAGTTTGTCGGGACCCGCACTGAACCTGTCGGGGAATAAGCCGACCAAGCGATGGAGTATTTTTTGGGACGAATGGATCCCTGCGCGACGAGATCCAATCCAATCCAATCCAACTCAAACCGACGCCGGATGGTGGTAGTGAAGGTGATTGTTATTGTTGTTGGCGGCGCAAAACAAATACGAGGGATGGTCGGACAACCCGAGCAAAATAAGCAAAGCAGGTCAGATAAATAAATGCGGACCGGATCCCAAGCACTCGGCGCCTTCAAGAAAAAGCTTCCCTGCTCTCGCCGCTGCGTCTCGCTGCTTTGCTTTTACCTTCTTTTCCCCTCGCCAAAAAAAGAAGAAAAAGAGAAAAAAAGGGCGGAAAAGTAAAAAGTCCAGAATTAACTCTGGGTGGCGCTTAACTGCTTTGGGATTGTTCCAAACCTTGTGCCAGGCATTTGGTACCTGACGAATCAGGCCATGACTCTCCAACCCCGCAATCAAATCAAAGGAAACAAGATAGTAGAATATCTGTGCCTCTTTCCTACCGCCGATACCACCTGCTAAGAGGACGGCTTCACTGGACGCATCGTACCCAATATGGCTCCTATTCATGCTCGGTCTTCCACCATGACCTCCAGGGCTGAGTTTGACCTGGGCTCGCAGACCTGAAACGCGCCCTTCGGTCGACGAGTCCCAGGATTTCCATGCAAACGCTGACATGATGACCCGTGGTCTACCTGATCCACGGGTGTAGCGCTTGCACATCCGAACATCAGCACGGACTCATCAGGAGACCTGACGCCGTGCAGCAAGATGGGCGGATCAACCAGTCACCAGTCAGCTTCACCCGCCCTCTCCGGGTCGATTAGTGTAGCGCTGGGTGCGAAAGAAAGACGATCCTACAGATGGTGCGGGAGAGAACCCGATACGAGCCCGTCACCAGCTATCTAGGCACAATAATACTTCCCTGTTCCATAGGCTTGGAGTGGGTGAGATCGTCAGTCTACAGTTGATTAGACTTTCGGTGCAAGCCACCCTTTGGTTGACAGCCCGGACTCGCTTCAGCGATGGCGCTGGCGCTGGCTTAACGACATCCTATTTCTATTTTCGTGACCCGGGCCGCGCGCGAATCGAGCCATCTGATGGCTGAGTGTTTCATCTATTTGAAGACGGGTTTCAGCCTTGTCGCTGACGCTTCCAGCGTGGTGTCGATAATACTACTCAACGATATCGCAGACTGGGTAGTTGTCCATTCAGAGACTTGCTGTAGCGGAGCGAGGCAATTCACCGTGCCTTGTTATGTTCAGCAACAGGCTACGTTAGTCTTGGTCAGCCGCGCCAGTCAGATGCAGCTCTGCAGTCATGCGCGCGATGCCGCATACCTTCGCAACCTTACCGGCCGCCCCGGCCATCGCTTGCTCGCATCTGCTGAGAACCTGCTGGGAGCTTCATTTACCGTTGTGTGACTGCAGAATTCCTGTTATCCTCCCACAATGGCTGTGTGAGAAGCGAAGGCCCCTTCCGGGAAGTCCGGGAGCTTACATGGCAGATGAAATTCACATGCAAAGTACAAAGTCTGGACGATAAATGCGGAACTTGAATGAGTGTGGCTGTAGAAATCATACGCTAATGTACTGATCCTGGCCCCATGCACCCAGCGATCCTGCGCTGGTGGAGCATACAAGAATGAGTACTGGGTATAAACGCAACCAGGTGCATCGATTAGATAACAAAATTCGGCGGTCCTGTTCAACCCCGCGTAGTCCTAGATCGTCTGATCAGTATCTTCGCCCCCATGGTAAACAAAGGAAGTAACTAACGGTTCCCTGGATATTTCGACAGGAGAAATCGCCTCAACGCTATCAACCTCGTCTCGAGCAGCGCTCTGACTCTTTTTATCTTTCAGGGTTTCGGCACCCTCGCCCTCCTCATCCTCGGCGCAGCCGCAGTCGTAGAAATCTCCAATATTATTGCAGTCGAAGATCGGCTTTTCGAGCATGGTATTGACTTCGTTGTGAATAAAGCAGCCCCATCCTGCAGCCGCATTGCGCGAGGAAACTTGCGGCGGGTACTTCTTCAGATGACCCTGGAAGTGAGAAGCGCACTCCCCACTGATTAAGTAGTCAGCAACCACAACCAGTGCAGCGAGAGAAAGCAGTGTGGGTAGGTACCATGGATAGAGTCGCGCAAAAAGGTAGATGAAGGAGCGAAGGGTTTCCTGCTGCTCCTCTGTCGGGTCCTCGGGGTATCGAGCTAGCATAGTATGGAAGTACTTCCATGTCGCACGACCCAATTCGGCTCTGCGATTGGTGTTGAACAATCAGTAAACGTCAAGAATGCAAAATAGAATTTGGCTTTAGCTTACTTTGCGGTTGCATTCCCCAGCCGGGGCATCACAACCTCGCCCTTGGTGAGGTCATCTTTCGAGACCACGGCCTGCGTAGACTTCTCCAGATGACCGGGTGCACGGATCGCGGGACTCGGTGGTCCTTCAGGTCGGATAAAGAAAACAAAGAGCAGAAAGATGGAAATCGCGGCACTGATGAGAATGCGTCGAGTAATCTGACGGTTCGCCATGGTGGGTTTCAGGGATATCGCAAATCAATGCTGTCAATCGCGGGCCAGATCGCCAAGTGGCCCGTCTAGGGTATGCTTGGTACGGGGGTTTTAGAGGACTCGTGTCCTGTTTCAACGAGAGAAGGAACGACAGACGAATTAACGTGGAACAAACGAAATAGATACAGTGAAGCAACGGCAGCGAGTCCGAGAAGGAAAGAATTAGGAAGCTGGGGGTTGCCAGCCACGAACGGGTGGGATGACTATTGAACTTTGCATGATGGCATGAGCCATTAATTGATGGCTTGACTTCGACGTTTCCGCTCGGCGATTATCCACGTGGGGCCGTGCCTTGTGCAGCGCCACTATGTTGCTGAGTCATTTATGTTCTCTATGCAGTCAACTGGCATGTCTACAGCTGCTACGGAGTACAAAGCCACAACACATTACACAGTACGAGCAACTCCCCGGGATCGCGAAATTGTTGTTTTACCATGACTGGTTCATTAGACTAGCTGAAATCTTTATTAGATGGACGATCATGGCTGTTAGGTCTTTCTCTAGTGCGAACGCGTAGATTCTCAACACATAAATCCATGAGTGCATTCAGCCAATGCAGCCAGATGAGAGACAAGCCAGACACCGCCTGACTTCAGAAGCACCGCAGAAATAATGAGACAAAAGCCAGAGTCAGTAACGCCATGAGCATGGAAATCATAAGACAAGAGAAAATGGTAGACTCCACGCAGGGAGCATTGACAAAGAACAGGCAAGTTGCTGTCGAAACATGATTGATATGGGTACAGTGTTGATACCAATGCTGCGGGGACAATTAAAGGGTCTGAATTAGGAACCACAACAGACGGACTGTTTGGGGGGAAGTGCTAAGGGCAAATTAAACTGGGTAAATAAGGAGCACAGAACTTCATCATGCAACAACAGCCACACGTGAAGAGCACTGCAAAAAGAACCTCTCCCTAGACACGACTGCGGATGAATAGTCTTTGCAGGATGAGGTATTGTGAGAAGGAGCAAAGGTTCGAAAGCGGTCATTAGTTCGTTGGCAGTTGGTGAAAGCACAGCATCCAGGAAAACATCAGTGTCATCAGAGCGATCCGAGAGATGGAAATGGATTCACGTCAATGGCTGAAGTTCGTGGTGGAGCTGCCTAGAATGCCATCTGGGCGGCCGATTTATTGGCCGTCTGCGAGGACTTCCTCCCTCACAAAGGAGAGGATATGCTCGAAGTAGCCTGGCTCGGCCACACTGTCGTTGTGTCCTCCATTTGGAAGTGTACGCCAAACCTTGCGGTCAGATTTGCAGATAGCAAAGAGCTGAGTCATGTTGGATGGCCTGATCATAAGCTGCATGTTAGTGACGTGCTGGGACTCGGCTTGTACAACAATCCTGAGGGCACTCACGGGACTATCTCGTCCTTCAGCCCACTCAGGAAGAGAATTGGGACCTGTGTAATCTTCGGCAGGATGTCCTCGCTGGTCCAGTACTGGTGGCAGAAACGGGCAAGGTAACGAGCAGGAGGGAAGACCCTATAAACCAAGTCAGCACTTCCCTGCTTAGGAAGACGTAGATAGCATCGCCTTGGTCGGTTATCGGTCATATGGTTAGGAACATACGTAGGAATCAGTTTGCGAATGCTCAAGAATGTGTTCTCAAGGATTAAACCAGCGATCGCACCATTGCCTTGATTGTTGGCAACTAAGTTGATCGCCACGGCTCCACCCAAGCTCTGTCCATACACCACAATTTTGCTGTCTCTAGTTTCCGGTCGCTGTTGGATATATTCTAGCCCCGTCTGAGCATCGACTTTCAAGCCCGTCTCGTCCGGTGTGCCCGTTGACAGACCATAACCACGGTATTCCACCATCAAGACGTTACAACCTAGGACATCTTGTAGAACCTTTGCGATGGGAATGCGATGCCCGATGTTTCCGGCATTTCCATGGAACATCAACACGGTGATATTCTGGCCTATACGTTTGCGCGAAGGGCGGATGAACAGGGCATGTAACGACTCTCCGTCGGGGGTCGGAATTTGAAGGTCTTCGTAGTCTGTGATTCCAAACTGTTGGGGCTTGGGGACATTCGTGCGCGCATCCACGGGAACATTGCGAGGATAGATGAGCTCACTGCAAAAGGGGTCAGCGTCTAACGGCACATCACTGAGATATTCTCCAGGGACGTCTGTGAAGACAGGTTACGAACTTCTGTTTGAAGTACAAAAGACCGCTGGCTACTACAGCCAAACCGGAAGACGCCAGAACTGGCAATCGCAAGAATTGCACGGCACTGTTGGCCATGCCAGCGATACTCCATGACGGTGGGGGCGGCGACTCCGACATGGTAGTAGACTGGCTAATCAGGCAGTGTCGCGGAAGATAAGAGCGGTGCGGCTGGAACGGAGACGGTGAGAATGCTTGGATTGACGGTCGGGCGCTGGAAGATGCAGGAAGGGGGAAACTCAAGTGGTGAGGGTCACGATCCGGCGAGATACCCTGCAGCCTGGAGCGGGAGATAATGCGTCGGTTTGTTTCATCGGGGGCTGCTTTCTATGGCTGGGGGAAGTCGTTCAGGAGGCTTGCGGGGGGAAGAGGAACCGCCCAGTAGGAACGTGGCTGTCTCTCACCGCCCGGCGGATTCAGCTCCAGCTGCCAACGTAACGCGTTCACCTGCCTGGAGAGCTCCGTCAGAGCTCATAACCACCTCTCTAGCCATCAGTCACACTGCACTTAACGTTTGCTTCCCATCAGCTCTTCATTACCATCATACCCTCTTTCTCTCGGTGGAGTAGCTTTACATAGACAGGAACTATCCACCTTTTCTGTCAATTTTCAATCAGTCATCATGGTCGGTCACGGTATGACGGGGATGCTCGGCGAGGGTTAGTGGTCTCGTGCTGTGAGTTCATGATGTGTCGGAGCAGGAGCTAATTAGTTATTGCAGATGGCATTCATGTTGACATGAACCACTTGAAGAGCGGAGAAGTAAAGTATGTCCTGACTTACTCAATGAGACTTGCATGAACGGTCACTAACTCATCTGTACAGCCTAGGAACGTCGATGTGAGTTTCAGTCAGCCTCCGATGCAACAACTATTCCATATGTTGACGAAATACAGCATGGCTATCAACTTCAAGGATGGTGTTATATTGGGTGCCGACAGTCGGACGACAACCGGAGCTTACATCGCCAATCGAGTCACCGACAAGTTGACGCAGGTCCATGACACAATCTGGTGCTGTCGATCAGGTTCCGCCGCGGACACTCAGGCTGTGGCAGATATTGTGTCCTATCACCTCAACATGTACTCGATCACCAACAACGAGGCGCCGAGCACTCAGGTCGCCGCATCGCTGTTCCAAGAGCTATGTTACGAGAACAAGGACATGCTAAGGTAGGCATACAACCGGATCAGCCTGGACCGAGCAATCTTTGTTGACCAATCAATCACAGTGCCGGTATCATCATCGCCGGATACGACCCGAAGCACGGAGGTCAGGTGTATTCGATACCGTTGGGCGGGTCTCTTCACAAGCAACCGTTCTCTATCGGCGGATCTGGATCAACCTATATCTATGGCTACTGTGATGCTCACTGGAGGGAGAACATGACAGAGGAGGAAGGCATCAACTTCGTCCGCGGAGCGCTGCAAGAAGCAATCAAGTGGGATGGCAGTTCCGGTGGTGTAATCCGACTGGTGGTGCTGACGTCTCGGGGCGCCCAGCGACACCTCTACCTGCCAGACACGGGCTACACCGGCCCGGGCGTTACCAATTAACGAATGTATCTATACGGGACGATGATTTTAATTGTTGTTAGCTGCTAAACGAGCTATTTCATTCTTTGGTTCTACCAGAGTAGTGCTTCTTTCTTATATTTCAAAAGCGCCTTTGCCATATCCAGACGAAGGATCTTCCCAGATCTGAGACTGCTTGGTACCTAATCAAGCTGGGATGTATCTTTCTTCACCGAGTGGGATATTGGGGGGTGGGTAATGTGATAGCGTGGTGATTGATAGCGCTCTTCAGGAGTTACTCCCCGTCATCTTATAGTTTGCTTGCCTTGAGGCACTATCACTTGACCAACTTTTCAGTGACCATTAGACTGTCACCAATAATGGGTCCGCCCTTATCTAGGGGGAGCCAGGGTCAATAGACGGGGTGAACTAATTCCGGGATGCCCAAGGCTACGGGGAAGGAGTATTGACCATCCATGGACCCCACGCGCGAAGTATGGCACGATCACATCATCTAGAATAGAACTACATACCGCTATGGAGCACCGTTAGTTTAGTAGTTTCCCCGCTGCGTACCTACCGACTGGACTGGGGAGTATCCTACTACACAGTATAGTATATTACTACTGTTTGGAGGAACTGCTAGCTTGGAATTAGGGGGCCAGGCCAAGATAGATGGTAGGTCAATGACGGCTGCCATCGTCTCAAGTGCGTCTGGAGCCGCCACCAATCAGTCGGCGCTGCTGGACACCTGCGCGGCAGAGGAGCCGCCATTCGCTCATCGCAAACCCCCCAAGCGGAGGATGATCCTAATTGCGACTATCTGGTTTGGGGCAGAACAGTGAGGGTGTGCGTCTCCTTCTTACAAGTACTAGTCGCAGTCTTGCCTTATCCCCTTCTGTGATGATAATAAGAATCAATCAGAATATTTTCAGGTAATTAGGTACTTAATTGTTGAAGATAAGTAGGTTGCAGGAGTGGCTGTTGATGCGATCTCATGACGACAAGGCTTCCTCATTCTGCGCGGTCGGTAAGGTGACTTGCTTGCTTGATATCGCTGCAAGGAACCTCCATGGGGAGACCCTGCTGTACCAATCAGTAAGGATGCGTCCAGTGCAACCTGGACTTGGGTACTTAGTAGACAGTTAGTGATACCTGGTAGGTGGAGGTAGCAAGTACGTAGTTGAATCGGGGATCTCGATCTCGCACGGCGTACCAAAAGATGATGGATCATCTCATGGTATCATATCCTCGTCAGGTCGCATTCTTGCCTGTCTCACCCTGTAGGGAGGGCTTCCAGGTCTCGATGAATTCTCGTTTTTATTTTGTCTTTTTCGCCTGCCATTCGATCAATCAACTTTAGGGGGGGAAGAGGGGGGTGTTAGAGGGTGTGGCTGTTGGTACATGGAAAACCGTGGATGGGAGAATGATTGACTGGGCCATGTCCGGTGTGGACCCCAACCTTGCCGGGACGAGAGTCTCTTGTTCCCTTCCTGCATCATCCATCCATCCCATCCCATCCATCCATCCATCCATCCATTCACCCCAAATCCACCTCTCTCCATCGTCTCCCGCCACCCTATTCCCCATTCCCCTTATCCTCCGTTTCCCTCGGTCCTGTTTCTATAACCTGATAGTTGTCTCTGTATCTACCTGCTCATCCATCCTCCTTCTCTCTCCTCCCCATTTTGCCCCGGATTGTCCTGTCCCTCGCTGATTCATCGCAATGGACCATCCCATTGCCGTCTATCGCTTGTGATTCCCTTCCCGCTTCAGGCTTGGGTCGGGTTCACGTTCTACTGCTTGCTCTTAACTCTTATTCTTGTAGCTACACATTCTCCCCTCCCCCAGGTGCTCTGACCCTCCACGCCACGATCTCCCAGGTCCAGACTGTCTTCCGTTCTTGGATCATTGACTGAACTTAATTAACCTGCCGGTATCTCTCCATCTCCCTCCCTCTCGCTGTCTCTGGTGCTTGGTCCCTCTCGCGACGCCTTACGGAGGAATCCTTTCCTTGTTTGGCCTCCCAATGATATGACCCCCTCATCACTAGCCTTCGAAGTAATCGCTGACCTTCGGCCGCCGGCCCTGGACCGAGTAGAAGCACCCGCGTCTTGCCTCTCTTAACCCCGTCGGCTCTGATATGGGATCGGTCGTCGTCAACCATCCGCGATCGGATTATATGGATACCTCCTACAACATGTTGGGAGGCGCCATCACTTCCTCGGAATCAGTCTATCGGTCCTCGACTCATCACCAGCCCTCTCACCACCCTTCGTCACACCTGGAGTCCGGGAGCTCTAGGTCGGCCTCGTCCAATACCACCCCCACCTCGTCCACAGCCCCGCCGTCAACCTCCGCCGCCGGCTCTACTCGCCTCCCCTCCCACCCAACCCATGATGTACCGGCCTACATCAGTCGGCCCTCTCAACCCAGTTCTCAACCGTCCACGCGAGCGTCTTCAGCCACTCCGGGATCTGTCTACACTCACCCTCCATCAGCCTCAATGACCTCCACCACCTCCCACCATCCGTCGCGTCCGGGTTCCGCTTCTCATCCTGTAGCACACTCATCATCTCATCACACTGGTGGCGGCAGCCATGCAACAGCAGCGGTACCAACCTCGGCTCCGCATATGGGGAGTCAGTCCTCTCCAGCTTCGCCTCAGCTAAGCCCAACCTTCCAGTCTCTTCGTTCCCTTGGGGGATCCGAGGCCAACTCTCCGAGTCGGATCAAAGTCCGTGATTTGTCACACATTCAAAGCTTTGCCAGTGAGGAGTTCCTAGCACAGAGGGATCAGGCACCCGGGCAGTGGGCCCAAGAGCGCCAGTACGAGATTAGTTCCATGCCGGTCACGGACATAATCGAGATGGTTGCTGGACTTCTGATGAAAATCACAACAACGAACGACATGCATCACGAGTCGGTCCATCGACACATTCCTCCCCCAGATGGCACAACCACTCTTAGCTCCCAGGCTACCAGCGTGCTTGCCTTTCACGGCAAAAACGTGCCAAGCATCAGTATCCTAAGCTACCTGACAAGGATTCATAAGTACTGCCCTACTACTTATGAAGTCTTTCTCAGTCTGCTGGTATATTTTGATCGCATGACGGAACTAGTTAATAAGGGTCAGCTCGACCGGTTACAACGTCGCTGGGACGGCACCTCTGCCGTGCAAAGTGGCAACAGTTCAAGGCCTTCGTCTGCTGAGCGGTCGTCCACCCATGCGACACAAGCCTCGCCGTTGGTAACCCCGCCTTCCTCGTCTGGAATAGCAGCACAAGACCCGTCCAGTCCGTCGTCCATATCGCCCTCTCTTAAACCGCAAGAAGATGAGGATCAATTCTCCCACTTTTTCGTTGTTGATAGTTTCAACATTCACCGGCTAGTTATCGCAGGCGTAACTTGTGCCAGTAAATTCTTCTCGGACGTTTTCTACACTAATTCCCGCTATGCAAAGGTGAGCTCTTCCCCTTTCTTGTAGTGCTTGGTGAATAATCTAACTCCATTTACGCAGGTTGGCGGACTGCCGCTGGTTGAGCTCAACCACCTTGAACTTCAATTCTTACTGTTGAACGACTTTCGCCTATCGATTCCCGTCGAAGAGCTCGAGGCGTACGGTACCATGCTTGTGGAGTTCTACGCCAGAGAGATTGTCGCACAGCAGCAGCAGCAGCTATCGCAGGCGATTCCTCGCTCTATAAATCCCTCGGAGGCCCCGGAAACTTCGTCAGAGGGAATGTATATGCGCACGCGCGAGAAGCAACGGTCTGACGAGCAAGAGGTCCGCCAAACGCCTACACCACCCTAGCCAAGTGGTCGTCGGGCATTTTCGCCTGGTATATATACCTACATCAGAAGTAATGGTGACCCTTGGCTTCTTGTCTGGGTGAAAGTGCCCCTTGTTAGGTTCTCTCCGGTTGGCGCCATGTCTGTCCTCTTGGTACATATATGTGTTAGCACAGTCCTTTCCGCTCATGATTCGGCCTTATCCATGTTTTCCTCTTATAGATTTATACGCTCGGCACTCTGGCTCATGATTCAACGTTTCTATAACCTTGAGGTGCTTATTCTTCCTGCCATTTCATGTCTGCCTCTGTGTACACAATTTTTCGTCTTTGCATCTTGTCTATTTCTCAACATTGGCCGGCGTTTTGGGGGTTGCCACTGTTTGTTATACTGTTTGTTAAACTGACTATTGTCGGAAAGGATGCTCCGGGTTTTCTGGATTTCACTATAAATTCCTCTATGGGAGTTCTCGTCCATTGTACCTACGCTTTGTTTGTCTCTCTTTCGGCCATCATCCCAACTGGCCGAGTCTGATCTTTGTCAGCGTGCGGAGCGAGTAATGAGAATATTGAGTAGTTCAACCGAAACCTGATGACTACATAGCACACTGCGCTTGGAAGTGGCAAAGACGAAGTTAAGGGTTGGCCATGGCGGTGGATATCCCTATCATGTACCCACCAAACCATTGGTACTTCGGAGTTAATCTGGGCGCTAAGACGTAGAGCGTCGTGCCTGTCGCGGAATCCTGTCAGGAAGCCGATATTACATCACAAGCGCTGATCAAGACATCACTATGATTCTAGATCGTCCCAGTCGATGAATCTCAGCTTGTCTTAGTCACTTGTCTACTATGTTCTCGAGACACACATTACAGATTCGATCCCAGATGGGAAGAACTGGAGAAGACCAAAGAGGCTGGTCCCGCGTGGGTCAAATGGCATATCCCAATGATGCGCATACATCATCATCCGCGTCCGGGAACCACCACGGAGCGAAACCAATATTCAACATCCGCATCGCCCCCTTGATACACGCAGAGAAGAATGAACCGTTTCCAGCAGATATCCTGGGTCATTATATGATTTTAATTATTTGAGTCTTCTTGAGTACGGGTCGCTTCCGGGGAAGGAAGAACGTTTCTTGTCCGACATGCCTCGAAGACCTGGAATGCTGTGGACCGGAAACGGGCCGACCCTACAATTGCCCAGCGAAAGCGGCTGACAAAGGCATTGTTATTGAGTCCCTTCAGTCTCAATCTTGACGAGGTCGTCACGTATCAGAATCCTAAGGCAGCTGGTGTCACAAGTGAAGCATGTGCCAAGATTGGCCGTATACACATTTTTCATGTATGTCTGGGGAATGGACGAGTTCAATCGAGAGAACATCTACGAGCACTCTCATCTCCCTAATTCGTGGCCGTCCTCATCAATTCCTCATCTTTCGTCAGGAGAAGCCTGCTTTCATCGTAACTAAGAGTCTGCATGGAAATAGTTTGTGTCACCGGAGACTGTATCCGCAGAGATGATGTTTAGTATAAAGGCGAATAGGGTTTCCCTCCAAAAGATGCAATATCACTTCCAACATCATCACCAATCTATATCTTATCGAGTAGTTCAATTGAAGCTATTGCACTGATAGCATTGGTCTTGACTACTCCTTTTCAACAATTATCTTGTCCATCCACACAAGAACAGAACATTAGCATCAACCTCTCCGTATATCAGACTCTCCACCATGGTCCGCCAAACAGCCTGGCTACTGCCCATCCTGCTCCTGCAGGCTCTGCCGTTCGCGGTAACCCGTCCTACAGCCGTGAACGTGGACATCCAAGTCCCAGATGCCTGTACCGATGGCCAGGACTGCACGATGAACCTCCACGGCGGAAAAGATGGCGATGACGATGATGATGACGACGATGACAACAACGACATCACCGACCAGGTCCGTCACAAGCACCACCACAAAGACCAGGATGGTGATGACGACGACGACGGTGACTGGGATAGCGACAGTGATAGTGACTCCGACTCGGACTGGGACGATGACAGCGACAGCGACAGCGACAGCGACTCCGATGATGACGACGACGACGATGATGATGATCATCACCACGGCAATGGCTGTAATACGCAGACCATCACGCTCACCACCATCGAGCCAGGGTAATACCCCCCAACTCCTCCTCCTTCCTCATCATCCCCAACCCAAGACACACACACAAATACTAACAGAAAACACCAATAGCCCAACCCAAACCATCACCATAACCACAGACGCCACCGCCGGCCTCGTCCCCCCAACCGACTGTCCAACAACGACAACCGTATCAATCACCGGCCCAGCCATCACCAGCACCACAACAGCAACAGAAACAGCCATCCAAACCGCAACAGTGACAGAAACCGAGTCGGACATCATCACCGCCACCGCCACCATCACCGACACCTCCACGATAACCCAACCCCCAGTGACCACCACCGAGACAGCAACCGCCACCATCACCGACACCGACACCATCTCCTTCACCATACATGACACCGAAACCATCACCATCCCAGGACCTACCATCACCGAGACAGACGTCCTAACCGCCACAAGGACCATCACCGAAACAGACACAGACACTGTGACTCTTCCCGCCTCCACCATCACTGATACCTCCACCATCACCCTCCCAGCTTCCACCGTCACAGCCACCAAAACTGCAACTGCAACAGTAACCATCACTGATGATACCTGTCCAACCGGCACGCCCGGCGGCGACGGCGACGGCGACACCGGACTCGACTTCGGGCAGTGCTCCGACCCGAGTATCTCATGGCAATATGGACTGGATAACCGGACAGAGTGGAGTTACATCACGAACAACCAGGTCGAGTTTGAGCACGGGAGCTCGACGACCATCGATACGTTGATGAACTTTATCTGTAATCGGTTGATTAGCCCGTGCAATGCGCCGCAGGAGACGATTGATGCGTGCTATAGTGCGGAGGATGAGGTGAATAGTAGCGGGCTTGTGGGGCAGGATGCGGCGGATTTGTGGAATGAGTTGATGGCTTGATTTTCTTACTTCATCTCTTATCTATGATGAAGTTGGAAGTAGGTGAGGATGGATGAGGACATGGTGTTGTCTTTCTTTTGAACTTCTCTGCGTTTAGTTGCATTGATTGTGTTGTGTTTGTTGAGTTATTATGTTCTGTTCCTCGTGGATTTGGTGCATTTCATAGTGTCTGCATTTATGGCTGCATGGTTGCATGGTTGCATACTTGGGTTAGATCGCTTCTAGATCTTTATTACAGTTCTGCTCATTTTCCACTCAGTCAACGAAGTCCATTCCAGCACCAACTACTCAACTACAGTTTGATACACTGATGATGGAACAACAATGACGATCCATTCCAGAAAAAAAAGTAAAGAAGCAACAAACTAAAGACAGGCAAAATCCCTGCTCGATCAACAACAAACAAAAGGAAATCAAAAGGAAAAAAGACAAAAAGCCAAACCAACACCAGAAACTCCGGGGCCATATGAGAATGTAACAAAAGAAAGATAATAATAATAGACCGTGACCCAACGCCAATAAACCCACGCAAAATGTGCCATGATGCCATGGTCTTTGGTAACTATCTACCGCAAAACAAAACAAACAATCCCACTCCGCTGCTCTCCCCGCTTGGACTCAAGTCCAGCTAATCCTCCTTGATCAACAATCTCCCTTATCTATTTGATCCATTAGCTTCTCTCCTCTTTAATCCAACTCCGATGGATTCAACTGCAAGCTTACCTCCAACCTCTCCGTCACCAGCCACCAAACTCAACCCAAGACGAGAAATATTCCCTCCCAGTACATCCGCATGATTGGGTAATATTCCGTCTATCAGTTACACGTTAGCATATACTAAGCTCTACTAGATACATGGGCATGCGAAGAAACACATACCTTAACTCGCTTCCGGTGAAGCGCAATTAGCCGCCCGGTGTAGCTCCGTCGATTGTCGTCGTCGATTGTCGTCGTCGATTGTCGTCGTCGGTTGTCGTCGTCGTCGTTGTTGTCGAAGGAGGCGTCGATGTTGTCGTGTTGTCGATGGCCCACCACCATCTACAAGCTACAGTTAGCTTCTCTTCTGTATATCATGTCAATAGGGAGCTACTTACCCCCAATCGGCCTCCGGCGAATCGGTGTCGTCGTTGTCGTCGGTCGGTCAGTCGGTCGTCGTCTCGTCGGTTCGTCGTCGTCGGGGAGCTACAACGGGTTGCTGACGCTCCGAGTGAGGGACTACGACTTAAAGCCCGCGTACAAGCTTGCGTCATTACCCCTCGTTAATAGGGAACCCTCTGCTGCGGAATCCTATACAGTCTCGTCAGTAACATAGCCCCATGCTCAGCTGATGATAGACATACCTCTCTTCGGTGCGTAATGCGCCACCAATACCACAGCAGGATATACGCCAGCATCTGCTACCCGATCAGCAAAACCTGGATGGTCTGTTTCCCCCAAAACAGACCAGAGCCAGTCCATAAACAGACGCTGACGAAGGAAAAGCGAGAAAGAAAGGACGACTTGGAAGAAAGCCAAGGAGACAAACGAGTGTGGGTAGAGAAGGGTAAAATGAGTGACAGGAACGGGGAGGAAAACGACTCACAGCCGGAAACCACCACGTTGCCGGACCTTCTCTCGGAGCATGTTCCAAGCCGTGAAGACCGTGGCGGGACCCCAGCGTGGCCTCCTGGCAGCAATGCTAGCCAGTCGGTTGTACTGACACCCTTCACGGCCACACGGCTCCGAGGCAGAGTGACAGTCAAGCATCACATAAGAGTCGGAACCCCAATATGTGGTGTACTTTCCTAGTTCACCCTCCTCATCTGGCTCCGAGCGAGGTGTAACTTTCCAACCCTGAAGGTGACCCATGGCCGCCAACGGAGCTGGAAAGACATGCTCGCGCCGAACTATCCAACAGGACACAGGGATGACGGTGTCCTCGCCGAAACGAACAGACTTCACGGACTTGGCCTTACGTCCACCTGCGCTGGCCTTGACCAGAGCAGGCTTAGCGAGGACTTCGTCGATCCGTCTGATCGCCCGTCGAGCACGCGCCGCCATATGTGGGCTGTAGATAGCCCGGTCGGAGGGAACAGAGGCTCGTTCGACTCGGGGGGTAGGGCGGGTTGTCGACCGGGGTTTCTCGACCTTGGGTGTAGCCGCCCAAGGCCGAGATCGTGCCTGTCGAGAAGCCCGCCTTTCCTCCAGGCGAGAGGAAAGAGCAGAGCGAGTTAGCGAACGCCCTGCCCCAGTGGCAGCTGGGGCAGGTGGGGAAACAGGGGAAGGAGTGGATGGTCTCACAGAGACCGGCAGATGCGAGCCCTGTCGCATCTGGGCAAAAGAACGGACGCCAGGCGAAGCTGGCTTGCGGGAGAGGGAATGGACGCCAGTCGAGACTGGCAGGAGAGAGCGGACGACAGTTCGGGGGGGCGAAACTGGCTGGAAGGAGCGGGAAGAGGGAACCTCGTAGTTCCGGCGAAAGACGAAGCGTGCGGTTGGTGCCATCGGAAACGAAAGGAATTGCGCGCTCGACTTAAACCGGTCGGCTACGGGGGCCTTCTTGTAGGGCAACCCAGGTATCCAGAGGCGAGTCATCTGAAGTACCTGGTCAAAAAACGGATAAGAAGGGTAAGGGGAGGGCGAGGTGGAAGAAAATAAAGGGACAAGGCAGCGGAAGCAGAAGCTATAAAAGCTGAGCTAAACACGAATGGGCTTGAGGGAACGCAAGGTGATAAATCACGATACTAGCATCAAGGGACCAAACGGTGTGGGGAGAGAAGAGAAGAGGGGAGGGAGAGAGGAAAGGGAAGAGAGCCCTTATATACTGGGGATGTTTACTATCGAGGCAACTACTCTCGAGGATGAAGCAGAAAGGAGAAGGAACGCTATACAGAGAAGGTATGAACACCTCGTTGCCATGGTAGAGTGTGCAATGAACGACGACAACGGCCACGATATGGGAAGGACCATGCGAGAGAACAACAGACCGTTACCCTGTACGAATGTCCTCGCTCCAGAAAGAAGGCAAGAACTGCTTCATCCGCAGACACTCGGAGCCGAAACAGCAAAGCAAGAGTCAGCACAACAACGACTAAGACCATCCTCCCAAGTACATGATATACCTACAGGGGACCTGCACAGCAACATGACAGGCCAAGTCAAGCCAAGCTCATGTCAAAGCAGTTGGCGTCGATCCCGCCTGCGTAAAACAACAGCCCCATAGTGGGGATGGAAGACAGCCCACCTCATTCACTACTTCAGATACATTACCCCAGGTAGGGAAGGAACGTGTTTCCTGGGAGACAGGGTGGGAGGTAGTAGTAGTCCAGGTGAGTCACTGCATAGACGAAGTGAGTGAGGAGGAAAGGAGGATGGGAGGAGGAAGGTACGTATCTTAACCAGTTACCCTTATGACAAGCCGTTTGCTATGGCTGTCTTGGGGGCCAGTATTGAGTATATTATGGTGTAGTGAGTACGAGGGTGGAATGTCTCTAGGTTGGAAGATAGCGTAGTAGTCCATGGCAGTGATATTAACTTCAAAGAAGATCGTTGGCTGCGCTTCAATTTTTTTTCAAGATACTTCTTCTATTTCTACTTCTACTAGTACTAGTCGTGGTGTCAACGTGAAAGTTGAAGTGGCAAGGTCACGACTCTAGGTATTGATGGTGGATCATTTGATAGTACTACTAAATAATATTTACTGCGGTGGCATAGTGCATTACACTCTGGGAGTATATGTCAGAGCCCTACCGGCACTGCCTGGCAGACTAAGCAGGATATAAGTAAGTACTAGTGCCTGTACTACTTCAGTGTGCACTATTTGGAGAGTAAACGGAGAGATACGGTCCGACAGTATGTTATATATACGTCTGCTATGTTGGCGAGTAATACAATTACTATTACAACTAAAAGCATGGCAGATATATATATATATATATCGTATTCAAGACATGTATCCAACTACACAAGACATATTATTAATTACACCAGTGGCACAGGCAACGTAACTAATCCATCCAAACACAAACACGTCGTGAGTCGGGAAAGGATCAAAACAGGGCTTAAGCTAGAATGCAAAGGCAGCGACATAGTCAAAATGCACGTCTCTCATTACCCGTTTCCATGTCATAACAATGCGACAATCGATAGGAAGATATGCTGTCCGAATTCAAAAACTGGAAGAACAACAATAAAAACATAGTGCAAGCATAGCAGAGACAATAGAAGAAAGATGCATAGCCAGAAGGGCTTCCAATGGCGCTACTACGCCCGAGTCCCCAACACAGTCATATCAACCCCTCTGGCATATGTATGCAGTATCCGAGACCTGGTATCAACAACTCCCAATGTACAAAACTTTCCGACGCCGAGCCTGAGTTGTCCTGATTGATTGTGATATCATTCGATCCGTGGAGGACTCGTTGACTTCTTGCCCAGGGGGCTTAGACTCGCTCTGCAGTTCAAGTGTCAGTACTAGACCAAGCGGGTGTACTTAGTTATTGGCTGGGGGTTCGATCACGTACGATCTCCGTCTCTCGCCCTCCTTTCGGAAGCCTTCAATGATCTTGGCCATTTCCTTGCGTCCCGACCGAGCATCAACCTTCCGCCCACCAAGACTCATGCTAACTTTCTCATTGGCGTTGGCAGTGAGCAATCTCTTCAGTAACAAATGGCGCATGCTCAAACAAACAAAAACGCCACAGTCACTTCCGTTCTCCTGTACTGGCGAATCCTCCAGATGAACATAGTTGATGGGTCGTCCTAGTAGTGCCGCGAATTTCATAGTCACCGTCCGCGCCTCCCAGAAATTCCCCGGGGGCAGCGAATCATAGTGGAACGCTATCCCGTCCACAATTGAAATCAACAGTAATGACCAGTGTGTGCCTCCCTCTGCTTCCGTGACATTGCGACAATCGTTGATCGGGAGGAAGACATGCGTGGTTCGAGAAAAATCGGGGAGGGCTTCACGCAGAGAATGCGGGTTTGGCGTCTGCAAGATCATGAACGACATGCTCGGTCGAAGGAGGACGATATTGGAGGACCTGTATTGCGCAAGGAATTCGTGTTCAAGGTATCTGCAATTGTTGACCTAGTGAGCCCCATGGACGGGAACTTTTCGTGAGGTAGGCAGGGAAACTTACTCCTCCCAGAAGGAGATGACCTATGACGGTGATTCGGCGTGTTAGCTTTCCATGTAACAGTAGAGTAGATCAATAGTAGCATCTCACGAACATTGTCGGTCAGCCAGTCATTCTTCAGCGACTGCATGTCCCCTCGTGTTACTGTATCCGTTTGTTAGAGACCGGGATCAAAGAAGCGTCAAACGGCGGTGGATTTGTTTCTTTATTCGGACAGAAAAAACGTACATCGAACATCATGGTCTAAAACTCAATCATTATTATTCATCTACATCTCTCAACGGCAGCGTGGGAAGAAAGCGAGAAAACTTACAACTTAGATACGCATCATCCGGGTTCAACTACGCCACGTTTAGTCTGTTTCCCAAGCCGACAAGACCCCGCACATGTGAAAGGGTAATGGACGAGGGACAGAAAGCTCCGGTTGACCTACTGTATCGCCAAATCGTCTCATCCTCCTTTGTAACTTCCCAAGCCCACCGTCACGCATCGTGTTTATTCCAAGGAGACTATACTGGTCGCCCTCGCCTTCGATCTAACTGTTCGTCCACTTCGTCCACCGAGGTCACCGAAGTGTCGAGGAGTAAGGTTCCGCTCACAACCAACGGAGGGGTGAAAGGGCTGAAGAAAGGCAATATATCGGTAACCTTGAGTGTTCGCGATAGGCCTGCAAGACAAATCGGTAGACGAACGCCTAGGCAGGGGATGTTGGTATTCGTCTGCCTGGTCCGTGGGTCTCCGTGGGCGGAGGATCAATAGAGACAGGTGGGAATCGGCTGGTCGAAACGATCCCCGGCTGCGGTGCTCGGATCACATACGGCAGGACGTCGGGGGCCAACTACGAAGGGAAAGAAGGAAAGTAAGGGAGATGATGATGCAAGCTCCAGCAATTGACGAACCGGGGGGAAATGGAGACGATGGCCGACGAGCGAAGTTGCAAGTTCGTCGTCGGCCGGCGATCATCAGCCATCCTCAGCCACTCTGGGGGAGGCGCCGCCAGACGTCACCTGTGGCGGTGCGCTCACGTGGTTCAGCCCTGTTACGATAGCCTATTTACTATAGAGATCTACTCGGTAGCTGTATGGAAATTGGCTAGACAACATTGATTCTATATGTAGGACATAACATTGTAGAGGCACACGCTAAGCAATCCATTCACTTCAAGCAAGGGGTATCTAAAAGTACATCTCAACGTCTTGATCCGACGCAACAATTGTCAGAAAAGTAATATCAAACTCCCCTGGAGCGCACATGGCCACCAATTTTCCATCCAATCCTTCCGGAGATTCAGCATCCAACATGACATCAAATCAGATAAACCAGATAGTTCGCCAACACTATATCCCACCCAACCCGCTGAACGTAAGCAATCAAAGAAACAACAGATTAAAGGCAAATGATCGGTAGCGCGCCGTAGAAGACGCCAGGTCAACATGGGCCAACAACAGAGGGTGATGAGCTGGTAGATGGAGCTCATCGAGGGACATAGGCCCCTGCCAAAATTGGCGCACCAATTTGGCTTGTCAAAAATTCCCCATGGGAAATATAATGATAAAGGATGTTATTATGAATAGTGTCTCTCAGGCTGATAGCTTTGCAAAGTGCTTGTTCCAAATCCATCCAACCTGATGGGTAGGGTCGTCCTGATTTTTGGCAAGCCAGAGCTCCCCTTTTTCGGCGATGACATCAAATATTTCTCCGACCACATACGTCAGGTAAGGATAGCCAGCCTCGCGCCGTGCGCGGTCGATATTGAACTCATAGATGCTTGCCGCGAGGAAGAGCACCGCTGGCTCATGGGGACGTTCGCTATGAGTTGGTGCGTTTTCCTGAGGGTTGTCTGACATCGGCATCGCTGATGAGAAAAATCCCGAGTACCGCCCATCAGGAGATGTCGGCGGCTCCTCGACTTTCGCGCCACCGTTCCCATCACTCGAAGGACCGATAACATCCACCAGGAAGGGTGAGTCAAGACTGAGGCGGGGTAGACTTGGGAATGCCTCGGTGGTGGTGGTTGAAGCTGGCACAGACGCGGTTGAAGTGCTAGTGATCTGCTGCAGCATCTGACTTCGTGGTATTTCGGCCGTCTCATGCCCCGTACGGCCCGAAAAGGTAGAATCTGCCCGGTGGCGACCATGGGATACCTGGGATTGAGTCTCGAAGCTTGGTGAATGGAACGAATGACTGCCATTGCCGAATTCTTGGGACACCTTGGGCGAATCCTCCATTGTTGATCCCACGCGTGTACTAACACTATTAACCGTAGAAGGCCGCCGCGGCGAGTTGATGGTGGCTCCTGTTGAAGGCGTATTGAAGTTGACAAGGTTGACAGTATCAGCAAGCAGGGAGCCATTGCAGATTCCCAGGGATAGGACCTGCGATTCAGAAAAGTTGAAATTGCAGGACCAGTCCTCCACAATCTTCTGGATGTCTTCCGGGAATGCCTCGAATAGAGAACCAAGCTTGTGCTGTAGTTGACGGAACCAAGTAGTCTGTATGTGCACGAAGTTCTTGAGACACGCCTCCATCAACTTAGCAGTCAGGGCATAGAGCTTGGGAAGCTCATCCTTAAGGGTCTCATTGAGCGCAACAAACTGCTCTCCTTGTTCGGTAGTTTTCTTATCAGGCTTGTCTCCTCGCTCCTTCGCGGCTTTGAACCGAGCATAGTCCATAAGGCGCTTATCGCGCTTTCTCATTACTCTCTGAGGGCCATCGTGGAGTTTGAGCAACGTGACCATTGGGTCAATGACACTCTTTCGAACAACCGCAATCTGAAAGACAATCACGAATTAGCCATAGAAGCACTATCAGAGGGATTGAAATCCGGAACCCTCCACTTACATGTTCAGGCAACGCCACAGTCATTATCTCCGCAACAGTGGTCTTCAACTCACGCCACCTTCCTTCCAACTCTGCATAGTTCGATGGTGAAACGTTGACGAACCCTTGGATTGCCTCGACAAATTCATTAAATCCGTCCATGGAAGTCTGCACTTCGCGGGTATACATTTCTGCGTCGCGCATGACAAGTTGCAATTGAAAGAAGTTGTCCCCAAATTTCTGGGCCAGTGTGTCGTATTCCTTGTCCTCAACCATGTCAGAGAGACCCACCTGCTGCTTCAGTTTCTCCGTACGTCGACCGAAAGCCTTAGACAGGCCTGCCCTCACATCAGATTCTTTGCGTTTGCGCCCTACCACCTGGCCCACTAGGTCTGCACGTTTCTTCATCTCGTTGATACGCACAGAGATATTAGTAACTTCCTCGAGGGCGCTGACAAGTGCTGGGTGGTCGGGATGGTCGTCGGGCGTGGAGTCGAGAAGTTCAGCCAACAGAAGAGGATATTTCAGGATTCTTTGCACTGGCTTCACGAGAAGAGAATCCAGGTCCCATGCCGTCGTTAGGTCCGAAGCCCAATCTCGGCACTCTTTGAGCCAGATTGCAACCTTAGGGTTGCGCTGCAATGTCTGGAGCTTCTTATTAGCAGCATCATGATTCTTCAGGTAATCCGCATAGACCTTCTCCATGTAGCCCATCTGATTCATGAAAGCTTGGCCAATGTAGGTCATCCTATCTTTGTCCAGGTCGGATATGCCCGCCGTGCTTGAGTTCTCCGAATCAGTCCTGGAAGCGTGGTGGCGGGCACTACGCTTGCTACTCCAGCGTTGGGACTTGGGCATCACATAAACGCTCTTAGCTGCCTCCTTCAGTGCATCTTGAAACGCCATGGAGAATTGCACGACCTGATCGGAATTCGCAAAGAGAATCTTTACGTCCTCCGAGGAGAGATCCAAGCAAGAACTCGAGGTTCCTTTGTAAATATCGTCGACGACCTTCATGTCTCGTCCAAAGGTGTACTCTGTATCGACAAGTTCCTTGATCACATGCCGGCGCTTCTTAAGACGACGTTGCTCGGGAGATGGAGATTGTGCTTTTAGACGGGAAGGCTCTGATGTTGAAGGAACCAGTGAGGTGGAAGATGAGTCGAACGTTTGGGGAGACGGTATCGGGTCCAGCCTGCGAAGAGAGGAATCCTCGCTGCTACCGGTGCTCTGAACAGGATCCAATGGCGCAAATATGCCAGAAATTATAGTACTCAAACGTTGCTCTGTGGCATTGACATTTGAAGGCGGTTGCGTTCGCTGTTGTGGGGCGATATTCTGGGTCGGTATGTCTTCTTCAGGTGGCTCTGGGACCGACGGCAACTGCTTTTCGCGGGAGTCAAGCTCTTGGGGCTGATGTACCTTAATAGCTAGACCTAATCCTTCATCGGCTTCTTCTGAACAAGAAGATTGAGGATTCGGGGTAACCAGCCGTGGAGTTGTAGCACTATCAGGCACAGGGCCTGTGTCGCCGTTCTGTCCCTGCAGAACAGACTCATCCTCAGCAGCGGCCACCTGCATCCAGTCCATGATCGAAGGGGATGCATGCTCCCAGTCGTCACGCAGGACTAAACTTGCTGTATGTCCCGGCCGCTCCAAAGCAGGAGGATCCCGTAGACGAGATACAACGACCGGGTCATCAGTTAATCCTTCGGATCCCTGATCCGTCTCCTTGTCCGCATACGTCTGTGATGGCTCCGGAGAGGCGCGGATTGCTGGCAATGGAAGTCCATGCCCCCTGCCATTTGCCAGCTCCTGCAGATAGAGCTGTCCAACTCTCTTTGAATCCCATCCACCTAATCTTGCTAAGCTCGAAGCGTTAGAAAATGCAAAGCCATTCGGGTGAGCCACCGCTTCTTGTCTACCCTCCTTTGCGTTTCCATTCTTGGGGGATGATGAGCTCAAAAGTTTATGATCGGTAATCGACGGGGTACTAGAAGAGGCAGAGCAGGACTGAGTCGCGACTTCACTGTCTTCAGTGCACTGTTGTAGGTGGGAGAAATCATCTCCACTGTTGTCACATTGCTCGTCTGCGGAATGCTGATTGCGAAGGGATGACGACCAAGAGCTCATACTCCATCGATTGGATGTCTCCCCGTTCATCACACCATGTCGCATGTAAATATCACATGACTCCGGGTTATCGCTGCTGTCTGCTTGATCATCGAAAGCAAAAGCATTTCTTAACCTGGTAGGCAAGGGATCCCTCTCATCGGTGTCGGAGAAGCTACACTCCTGCTCATCGCATGACGAGCTGCTTGGACTGGACTCGCGAATATTCATGATCTGACTCAAAAGAGTCCTGTGAGAAGTATGTAGGTCTTTTCGTGACAGCTCAACTTGTGGCTCGGTATCAAAAGCAGTCACATGGGTCTCATTAGACTCCGAGGTAACATCAGACGCGGGGGGGCCGTGAGACTTGGGCTCATATGCCAAGTCCCTTTCTATTATCGCTGCGTGCCCAAGGGTTGGTGAATCCATGGTCATCAGGTGTGTATCAGAAGCGCCGTCTACATTCTCCAGTGTAGTATGGACGTCAGTGTCGACATGGAGCTCGGGACGCGGTCGAGGGTCCTTCGTCTCGGGTACTTGGTTTGATTCTTCAATCGGGGCCGCTACAGTTTCCTCAATGACAGTCTCGTTATCATCAGCGTGGAGAGAAGGCTGAAGTTCACTTTCCGTGGGTTGGGATGGCTCAGCGGTGGGTGCCTGCGCGAGTTCAGGCTTGTCTTCCTGGGCTTTGGTTTGACGTCTGAGTTCAGCAGCCTTTTCCTCCTTCCGCTCATTCTCCTCGACGGTGCGGTTGAAAGCCTGTTGTATTTTCTGTCGCCTAGTTGCGAAGTCGACATGGCCTAGCTCCGGTAATCTTCGTTCGCGCGCCCTGGAATTTCTATACTCCCGATCGCGGTTGATCTGCCTCTGAAAGTTCGATACCGTCTCGACTACTTTCGATCGAGATGATTGAGTATGTGCTATAGGCTGGCGTGGTCGGGAGCTGCGTAGAGGGGGTGACTTTTTCGGGGGAGGAGCGGCGATGTAGG